CTCATTGTTGCCTTCCTGGCTGTCAACATCGTCTACTGCGCTTTCGCCGCAATAGCAACGAGCCATATGTCAGGGGGTGAGCTCATTTATGTATCAAATATCGCCGCACGAGGCTCATTGACGATTACAAGAGGAACTCATTCTTTCTTGCACCTATCTGTGCAATGTCACCTTCGAGTGGCGAGATAGTACACTTCTGTATACCGTGACTTGGATACTCACCACCACATGGGAGGTCGCCGCACTATGTCTCGCAGCCTGGATTGCTGTAAAACACTTTCGTGAACTGTGACAGCATTCGGCAAGAGATACCATCGAGAGCGGTTTAGCGGTATTAATGAAATCTCAAGTGGTATACTTTGCAAGGTGAGCTGATAATGCGAACGTGTTCTATTTTTCTTCCATTGAAGTTCCGCACTTGCTAGTTTTGTTGTTGCTTCTTGTCTCGAGCTTGGTTATTTGTCCCCAGCGATCTCAATGCCGGTATGCTGAACTTTCCCTGAGCTCTATATGGACCGCTGTTCATCGTTTCTATAGGATCCATATTCCCTAGGACCTTTGATTTATGCTGGCGTTGCCAGTATTTTTTCGCTCATGCAATTATTTGTGCTGGGACCACGCCTAATCCTTAGCATTCGAGAACATTACGCTCGAGTCGAGGCTGACTCCTATGCAACAGGCATGAGTTCAATTGCTTTCCAGGAGCGCGTGCATGTGCAAACTAGCACTAGTGTGTAGCACGAGATGTGCTCAAAGATGTGGAGAACTGTGCGAGCAGGAGAATTCGTTTTTATTTTCTCGTCGTGGTACTTATCTCAAATGAGATGTCCAACCACTTACTAGGTGCTTTCAACCGCAAACTGTAGACACCTCTTACGTCCAGAAAGATTTATTTTTACTACTAAGTCCAAGCCGGCTACGCTCGTGAGTACTTTTCTGTACAGTGTACACGGTCTCGTAACGCAAAGTCGAGCTCATCACCATGTGATTGACATGCGTGATGGGCACTTCTTTTTAGAAAGTCTAAAACGTTATGTCCGGCGTGTATCTCGCGCTTCCATGTCATTTACGTGGGATTCGAGACTCGTTCTCCCGAGTCGGACCGAGAAGTGGATTATGATGCTGACTAAGACTCAGCATGTTCCACTTCTCCTTAAATTCTTAAATTAACGCGTTAACGCCCAAACTTCTTCTCCTTGTTTCGCGTTGGTGAGCTACCGCCGCAGACTCGTAGAACGCTCTTTTCTAAAGGATTTCCACCTATTTCTAGCTAGTCGTTGACAGGCGCATCATGAAGTTTGGAAGGAAGATCACGGTGCGTCATTTTTGCGTATGGCAAATTAGGTGAAGCGAACTAGACGATCTTGTTCTGACAGACTAACCTTTATGATGAATGGAGACCCTTCTACATCGACTACAATTTGTTGAAACGTGAACTCAAGGTAAATCCTTCTTTGAATCGCTCGACCCATACTCATCCGCTCCATCTGGGTAGTCTCGCACCACCTCTCACATCTGGGACGACAAAGATGAACGTGATTTCACCGCCATGCTGAAACAGGAGCTCGATAAAGTTTATGATTTTCAAAAGCAAAAGGTAAATCATCACAGCTCAGTTCATTCGTCTACTTCAACTGACGCTGTCTAGACTGCTGAGTTATCTCGCCGTATACGGGATGCTGAAAAGGACGTTCAAAAACTCGTCGCTCAAGAATCTCAATCTTCTTCCGAGGTGCTCCCCGCCCATTCCTCTGACCCAGAATCGCATCAAGCACGCCCTTCCGACTACGGACCTGACGAAGGCTCCGATGACGACGATGATATGGACGACAACCAATCTGATGCCTCGCTCGAAGATCTCTTTCACGGCCTTCAAGAAGAAGTCGCTACCCTCGTAGCAGACGTTCATGACTTGGCGTTGTACACTAAGTTGAATATCACTGGTTTTCTTAAAATTTTGAAGGTACGTTCATTCATGCCTCTCGCCTTATACCAATTCACCAGTCATCTCCATAGAAACACGATGTGCGTTTTCTCAATTGCCTGATGCGTCATCCTTGATTTATCACCGCCAGAAAATAACCAACTTTCCACTGAAACCAACGTTTATTCAACACTATCTTGAGGAAAGGCCCTTCTATAAATACAACTGGGACTCATTGATCGTCAAGTTATCCAAGCTCTACGACCTGGTCCGCACCAGAGGACATCCCGTACAGGGCGATTCAAGCGCAGGCGGGAACCAAAGTGCCTTTGTACGTCAGACGACAAAGTATTGGGTAATAAATATTTTTCTCATCAGGTTTATGTTTACTAACTAGTCAATTTTAGGTGCATCCGGATAACCTGGTTCCACTAAAACTGGCCATTTTACGACATCTACCCGTTCTCGGTTAGTGGGAGTGCATTTTGGTACTTTTTCGATTTATCTCTCTTTATAGTCTTCAATGCCGAAAAGGAATTCGAACAGAAGGACGCCGGTACGTTTTTGATTCTGAATCATCAGGGGATGTGTTTTCGACGCTCTTTGCAGCCATTACCTCGATATACTTCGACAATGAAGACCTTGAACTTTACCTGGGTCGACTGGAGAAGACAGAGGGTGCCGAAGCTATCCGTCTCCGGTGGTACGGGGACACAGACGTGAAAACCGTCAGTGTCCTTGACTTGGTTGGTGAAGGACCCACTGAACGTCATCCCTCAGATTTTTGTGGAGCGTAAGACCCACAGAGAGGACTGGACAGGTGAAAAGTCCGTCAAGGCCCGTTTCCCGATCAAAGAAAATCTCGTGAACGCTTTTCTGCGTGGGGAATATACCATGGACGCGGAGCTCCAGGCTCTAGTTGAGAAAGGCAAGAAGACGCAAGCCGAAGTCGATTCCATGATTCAGCTTGCAAGCGAAGTTCAATATCGTATTCTTACGAAGCAGCTCCACCCGGGTATGTACGCACGTTCGATGCCTGACTTCTTTACTTACAAATATACTAGTCATGAGGACATTTTACAACCGAACTGCGTTCCAACTCCCAGGAGATCCTCGTGTACGGATATCACTTGATACGGAACTCACCATGGTCCGTGAAGACAACTGGGACGGACAGACGCGTACTGGCGATAACTGGCGGCGAACCGACATTGGGATCGACCATCCTTTTGACCAGGTGTTAGCGGCGGATAAAGAGCTTTTCAAGTGCGTTTCGCTTATTGAGCCATTTCGTAACATGCTCACGTTCATCATGCTCACGTTCGTCATGTTCACGTTCGTCAAGGTATGGGGTTTTAGAAGTCAAACTTCAGACTCAGTTTGGACAAGAGCCTCCCAAGTGGGTGACGGATCTGGTCCAGTCACATCTTGTCGAAGCTGTTCCCAAGTTCAGGTATGATTCTCACCCGCAAAAAAAATGGTTCTATAACACTCACGGACTGCCACTAGCAAATTCATCCATGGCTGCGCTACCCTACTGCCTAATCGCGTAGATCTCGTGCCCTTCTGGCTGCCTCAAAGTAAGCGGAAGGGCCTGCTTCCATCTTATTTTCTTGCCTCACATCATTCACAGTGGACACGGATATCCTCAAGCCCAATACTGGATACCTCACAGTCGAGCGTCCGACAAAGAGTACTCCTGATTTTCAGTCCGGTATTCTCTCGCCCATCTCGCCCGTTTTGCCGGTACACTCCTATGTTGAGCCTGTCTCTGAAGGGGAGGAAGATGAAGAGATGGACTTGGCGCCTGCTAGAGACGAGTTTCGGCGCACGGGGCTGCCGCACGAGGACGTTGCGGCTGCTATCGCATTTCGTGAAAAGTCCCTCAAGGAACGTGAACCTGCATCTCAGTCCAGGGGAAGCAGCAGCACTCCTGAAGTGGTATACGATGAACGCACGCCATTGCTGAAGCTGCCACAGCCTCCGAGGACAGAGAGGAATGTGTCGATTGACCCGCTTGCGCCGTCTTCTGCGTTCGATGAGCGTCTGCGTGAGCGTTTGCAGGCGAATAAGAATGTGCCGCCGCGTGTACAGGATGGTGAGGTGCAGGAGGCTGTAGGGCTGGACGAAGAAAATCTGCGAGAGGATGAGCGTTTATTAGTGAGAGACTGGTGTGCGCCATCTGGGAAGCGGATTGCAGTGCCTGTTCGTATCGAGCCCAAGGTATATTTCGCAAACGAGCGCACGTTCTTGGTACGACTTTTTTGCATTAGGTGAACGTGTTCGTCTGCTGATGTTTATCTTGGCAGAAATGGCTGAGCTTTGCGGTGCTGATCGGCACTATCGCTACGACGTTATTGAACTTCGTACCTGCAGATGATCCACGGGGCCTGATTAGCGCTGCGCTATTCACTCTGGCTGCACTGCTCGCGATCGCCTATTCAGCGATCATCTTCGTGTACCGAGCGCTTCGTCTGCGTGCACGATCGGCGGAAGGTCTTTATTATGACAAGTACGGACCGACTATTCTTTGCTTTGTGTTGTTAGTTGCGCTGGGGACCAACATTGGGTTGAGGGTGGCGGATATGTGATGACATGGGGATGAGCCTTGGACGCTGATGGTTATACAGCTGACGTGAGGAACTCATTTCCTCTCTAAGGTCTGTCCTACAGGAGCTTAGCCGCAATGAACTATTTTTGTTTCCAATTCCATGTCATCGCACTGCCCAGGGGACCAGATCTTATCGCCACAGCATGGCCAGAAATTAGTAATGTTCGTGTTACAAAATGTGTTCACATGTGGTGCCAACACTGCTTCTGCCAAAAATGGAATCTATCTACTATCGTCGCGTCCACGTCCACACCTACTGAGCTCAAGCTTGTACCGTTCCTTTCTTCGCGTTGTCCCATGTTAACATATTTTGTACCTCCGAATCTCGTACTCGTCTGCTTGCGAAGAGTTATATAACCCTCTAAGCACAGCCCAACCTAGCCACAGACGGGGAACAAGTTCATCAATTCTCTAATACAAGAACCGCCAACTTGATCTATGCACAAATATTTGCCTTGATCTTATTGATATTTCGGTTACCAAACTACAGCAAGCACGGCGTACATATAGCGCGAATGTCACCGCTACACGTTTACTAAGTTCACCTCTCACCCACACCCATTCTCTGACAATATGACCATAGTCTCAGATGATCCCGCGTGGTGGCCGGTCATCAATTTAGATCGTTTTGCCAGCTATTTTCCAGGTTCGTAGAGAGCAATCGAATGTTGACGCTGAGCGCTGACTCTGATATCTCAATCTAACCTTGGCTCCGGCATCGCAGTTGCCGCCTTTGTTGCGGTGACGTATGATTGGTGTGAGCACGATAATATTAAAGGATTGCTGATATCTTACAAGTATTTTCAGCACTCACATTTGGACAAGAGGTATGTCAATACTATCACTGGAACCCGTCTTGCTAATAATCTTTTTGTAGGTTGAACTCATCTGGGTGAGTAGAGTCTCATGTCAGAGGGAACACACATGAAAATGCACTTAATTACAGAGACAACGGTGGTCGCTCATGACAGTTCTGTACCTCAGTGTATGTAGCTTGTGTGTCGCAGTTATCAGGATGTGCTGACTTGAAAGTATTCTAGGTGCGCTATCTTGGAATCTTGTATGCTGCGTATGTTCGGAAGGCGAAACAATCGATGTTGTGCTAATCATCTATGTCTCGTAATCAGCATGTCTATCCTGGGTATGTCGCCTTAGTATATTCACTTTCTTCGCTTCTTCTAACCAGCGGCATGCAGATAGTGTTCCGACGATCTGGCTGACAGATACAGTGAGTCTTCTGCACAGATGCCTGCTATTCCCCTTCAATTAACCGTGGTGCCCTGTAGCAGTGGGTTTGGTTCTTTGCTACCAACTTCTTGGTTCGCTAATAACTGCCACACTGTACTGCGACAGATGTAAGTCTTTGGAGTGTGTGTTATCCGAGGCTGGTCACTGACTGGATTTGTCAGGCTTCATTATATACGTCGTACAGAATTGGATGGGTGTGTTGGTATCTGCACTGCTGTGGGGTGAGCTTGGCGCTTGCGAGACCTCAGGAATATTGAACTCGACTGAAACATGCTGCAAGTCATCATCATCACTCGGTTGCATGCCATGTATCAACGATCCAGAAAGATCCTGATATTTCTTGTTGTCACCTTCCTGGCAATCAACACTTTTGACGGAGTGTCAGCCTTAATGACAACGATGCATACTTCAGGAGGTATGCTTAATTATGGATGGAAACGAACGTGCATAGGGCTCATTGATGGACACCAGAGGAACGCATTCTCTCCGGCACCTACCAGTGCACGTTTGGCTATACAGGAGATGCCCTAGTTCTGGATTCTGCTACTTGGATACTCTCCATTGTGTGGGAGGTGCTCACACTATGTCTCGCAGTCTGGATTGCGGTGAAACACTTCCGTGAACTGCGATTACATGCGGCAGGAGGGATTATCAGGGACTGTTTTACGGTGTTGATGAAAACTCACGTGGTTTACTTTGCGAGGTAAGTTCATATCGTGATTATTGTCCTTTTTCCACTGAAGGGTCGGACATGATAGCTTTGTCGCTGTCTCTTGCTTCGAGCTCATTATTGGATTCACTCTAACATTATCAACGGTATGTCAATCTTTCACTTACCTCTACATGTGACCACGATCTATCATTTCTACAGAGCCAATATCTCCTAGAAGATGAGACTTTGGGTGGCTTGTTTCAGATCTTGGAGGTCGTGCAGATGTTCGTGCTAGGACCACGGCTGATCCTTGGCGTTCGAGAATATCATGCCAAACTCGTGGCTGGCTCCGATGCAGCAACCGGCATGACCTCAATCGCTTTCCAAGAGCGCGTGCATATATCGACTGGCAGTAGTGTGTAATGCTCGGTGAAGTTGGCGCGAACGGTTGACTAGTACTTGCGGGGAGCATGGGAATTTTTTATTTATTTCTATTCCAAGCCTCGTTGCGGTGCTCAAGTAGTTATTTAGTGTCACAAAATGGATGTCAAGGAGATATAGGTTTAGGCGATATTTTCGTCGCAGTATTTATTCGATTTATTTGCTATAGGTCTTGACATAGACAATGTTTCAACCGATGTCCTGGATATCTCTACTGTACCAACGAAGGAAAGCAGTGTACAGAACGAGGAAGTCGAAGAGCGAGAGATGTTTATAGGCGATGTTACCGGAACGTTAGATGCAAGTTTGCGTTTGCTCCTGCTTCTCATCTTCGAGAACAACTAGTGACTCACCCCTCGTCGTATCGAAAGCACTATGGCCCATGGGACATTGACTTTCGTAAAGTGGTGTAGCCGTCTTGTAGCATATATAGGTATCATGCTCAGGCTTCATGAGCGCAGACATGGACAATAGTGCACGCGTGTAAGCCAGTTAGCGTGAGTCAAGAATGGGAGGTTGAGCATCAGTGAACTGATGGACGAATTAGAAAGACATATATAACAATATATAGCACATATTCACAAGCATCAACATAATTCTGCTATTGATCGTTACATATGAATATTTGACCTTGTAGAGGAAACAATAGTCAAGGTTGTAACTCGTATCATGAAGGAGTTTATTAGGGCTGCACACCGTCGCCGTAATAGACGGTTTGTACGGCGACCGTCGACGGATACGGTTGCCGTACCGGCGGGTCTGCAAAGGGAGGCAGACAGGTACGGTGTACGGCCTAGCCGTACACCGTACAAACCGTCTTCCATACGGCCGTCGACGGTACCTTTACGGCTTATACGGTCGGAACAGGGTGCCGGTTTACCCGGTAGCTTCTTGCCCTGAACCGCCATGCCCTGCACCACCAACGACAACAACAAGCTGACTATATCGCTACATCCGTTGCACGGGACTGCACACCATCTACCAGCACAGGCCGCCATGCAGATGTGTCAGATGGCAGAATGTCCCCATCAAAGGTGAACTTTACAGCGAGGTATAAGAAGCGGTCGAATCTGTCAGTGGACGAATTCGAGGAGTATCTGAAGCTTCCGCAAGAGGACTTTGACCTTTGCGACCCCATTCAATGGTGGGCAGGTCGCCGAGCACAATTTCCGAACCTCTCTCGACTTGCGCGTGATATCCTTTCAATACCTGGTGAGTACTTACTCCATGTCCCAGGTGTCTGTACTTAGTTCTCTTCTTTGTAGGATCTGCTGTTGCTGTTGAGCGAGTTTTCTCTGGTGGTCGTGACACGGTTTCACTGCGGCGCGCTAGTCTCAAGCCTGAGACTATCAGGACATTGATGCTCGTGAAGGCGAGGCTTCGTTTGGGTCGTTCGTAGTTGATTTGCATTCCGTATGTACCGTACACCGCCGTATACGTCCGTATAATTCACCGTACCGTACCGTCCACTTCGTCCACCACCAATGTCATGTACGGTGTACGGGTTAGCCGTATACCGTATTTATACCATATGTATACGGCCGTCTACCGTATACAGCAATAAGGTCTGAATTTCTAGGGAATTTTGATCCTATAGAAATGAGGGACTGTGGTTGCATGCAGACTCGCCGAGGTCGTGGTTGCGCAGCCGGCAAGACCTGCACTTTGATTACAAAGATACTCCCATATGCAGGAGGATTTTTCTCCGAGTCATTTAGCTATTTCGCTCATCACTCACTGCAGGTACCATTAAGAGGACCTCAACTGCACAGATGATCGAGACAGACGGGCAGGTGGCAGGGGCGGCAGGTGTTTGGTTCGGAGTCGAGAAGGTTGCGTGTGCAAAGGTACGTCATCATCATCACAGCTCAACAGTGCTATGCAGACGAAGCACCTACTACTAGGCTGTACCGCAGTTGGTGCCATGCTATGCTTCCATGCTGCATTGTATTCTATCCTCACCTGTTGTAGTGCTGTCATTATATTCACAGAATCTATCTATAACTTTTTACATGGCGAGACCTGAGGGTCGTTTTGGAAGTGCGCGTGGATGACAGCTTTTTTTGTGCATGCTTGCGTCCATTTCCTTCGTCTAGCGACAGGACGACGACATATGGCTCTCCACCAACATCTTCTTGAATCCCTCACCTACATCGATTCATTCTATTCTTGAATAATACATCTGCAGCAGCCGCGAGTGCCTGGCCCGTGCGGATTGAGGCTGCGCGTCCATTGTTTCGATCTTCACGTTTACAATGATCCTGCCCTGCTCTTGACATTATTCTTTCACAGTTTTTGCATGTACACGCCACCGTTTTCGACAGCACAATATGATGAGATACGGGGATACGTTATGGGCGGTTTCCTGTGCTTGCTATCCGTTTGATTTTCGTACGTCTCTTCCATCGTGTCTCTCAGTTGTTATTTACTACGAGATAAACGGTTGAATGGCGCTTTCTGAGTAGTGGTCAATTCATGTCTCCCTTTGCGTATCCATTGTCTAACAGATTCTAACTTGCTTTACATTGCTCGTAGTTCTCGATGTGTGGATCAGAATATTTCTTCGGAGAACGTGGAAGATGATCGCCGTGGTGATGCTCAAGGCAAAAAAACCTCTTCTGGATGGTACCTTGTTATGCAGGTGACACGTTCTGATGCAACCGGAGCTGCAACTCTCACGACCACACGATGATAAGATTATATGCCAAATGCTGCAGTTTGTGATAAGGCACGATCACCATTTGTAGGGCTGGACGAGGAAAACCTACGAGAGGATGAGCGTTTATTAGTGAGAGACTGGTGTGCGCCATCTGGGAAGCGGATTGCAGTGCCTGTTCGTATCGAGCCCAAGGTGTATTTCGCAAACGAGCGCACGTTCTTGGTACGACTTTTTTGCATTAGGTGAACGTGTTCGTCTGCTGATGTTTATCGCAGAAATGGGTGAGCTTTGCGGTGCTGATCGGCACTATCGCTACTACGTTATTGAACTTCGTACCTGCATGTGATCCACGGGGCCTGATTAGCGCTGCGCTATTCACTCTGGCTGCGCTGCTCGCGATCGCCTATTCAGCGATCATCTTCGTGTATCGAGCGCTTCGTCTGCGTGCACGATCGACAGAAGGGCTTTATTATGACAAGTACGGACCGACTATTCTTTGCTTTGTGCTGTTGGCTGCGCTGGGGACCAACATTGGGTTGAGGGTGGCGGATATGTGATGACATGGCTGGGCCTTGGACGCTGATAAATATACAGCTGACGTGAGGACCTCATTTCCTCTTTATGTAAGGTCTGTCCTACAGAAGCTTAGCCGCAATGAACTATTTTTGTTTCCAATTCCATGTGATTCGCACTGCGCAGGGGACCAGATCTCAGATCAATATTTGGTGGCAACACTGCTTCTGCCAAAGATGGAATCTATCTACTATGGAAAGCCAGACCAACGGTGGTCTGGCTTTCCTCCATAATCTACTATCGTCGCGTCCACGTTCACACCTACTGAGCTCAAACGTGTACCGTTCCTTTCTTCGCGTTAACGTTGTCCCATGTTAACAAGTTATTGTACCTCCGAATCTCGTACTCGTCTGCTTGCGAAGAGTTATGTAACCCTCTAAGTACTGCCCAACTTAGCCACAGACGGAGCTTCCAGGGAACGAGTTCATTAATTTTCTAATACAAGAACCGCCAACTTGATCTATGCACAAATATTTGTCTTGATCTTATTGATATTTCGGTTACCCAACTACAGCAAGCACGGCGTACATATAGCGCGAATGTCACCGCTATACGTTTTCCAAGTTCACCTCTCACTCACTCCCATTCTCTAACAATATGACCATAGTCTCGAATGATCCCGCGTGGTGGCCGGCCATCAATGTATATCGTTTTACCAGCTATTTTTCAGGTTCGTAGAGAGCAATCGGATGTTGACGCTGAGCGCTGACTCCGATGTCTCAATCTAACCTTGGCTCCGGTATCGCAGTTGCCGCCTTTGTTGCGGTGACGTATGATTGGTGTGAGCACGATAATATTAAAGGATTGCTGATATCTTACAAGTATTCTCAGCACTCACATTTGGACAAGAGGTATGTCGATACTATCACTGGAACCCGTCTTGCTAATAATCTTTCGGTAGGTTGAACTCATCTGGGCGAGTAGAGTCTCATGTCAGAGGGAACACACATGAAAATGCACTTAATTACAGAGACAACGGTGGTCGCTCATGACAGTGCTGTATCTCAGTGTATGTAGCTTGTTTGTCGTAGTTGGCATTTTGTGCTGACTTGAAAGTGTACTAGGTGCGCTACCTTGGAATCCTATCTGCTGCGTATGTTCGGAAGGCGAAACAATCGATGTTGTGCTAATCATCTATGTCTCGTAATCAGCATGGCTATCCTGAGTATGTCGCCTTAGTATATTCACTTTCTTCGCTTCTTCTAACCAGCGGCATGCAGTTGATGTTCCGACCATCTGGCTGACAGATACAGTGAGTCTTCTGCACAGATGCCTGCTATTCCCCTTCAATTAACCGTGGTGCCCTGTAGCAGTGGGTTTGATTCTTTACTACCAACTTCTTGGTTCGCTAATAACTGCCATACTATACTGCCACAGATGTAAGTCTTTGGAGTGTGTATCATCCGAGGCTGGTCACTGACTGGATTTGTCAGGCTTCATTATATCCATCGTACAGAATTGGATAGGTGTGTTGGTATTTGCACTGCTGTGGGGTGAGCTTGGCGCTTGCGAGACCTCAGGAATATTCAATTTGACTGAGACATGCTGCAAGTCATCATCATCACTCGGTTGCATGCCATGTATCAACAATCCAGAAAGATCCTGATATTTCTTGTTGTCACTTTCCTGGCGATCAACACTTTTGATGCAGTAAACGCCGTTCTGATGATCATACATATTTCAGAAGGTACGCTTAATTATAGATGAAAACGAACGTGCATAGGGCTCATTGGTGGATACCAGAGGACCTCATTCTCTCCGGCACCTACCAGTGCACGATTGGCTATACAGGAGATACCCTAGTTCTGAATTCTGCTGCTTGGATACTCTCCGTTGTATGGGAGGTTTTCACACTATGTCTCGCAGTCTGGATTGCGGTAAAGCACTTCCGTGAACTGCGATTACATGCGGCAGGAGGGATTATCGGGGACTGTTTTACGGTGTTGATGAAAACTCACGTGGTTTACTTTGCGAGGTAAGTTCATATCGTGATCATTGTCCTTTTTTCCACTGAAGGGTCGGACATGATAGCTTTGTTGCTGTCTCTTGCTTCGAGCTCATTCTCAATTTCATTCCAACATTATCAACGGTATGTCAATCTTTCACTTACGTCTACATGTGACCACGTTCTATCATTTCTACAGAGCGGATATCTCCTAGAAGATCACACTTTGTCTGGCTTGTTTCAGATCTTGGAGGTCGTGCAGATGTTCGTGCTAGGACCACAGCTAATCCTTGGCGTTCGAGAATATCATGCCAAACTCGTGGCTGACTCCGATGCAGCAACCGGCATGACCTCAATCGCTTTCCAAGAGCGCGTGCATATATCGACTGGCAGTAGTGTGTAATTCTCGGTGAAGTTGGCGCGAACGGTTGTCTAGTGCTTGCAGGGAGCACGGGAAATTTGTTTTTTTTGTTTCTATTCCAAGCCTCGTTGCGGTGCTCAAGTAGTTATTTATTGTCACAATAGATATCAAGGAGACATAGATTTAGGCGATATTTTCGTCGCAGTATTTATTCGATTCATTTGCTATAGGTCTTGACATAGACAATGTTTCAACCGATGTTCTGGATATCTCTACTGTACCGACGAAGGAAAGCAGTGTACAGAATGGGGAAGTCGAGGAGCGAGAGATGTTTATTGGCGATGTTACCGGAACGTTAGATGCAAGTTTCGGTTTGCTCCTGCTTCTCATCTTCGAGAACAACTAGTGACTCACCCCTCGTCGTATCACAAGCACTATGGCCCATAAGATATTGACTTTCGTAATAGGGTGTAGCCGTCTTGTAAGTAGCATATATAGGTATCATGCTTTTTCAGGCTTCATGAGCGCAGACATGGACGATAGTGCACGCGTGTAAGCCAGTTGGCGTGAGTCAAGAATAGGAGGTTGAACGTCGAAATTGAATGATGGCATGGTGTAGTACATGAATGAGTTGTGAATGTCTGATACAGACCGCTGGATAGGCGGAGCGGTGATTGCGGGCTTTATTGATCATGCGGCAAGGCCCTCGACATCCTCACGTACTTCGACATTGCTTCGGTCCAAAAAGCGGAGGAAGCGCGTCTGGCAGGTGAAGGTGGGCCGAAGAGTCCAGTGCGGAGCATGATAAAAAATTCCTGGAATGGTCGGAACAGAAAGAACGGTCGATGATGTGGCTTTGTTGAGCTACCAAAGTTTTTTGAGCTGTACAAGCGTGTTTCAGAGAGCTCAGACGATGCTTCGCCACCGTGCGGAGTGCTGCTGAGCATTGCCGAACAGGGGAGATTTATCTGAACATCCAGGGTACTAACATCTGAGCATCGCATACCAAATATAACACGGTTACGCCAACACACCCAGAAAGGGACATGCAAGGACCAGCACCAGTTCAGCGACTCGGCTCACCATCATTAGGCGCATCGGTAAATGCCGAGCCGTCATGTTCACGTTCCGTCAAGGTATGGGGTTTTAGAAGTCAAACTTCAGACTCGGTTTGGACAAGAGCCTCCCAAGTGGGTGACATATCTGGTCCAGTCACATCTTGTCGAAGCTGTTCCCAAGTTCAGGTATGATTCTCACCCGCAAAAAAAGTGGTTTCATGTCACTCACGGACTGCCGCTAGCAAATTCATCCATGGCTGCGCTACCCTACTGCCTAATCGCGTAGATCTCGTGCCCTTCTGGCTGCCTCAAAGTAAGCGGAAGAGCCTGCTTCCATCTTATTTCCTTGCCTTACATCATTCACAGTGGACAACCGATATCCTCAAGCCCAATACTGGATACCTCACAGTCGAGCGTCCGACAAAGAGTACTCCTGATTTTCAGTCCGGTATTCTCTCGCCCATCTCGCCCGTTTTACCGGTACACTCCTATGTTGAGCCTGTCTCTGAAGGGGAGGAAGATGAAGAGATGGACTTGGCGCCTGCTAGAGACGAGTTTCGGCGCACGGGGCTGCCGCACGAGGACGTTGCGGCTGCTATCGCATTTCGTGAAAAGTCCCTCAAGGAACGTGAACCTGCATCTCAGTCCAGGGGAAGCAGCAGCACGTCTGAAGTGGTATACGATGAACGCACGCCATTGCTGAAGCTGCCACAGCCTCCGAGGACGGAGAGGAATGTGTCGATTGACCCGCTTGCGCCGTCTTCTGCATTCGATGAGCGTCTGCGTGAGCGTTTACATGCGAATAAGAATGTGCCGCCGCATGTACAGGATGGTGAGATGCAGGAGGCTGTAGGACTGGTCGAAGAAAATCTGCGAGAGGATGAGCGTTTATTAGTGAGGGATTGGTGCGCGCCATCTGGCAAGCGGATTGCAGTGCTCGTTCGTATCGAGCCCAAGGTGTATTTTGCAAACGAGCGCACGTTCTTGGTACGACTTTTTTGCATTAGGTGATGGTTATACAGCTGACGTGAGGAACTCATTTCCTCTTTAAGGTCTGTCCTACAGAAGCTTAGCCGCAATGAACTATTTTTGTTTCCAATTACATGTGATTCGCACTGCGCAGGGGACCAGATCTCATCGGCCAGAAATCAGTGATGCTCGTGTTACAAAATGTGTTCACATGTGGCGCCAACACTGCTTCTGCCAAAGATGGTTCATCTACTCGTTCCTTTCTTCGCGTTGTCCCATGTTAACGAGTTATTATACCTCCGAATACCGTCCCTGTCTGCTTGCGAAGAGTTATGTAACCCTCTAAGCACAGCCCAACCTAGCCATTGTCAAACGAACGGAGCTTCCAGGGAACGAGTTCATTGGTTTTCTAATACAAGAACCGCCAACTTGGTCTATGCTATACGTTGACCAAGTTCACCTTTCACCCACACTCATTCTCTACCAAAATGACCATAGTCTCAGATGATCCTGCGTGGTGGCTGGCCATCAATGTATATCGTTTTGCCAGCTATTTTTCAGGTTCGTAGAGAGCAATTGGATGTTGACGCTGAGTGCTGACTCCGATGTCTCAATCTAACCTTGGCTCCGGCATCGCAGTTGCCGCCTTTGTTGCGGTGACGTATGATTGGTGTGAGCACGATAATATTAAAGGATTGCTGATATCTTACAAGTATTTTCAGCACTCACATTTGGACAAGAGGTATGTCAATACTATCGCTGGAACCCGTCTTGCTAATAATATTTTTGTAGGTCGAACTCATCTGGGTGAGTAGAGTCTCATGTCAGAGGGAACACACATGAAAATGCACTTAATTACAGAGGCAACACTGGTCCCTGATGACAGTTCTGTACCTCAGCGTATGTAGCTTGTGTGTCGCAGTTATCAGGATGTGCTGACTTGAAAGTATTCTAGGCGCGCTATCTTGGAATCTTATATGCTGCGTATGTTCGGAAGGCTAAACAATCGATGTTGTTGTGCTAATCATCTATGTCTCGTAATCAGCATGGGTATCCTGTGTATGTCGCCTTAGTATATTCACTTTCTTCGCTTCTTCTAACCAGCGGCATGCAGATAGTGTTCCGACCATCTGGCTGACAGATACAGTGAGTCTTCTGCACAGATGCCTGCTATTCCCCTTCAATTGACCGTGGTGCCCTGTAGCAGTGGGTTTGGTTCTTTACTACCAACTTCTTGGTTCGCTAATAACTGCCACACTATACTGCCACAGATGTAAGTCTTTGGAGTGTGTATTATCCGAGGCTGGTCACTGACTGGATTTCTCAGGCTTCATTATATACATCGTACAGAATTGGATGGGTGTGTTGGTATATGCACTGCTGTGGGGTGAGCTTGGCGCTTGCGAGACCTCAGGAATATTGAACTCGACTGAAACATGGTGCAAGTCATCATCATCACTCGGTTGCATGCCATGCATCAATCCAGAAAGATCCTGATATTTCTCGTTGTCACTTTCCTGGCAATCAACACGTTTGACGGAGTGGCAGTCTTAATGTCAACAATGCATACTTCAGGAGGTACGATTAATTATAGATGAAAACGAACGTGCATATGGCTCATTGTGGGATACCAGAGGAACGCATTCTCTCCGGCACCTACCAGTGCACGATTGACTATGCAGGAGATGACCTAGTTCTGAATTCTGCTACTTGGATACTCTCCATTGTGTGGGAGGCCCTCACACTATGTCTCGCAGTTTGGATTGCGGTGAAACACTTCCGTGAACTGCGATTACATGCGGCAGGAGGGATTATCGGGGACTGTTTTACGGTGTTGATGAAAACTCACGTGGTTTACTTTGCGAGGTAAGTTCATATCGTGATTATTGTCCTTTTTTCCACTGAAGGGTCGGACATGATAGCTTTGTTACTGTCTCGTGTTTCGCCCTCATCATTGAATTATCTCCAACGGTATGTCAATCTTTCACTCACCTCTACATGTGACCACGATCTATCATTTCTGCAGAGCCAATATTTCCTAGAAGATGAGACTTTGTATGGCTTGTTTCAGATCTCGGAGGTTGTGCAGATGTTCGTGCTAGGACCACGGCTGATCCTTGGCATTCGAGAATATCATGCCAAACTCGTGGCTGACTCCGATGCAGCAACCGGCATGACCTCAATCGCTTTCCAAGAGCGCGTGCAAATATCGACTGGCAGTAGTGTGTAATGCTCGGTGAAGTTAGCGCGAAGAGTTGTCTAGTGCTTGCAGGGAGCACGGGAATTTTTTTGTTTTTTTGTTTCTATTCCAAGCCTCGTTGCGGTGCTCAAGTAGTTATTTAGTGTCACAAAATGGATGTCAAGGAGATATAGGTTTAGGCGATATTTTCGTCGCAGTATTTATTCGATTTATTTGCTATAGGTCTTGACATTGACAATGTTTCAACCGATGTCCTGGATATCTCTACTGTACCAACGAAGGAAAGCAGTGTACAGAACGGGGAAGTCCATCAGGAAAACCCCAACTTACTTAATCTTGCTTAATCAACTTAGCCACATTTGTTTCCTCTCTCATGCATCATCTACCTAGTAAATTTTGTATTTTTTTAGTGTAACCTGTAACAAAATATGTATGCTAATATGACTGAACAACTTTTTCCTGAATATGTCAAATTTGAATTTCTAGCAAAGTAGGCTAAGTCACTAAGTACGACTTAAGTCTGTTTAAGGCAAGCTTAAGTAAGTTGGGGTTTTCCTGATGTCGAGGAGCGAGAGGTGTTTATAGGCGATGTTACCGGATGCGTACCGGTGACTACGCGCCCAAAACCCCGACTCCTTTTTTGGTTCAAGATCACCAACGTGTCCGGCCCAACTTGATGTGGAACTAGTAACATACAATGGGTATAGTACCATACAAACGATTGACTCGCAAAGTACTTAGGTCTCGGTTATCAATGTATTCCAGATCCATACCAAATTCAGTCGCCCCGATGAACGCAACACACGCTCCCCAAGAACACGAGTACCGCCAGACCAGATAAGAAGCGCAGAATGCAAGATCAAACATATAGAAACCCAATTCAGCAAGCCAAAGAAAAAGAGTGTCGCCAGTCGGCGACATATACATCAGGAAAATTATAAAAATTCTTAGCCAACTTATCTTACTTATGTTTACTTGAAACAATACTAAGTGCACCAAGTCATGTAAGAAGATCATTTCTACTTAATTTCTACTTAGAGAATTCTTCACAAAGGAAATACAAGAAAGAAATCTGCGAATCAAGTGTTATTCAGAATTTTAAGTAGGCAGGTGATAATAAGTGAAATTTGAGATCTACTAAGTAGTAGACTCACTCAGAGTATCATTACTAAGCGGAAAACATAAGTTGATTTCAGCTAAACAATAATAAGTACTACAATAAGTCAAAATGCGATCTCATATGCATGATGATCAATGAAATTGTTGACATAATAAGTGCAAAAAGTGTCGAGTGTCTGCAAGTAAGTGAGATTGGTTGGCACAAAGTCGCCCCCAAATACTGGTATAAGGTGGGCCGCACGAAATATACTATCAAGGTGGATGACAGACACACAGCGTGCTCCATCTTCAAGAAGCTCCGGCTCTACAACCCACATTCCCGTAATTTCATCTGGGGAGTCAGCCACACGTTTGAACCACTGTACAAGTGCACAAGGGTACGTGATACCATCATGCTTCAAAGAAAAAAATAGTCTCACTCGAGCAATGTTGAGGCCGCGCATGCCATCGGCAGACGAATCAGTGCTAACAAAGACACAATCATAGTGCCCAGGGCCATTTCTCCACGTATCTACAGTGCGAATACGCTCGTAGCGCATACCGCCAATCCCCGATAAATCACTAGGAGCAAAGAAGGTGGCCACGGCTGAAGTGTACAGTGTGATCTTTTCGTAGATCTCAGGAAGTGCAGACCGGGAGGAGTCAGAGCTAGATGAGTCAGAGTCAGCACAGCATTGGTCATGCAGAAAATGCTGAATCAAAGTTGTGAAGTTGGGTTGACCTATCTGATCTGCAATGAGCTCTGGGTAGATCCGTCTGGCTGTAGTAAGGTGTATGGTGAGCGGAAGCATGCAAGTATACACAAAACTACTTACCAGCTGTCTTCGCCAGGTCAACATGGGCAAGGACCGTTGGCCCATCAACAGCATCAGCATCAGGCTCAGCATTGGTGTTACCCTCACCCTCGTCTGCACTACCTTCGCCATCATTAGTTGCATGATGGTAGCGTCCAAAAGGCTCATCCTGGTCTGGGACATCTCGTTCGATGTGTGCTTCCAATGGAGCGTTTAGTATCCCTGTGAATTGTAAAGGTGGTGATTAGTGTTGGCGAGCCCAGCATCATGAAAATCACATACCAAGTTTGTTGAGGATGTATGACAAACACGTCCCTCGTAGCATCCCGCGGTCAACAAAATCAACGCGTGAAGCGGCTAGCTTGTCAAGACGCTGATTGGTAAGTAACATTTGACTGAGAGCCTCGAAACGACTCGACCGGCGCCATGGCTCCTTGACAGCTTTAATGTGTTTGGACTCTGTTATAGACGAACAAAGCCCATTTGGTGCGCCGAACGCTCGAATGAGCTTATGGTAATGGATGAGTGAATGTTGTCGAGGGAGATTAAATCCTCTGGGTCAAACACCGGATGTTCGGAATATCTCGCGGTACCTGTGGAAATGCTTCAAGGCATCGTCCATTGCGTCGAGGCTGTTAGAGCTGATGATGTTGCGGCGAGCGATGTAGATGAAGTCGAGTAACGCTCGCAAAGCCTGTACCATCTCTTTGGGTACATGACCTTCGATAGCAGGTATATAGACCTGGGCAGTAAATGCGCATTAAAAATATTAGTACTGTTGCTATGTAAAATATAAGAATATCGGTACAGACCTTCATGAGAGCTTTTGAGTCGTCACCAGTCCACTGTTTGAATCCTCTACCCTCTGGAAATCGTCGAAGGCCTGCAAACGCTGGAGCTAGAGCGATGCTAGTTGTGTGACACATACTACTATTCAGCAGCAGCAGCAGCTTGAAGTGAATTTGAAGATAAACTTACCGACGGTCAATGTCGTCCAGTATCTTGTTCGCATTGGCTTCTGTATATTGAGCTTCGATGTAGTCGTGCACCCAACTAACTAGGTGGTCCTTGAACGCTCCCTTGATGAGCTGGTGTAAGATATCTGGGGAGAGAAGCTCGTGTATGTCGGCACGTGGAAAGTAATTAGTGAATGGCTGTATCAATAGTGTAAGTTCAAAAGAGACGAGTAGATGAAGTATTGTACACACCACAATGTCTCCAACAAGGCCGTATTCATCCCACAGAACACCTAGTTCGAATTCCTCAACCAAAACTTCGGTGTGATTGCGGGAACGTCGGCCATATGTGCCTTCATCGAGACCGTCTGCTGGTGCGGTGCATCTGCCGGTGTAAGAGCACCATAGTCCTACTTAGCATAGGGACACGAAGAATAAGACAAAAACGTACTTTGGACACCAATTTTGTACAATACATGCAAGCAGTGCTTGCTCGGGATAGTCAGCTATGTATGGTCCAAGACCATACACAGCTCGTCGAAAGTGGCCATCAGGGCAACGGACAACCTCTGGTTTGGTCATGCCAGGTTTGAGGGTTTCAAGCATTTTTGCAAGTGACGAGTGTAGAAGCTGGCAGTGGAACTTGTGGAAGTGTGCGTCCTTGGTGTCTTCATTATCAGCTAAGTAAATCAGTACCACATTAGTAACAGCAGCGCACACAATTAGTAGAGAGTACGTACCTTTTGGAATGGCTAAGAAGCCAAGTAGTACGACACCATTGCGGTGTGCACGCCGCACATTGTTGCGGATGTTGCCAATGGACATATAGACCGGCCAATATTGGTTATGGCCAGTGGCGACAGAGACTGTTGTCTTGTCACTTCCAAGGATAATAGGGACGAACATCGATCCTATTGTATCCGGATCTTGCGCAATTAAGTCCTGCAGTGAATGATAGAAGTGAGACAACAACGCGAAGGAGTAAGTGAGCAACACTTACGGCCTGTTTCCAACACCAGTCGCCGGACATAAAGTCCTGAAATTGATGCGCTCCATCACTAATGCTATACTCCTGTAGCGGTGCATAGTCGAATTCGTCCTTGAAATCCGGGTTTGATATGATGTTGTGAACCAGGAGCCGAGGGTCTTCGGAACCATACGTCATACTCAGACTTCATCCATGATGGAATGTCATCCGGGTCGTCAGGTAAAATTCCGTTGTACTGCGAGCTGAAGCTTTGCCAGGGAACATCACCGAGAGGAGTTGAATCGATGGTGTCGTACATGTCGGTGTGGTTTGTGAATGGCGGGGTATCACTGTGAGCTGCTAATGAAGCTGCCCACAGATTGAATACAAAATCAATATCGCCTGCAGACATTTGGTTGCGACGGTACAGGAAATCAGCAACTTCAAACTCGACACGATCGTTGTATGGCGTCCAGTCGTCAGATCCACGATCTGATGGGCGTGGAGGTGGTGGAGCATCTGGGGGTATGGGATTCCCTTGACCATCGCAGATTCTCCCTTTGTAGAGGAGAATTGAGCATAAATTGTATGAGCATCAAGAGAAGTCATGTACCGTTAATGATGGGATGATATGACCTAGTTACCTGAGGTCGACTCCAAGCTTGGCTGTCAGAACTAGCACTACTACCAGGAGGCTGATCTACATCCAAGCCACCTGTAGAGTCTGCCGGCGGCTCAGCAGAATGCCGATCCTCAAAGGTATCGTGTGGTGCATCATACTCAAAATCATGATGGCTGCCATGACCATCCTCAATGACATCCTCCAAGTCAGGTGGATTGAACACCATATCAAAATCATGACCACCACTAGCCTGAGTGCGACTGTCAGAAGCTCCCTCTGATCTGCTCTGGCTGTGCGAATGATATGTTGAGTCAAATAAGGGATGTTCAGGGCCAGACTGAGACGCCGATGATGAATTGCGCTTGCAACTAGCAGGTGGGGGAGAACTACTGGAACTGGAGGATGAATGGTGTGGCAGTCGGAAAGTCTGTGATTCATGCTGTGATCGCATGTGGGAAGTGCGCCCGGACCTATTATGGAAATGGTGGGTGCAGCCTACTGCTAAGCATGGTAGCGTAGGCTGACGATGGCTAAGGGTGCACATTTTGCGAATATGGAGGTTGGTACTGGATGGTATAGTGTGATGGTGTAGAACTGGCGGGGTAATGAGAGCCTACAAGTCTGAGCTTCAGAGGTGCATGTGGCATGATATTTATATGCAAACTTACCTTAGCATAAGAGCCTGTGAAGGCGCCACTTGAAGCGTGAGGTGTATGCGTTGTTGGGAGCAGTGAGAACCTTCCAAAAGTAACATGAGGCAATGGTACAACAAACATGCATACTACGTACCAACAACGAGGCAGCCATTAAGTTGGACAGCATGAATGATCACCAGGAGATCCAGATCGGGAAAAGGGCAGGGTAGTGGGCTCTTCTAGAGAAAGTGTTTGACATGTGGACTGCAGGCTAGCAAAAGTGGCAAGATTGACACGCACAAGTTCAATTGCAGAGTTCCATTCAACATCTGGGCGAAGTGATAATGATGCGAGTGGGGGATGAAGACGAAGCTGAAATGATGCGAGTGAGAGATGAAGATGAAGCTGAAACGATGCAAGTGAGAGATGAAGATGAAGCTGAAATGATGCGAGTGGGGATGAAGACGAAGCTGAAATGATGCGAGTGGGGATGAAGACGAAGCTGAAATGATGTGAGTGAGGGATGCAAGTCAGGGATGAAGACGAAACTGAAATGATGCGAGTGGGGGATGAGTTGACGAGCAGGCTACTAAAGACTGACCAAGGGTGCGGGATGATAGCCCATTCTGGAATGGGGCACACTCTGAGCATTGCGGAATGGAGAGGAATGGAGAGGGATGGGTAGGTAGTATGGGATCATGTACAGCAGCCATAGTGAGCAGAACTGGGCTGGATGATGGTGTCGTGAAGGATGATCGTCCAATTTGCCGTCATCGGTTGCCCGATCTAGCACTGCAGGTTAGTGCGAATATGACGAGCGGCTACTAAAGACTGACCAAGGGTGCGGGATGATAGCCCATTCTGGAATGGGGCACACTCTGAGCATTGCGGAATGGAGAGGGATGGGCAGGTAGTATGGGTCCATGTACAGCAGCCATAGTGAGCGGAATGGAGAGGGATGGGCAGGTAGTATGGGACCATGTACAGCAGCCATAGTGGGCGGAATGGAGAGGGATGGGCAGGTAGTATGGGACCATGTACAGCAGCCATAGTGAGCAGAACGGGCTGGAGGGATGAAGACGAAGCTGAAACGATGCGAAGACTGCCGTATCAATCGCAGAGTTCCATTCAACATCTGGGCGAACATTGAGAAGACTGCTGCATCTGGCATAATAAACTCATATTAGCATTCTCTGAACCACTGAATAGACACGAGCACATACCGAGGAACACGCTTGCCTGCAGGCTAGAAAATGTGGCGAGATTGTCACGCACAAGTTCAATCGCAGAGTTCCATTCGACATCTGGGCAAACATCGAGAAGACTGCCATATCTGGCATAATAAAATCAGTTTAGCGTTCTCCAAGTCACTGAATAGACATGAGCACATACCGAGGAAAACGTGGTGAGATTGTCACGCACAAGTTCAATCGCAGAGTTCCATTCGACATCTGGGCAAACATCGAGAAGACTGCCGTATCTGGTATAATAGACTCAGATTAGCGTTCTCCGAACCACTGAATAGACACGAGCACATACCAAAGAACACGCTTTCCTGCAGGCTAGAAAACATGGCGAGATTGTCACACACAAGTTCAATCGCAGAGTTCCATTCGACATCTGGGTGAGCATTGATTAGCTCTGTAGATAAAAAAAGATCGATATCAGTTGTATAGATATCATTGAACACATACCAGAGCGGGAGTCCAATGCCAGTGTGCCATGTTGGTGAGGCATGGCAAAACCCTAAGTCCCGATTTGAACCACTTTAGTTAGTATTACGACTACCACCATCGTAAAGTTGACGAAATTTGCTCACCTTTCACGTCTTGCTCCTTCCACCACTCCGACTCACCAATGTCTACTCGCCGTGTTACCCGCACCAAGAATGCAACTCAGCGTCCTGGTCTTGTAGACGCAGTCCCAAAGAAGAAACGTCGCACGGCTGCAGAAGTAGCTGCTGAGCGTCAGGCTAAGTTAGATGCCAAAGAAGAAAAGGAACGTGCCAAGGGCGCTGGGATCAAGCGTGTTGCTGAATATGAGAAGAAACAAGCAGAAAAGGATGCGTCAACCGATGCTACCCCGCAGGCTGCAGTCTTACCGAAGTCAAAGCCCCGTCCAAACCCCATTCCAAAGAAGACTCGTGCAAAATCACCCACTCCGCCTCCTGAAGATGACGGATTCATTTCTGATGTCGAGATGGACGATGCCGCCATTGACACCAGCACCTACAACCCAGATCCATCCCAAGCCTCAGAAACAACTGACACCCGCATGGATGGCTCAGAGTTGAGTGAAACTCCTACTTCGCCACCAAAAAAGAAGGCAAGGATCGACAAACGGGAGGGCAAGAAGGTGCCGGCTGAGAAGACTAAGGTGCGGGATGCTATTAAGGTGGCGCAACTGGAAGAGGCAAATGAGCAGGAGACAAGGAAGAAGAGGAAGACAGCCCAACCTCCCAGCACAATAAGCATTGACTCAGATACGGAGTCGAATGTCCTGGTCATTAATGCGACGCCTACAGCAGCTCACAGCAAAAGATCAGCCCTTCAGCAAGCCGATCACTCGGATGATGAACCTATGCTTACTGATATCCCAGCTAAGCCTCAGTGGGCAATGCCAGCGTTGAGCAATGAGAACACACCTAAGGTGCGGCCTCGTGGTAGTCAGACTGAGAAAAGGGGTAGCAGGAAGGTGATGGAGAAGGCGAAGGTGAAGGTGACGGAGAAGGCGAAGGAGAAGTCAGATGATAAGGGGAAGGGGAAGCAGCAACGTGATAAGAAATCAATTCAGCCGAAAAGGTACGAAGTTCCCTTCTTCTTTTCCTGTCGTCACTTGTCCATCAATATCATGCTCACTCTCGACGAAACGACACTTTATTATTTTTTTCTCAGTGATTCTGCTAGTGCTATGGACTCAAAGGAATTTTCAACTGGCATCAATGATTGGGCTGCGAGCATCCCAGAGAACTCAAAGCCTGGTAGCAAGGCCAACACCAGCCAGCCCAGCATTTTTAAAAATAGATCAGCCTCGCGCTGCAATGGATCCGTTCTTCCCCCCTGACCAATGGCAGCACTCGATCATCGTCCAACTCAGTCCTGACTAACAACGTTTTGATTTCTCACGCAGAACCGGTCATTCACATCAAAGAAGAACCCAAGAAGAACTATCACCTTGGAGTCATTAATGGAGGGCTCTCTGACGAGGATGAGACTCAAGGTCTTGAACGTGAGGCTGCAGTCGCCAGCCCTCCCAAAGGGAAAAAACGAGTTACGAGCTCAGTAAGTGTCTGTTTTGACGTCATGTTTATTTCTACTACTACTGACTACTACAGGCTCTTGTTAAAGATTCCCCCGTCAAGCCAATAGCCCGTCAAACTGAACGAGCGAAGAAACCCAGCAACGACAACCTCCCCGAAGGCATCGATCCCAAAATCTGGCGCCGTGTCTTTATCTCGACATACATACAATATGTCGCGACATTGGCGAATCCCTGGGAGGTTCCCGCCAAGCTGGCCTGTGAGAAGATGCAGGTGATATGGGATGCGATCTTTCCCCATATCGGCCACACAGTGACAAGCCTTCGTTCAGTCTACTACATCGTAAGTGCGCTCAATTTTACTAACACAGTACTAACTTAGATCTACTTCAATATAGGCTGTCCAGCGAGTTGCCGACTCCTACTGCAGCAACATTGGCTCCGCAGCTATCGCAATTGTCATTGCGTACTTTGAGTCTCAGGACTCGCTGAGGGACTCTGATGACAATTGTGCGGAATTTGCAGTGTTCGCACTCAGCAACCTTCGATTCTTATACAAGAAGGCAAATGGTGATGACAAGTCTGTACGTACTCCTTCTGTCTCAATCAATTTCCGAGTTGTTGTTGTTGTTGTGCTAATGCTTAATGCAGAAATTCCGGGGCCTTTATCAAGGCGCATTTGTTGTGCAAACCTTCGGTGCACACTTCACCGCGACCCGTGGTGCCCAAAAGATACCTGGGGTAGACAAGCCAGGTGTACTAGCAAATCCTGCTGGGGGTCTCGCATTGTCATGTGCTGCGGTAAGTACTCGTCATCCTATTTATTCTCAAAACTCACGAACTGACAATTTTAACTAGGTCGAACGAGCTTTAACTCTCTGGTCTACTCATACTCTCACCATCAAAATGGTTCAGGCCGCGAAGAATAAAACCAGCATCTCGTTGCCGAAGACGATGAATCAGTCGACTGGCAAGGTGTCCTGTCGGCAAACAGGATTCAACGACATCTCCTGGGGTACATCGACGCGCGCCTATGCGAAGGCTATCATGAAGAATCTCCGCGAAGACAAGTTCAAAGTCATCATTGCATCTGCCATGGAATTCTCGAAGAAGAGTCGTCATCCTGGCGATGACATTGATGATGCTGCTGTGGAGGATGACCTTGATCTGGATGAACGCGCTCAGCTGGTGGACATATCCGACACCGAGTCCGAGGGAAATGATGGATCTGACTCGGATGTGGAGTAGGAGCCTCAAAGTCGCTTGTTCATTCCTCCTTGAAGCCGGCGCCGGTGATTCTTGTTCTTTTTTCGTTGTTTTACTAGTACTACTTTGCACAACTTGAATGCTACTGCATGTGACTTGAACAGATTCTTATCATGCTGCGTTTGACTTATCTCAGTGATTTTATGTCCTTAAGGGTGCGCTCAAGCTCAGTTCAGGACCTTTCAGAGCGTAGTAAAGTAGTTTGAAGTACATTAAGTGGTGCGCATGCAATAAACAGCCCTAAGTCACCCATGCAAAAGTTCAGTTGTTTTTTACTTAATATTGACTTTTGAAGCTTTGGAGCCTGAAAGTACTTTGAAACAGTCTTTCTGCTAGTAGTAGCCTTAGTAGTACCATACTACTAGTACTTCCTTTCACTTAGCTCTAATAATAAGCACAGTAATCAGAGCAGCTAAGTCACATTCAGCCGAAGACCCTACTACCTTTCACTTAGCTCTAATAATAAGCACAGCAATCAGAGCAGCTAAGTCAGATTCATCCGAAGACCCTACTTGTGGCAAGTCACAATCCCCTTAATGTTTTTTGGCTGAATCCGACTTAAAATATTCATTAAGTGATGCTAAGTTTATCTAAGGTTCATTAAGAATTTTTTTGATTTTCCTGATGTAGGGAACTGCATCAGACCCTTCAGTCACTGGGCACGTAGAACTGATACCCTGGACATGAAAAATGACCGCAGAATGTGTACCAGCCGATGTTGGCCGGGCCATGTAGACATAGGGCTGGCCGATAGGTATGGATTTAGCTATGGCCGGTGCCCCCCAAGTCATGTAGAGTATGACCAGCCGGCCATGTAATCATTACAGGCTGATGAAGCTGGCCATACATGAGTGTACACCAAGCAGGTTGGCTATGCAGGTGGAATGTGTGCTGGCTAGGCATACCTATCTGCTGCCTCTGGCCAGCACCAGTGCACCACTAGCACATGCATGTAATAGCATGCTGGCCGTATATGTAGGAACAGTCCCGGCTGGGACTAGATGTTTTCCTTCTCTGACCAGAACTGCTAGTACAATTGTGTACTAGTAACCTGGCCTGATATGTAGGGACAATCCTGGCCGGGACTAGATGTTTTCTCTTCCGGCCAGAACTGCTAGTACAGCTGTATACTAGCAACCTGGCCGGAGCTGTAGGGACAGTCCCGGCCGGGACTAGATGTTTTCCCTTCCGGCCAGAACTGCTAGTACAGCTATGTACTAGCAACCTGGCCGGAGCTGTAGGGACAGTCCCGGCCAGGACTAGATGTTTTCTCTTTCGGCCAGAACTGCTAGTACAGCTGTGTACTAGCAACCTGGCCGGATATGTAGGGACAGTTCCGGCCGAGACTAGATGTTTTCTGCCTCCGGCCAGAACTGCTAGTACAGCTGGGCACTAGCAAGCTGGCTGGATATGTAGGAACATTCCTGGCTGGGGATAGATGTTTTCCTTCTCTGGCCAGAACTGACTGTCCCTACATATCCGGCCGGGACTACATGTTTTCTGCCTCCGGCCAGAACTGCTAGTACAGCTGTGTACTAGCAACCTGGCCGGATATGTAGGGATAGTCCCGGCCGGGACTAGATGTTTTCTCTTCCGGCCAGAACTGCTAGTACAGCTGTGTACTAGCAACCTGGCCGGATACGTAGGGACAGTCCCGGCCAGGACTAGATGATTTCTCCTCCAGCCATGTTGCTAGTACACAGCTGTACTAGCAACCTGGCCTGATATGTAGGGACAGTCCTGGCCAGGACTAGATGTTTTCTCTTCCGGCCAGAACCACTAGTACAGCTGTGTACTAGCAACCTGGCCAGAGCTGTAGGGACAGTCCCGGCCGGGACTAGATGTTTTCACTTCCGGCCAGAACTGCTAGTACAGCTGCATACTAGCAACCTGGCCGGATATGTAAGGACTTTTGTACTAACAAATTGACCATGTATGTAGTGTGACTTGTGAATATCATAACATCATTTCTCTTCATGTACACACAACTGGCCAGCCTCACAATGTATAATATTGAAACACTGATAATGAATTCCAGACATGAAACAAAACAACACTTTGAATATGACATACAGTTTGAACTCATTTGCGTAAGGCCTTCTTGGAGGGTTGTCTGGCTCTGGAAGATCGGCGAATATCATCAGTCCTGGACTTCTTGTGAGAAGTTCCTGATGCCTCCAACTTGCGTCTTTTTGTCCTCTTCTCTACCACCTGTTCTTCTCTGTCCTTCTCCTGCTCCTCAACATCAGCACGATCTTCATGCCCCTTGTCAACATGGTGCGTCTCTGGTTTTGCACCTTTTTCCAGCATCTGTTTTGCTTCCTCAAGCTTCTCCTTGGCCTCCTAAAGCTTTCTCACTTCCTCCTTCAGCATGACCATCTTTTCCCTCTCCTCTTCCAGCAACTTCATCTCCTGCTGCTGTTCAACCGTATCCTCCTGCACCTTCTGTCCTCCATCTGCTGCATTCTGAGCAATATTCCCAGGTCTGTCTCCTTCAATGCCAGCAACCTCCTGAGGCTGCTTGCCCACCCTCGCCTTAGATAAGCGGACTACTTCTCCTCTAGCTGTGCTGACCGTCTCCAAAATGAGATCAAGGCATTTGATATCCAAGACCGACGTGCTAATGTAAGAGGGGATGTCGGGGGTGGCCTCGTCTGCCTCATACTCAATGACTCGCTTACATTCCCTCACCAGCATCCCAAGACCAAGTGCTACTCGCATGGCCGAAGCAAAAGAAGAGACCTTGGTAGATTTGACGAGCTGCAAGAACTTGAGTAGTTCATTATCCGAGTCATGCAGGGCATTGGGAAGATATGATCTTTCCCAAGACCACGTTGCCCAGCTAGGCCATCCTTCTGGATGCTTGGAGGCTTGTTCCTTGGTCAGGTCAGTATAAAGTTTCACAAGTTGAATATCAATTGATATCATACCTTTTGCAAGTCTCTCAGGCCCTCAACGAAATGTAGATATTTGGGATTGCTGCTGAGAGCCCGCAGAAATGACATGTGGTCCTTCATTGGCACAGCTGCAGGTGCCCCAAGTTGAGCAGAAGATGGACGGCCAACTAGCCCTTTCAAATGCACCGCAGGAGTTGACATAGCTTTGTCCTCCTCTGAGGTATCTGCATCATCGGCCGGCTTCCTTGTACACTTCGTGTTACAGGGATCTGTAACACCTACTAGAGCCCCAGCTCTCCCTACGCCTGCCCCCGCTCTGCTAGACTCCCTGCGCGGCGGTGCGCCGCCTGCGCCTAGAAAGACAGCGGTCTGGACCGCTATGACCCCGCCTGGCACTATGACCCCGCCCCTGGCCTAGACGGCCTTGTACCTGTTCCATGGAGGCAGTACGCCTCATGGACACCCTAGATCAGCGCATGTATACAGCATGTCGCTTCATGAAGATCCGGAGCGCGCTTGGCGCTTCCTGTACCTATGCGCAGCTGCCCTTGGCGCTGCATGCTTGATCAGAGGCTAAGCCTCATGTATGCTATCTCTCCTCATGTCTAGTCATCTTAGATTACCGATATACTATAGATTACAGACTGAGCTAGAATACCTATAGCTAGACGCTATAAGAGTAGATACATTGTTGTAGATTAACTTCACTTTAATCTACTAGGTTCATCCCCAGAACTTGCTCATCTAAGCCTACCAGCTTCCTTGTGTGAGACCGCACTTCTAAGTCGCCCCCATACGACTTAGCACGTATCCGCTAGCCCTGCATCTCGACGAGCGCCGTCTTACCGAGATCGCCGGAGGAATCCTTGACGTTCCGTCAAGGCTAGACCACGCTCAGCTTCAGTAGACTCACTCGAGTCGTCGCTGAGAAGACCTATCCTAGTTCGCACACGCCGACCGACGGTCAGCGTAACACTTCGTAGACCTTGAGCTGGCCAACTTGTTGAAGGTGGCATCATCAGCCGGCCTTTTCATACGGCTACTAGGTGTAGGGCTGGCCATAGCATCAGACTCCAAGTCCTTGGCCAGCTGTTCTGTATGGGTTGTTGAACATTGGGCGGGTGAGGATGGCTTTGCAGGTTCTTTGTCGATTTCCACGTACATCTTTCTCTTCTTCGTCCTTTCTAACGGAATGGCATTTGCCAGCCGAGCAGCACTCAAGTCAGCGACCCTACTCCCAACAAAAATGATCAACTTCTTCCCTCCCAACTTCCTGAGCTCCCAATGGCGCCAAAGCCTATTCACATCTACTGTCCTCATGTGGGAGGGGTCTTTGAAGACAAAACCCTTGGGGACACAATTCAGATCTACGTACATCGCAGGATCCGAACTGATCACACCCCAAGGGACGGGCTTGCTGCTGCCAGTGAAGACTTCTACCAAAAAGATGCCACAGGTGAGACGGAGCAAATTCAAAAACAAATATCCACTGACTATATGATGCATGAACGATTTGACGAATTAATTCCTGTTGCCCTTTGAGGGGAACATCAGTCCGAGAAGGTAGTTGTCCGAAGCCCTCCTTGTCCAAGACAATTTCAGGTAAGGATGGCTTGTCCTCCGGCTCCTCCTCCTCCTGGTTGTCATCCTCGTCCTCATTATCACAAGGGTCTAGTCGGATTATGTACATAAGTATCAAGTATGGCACCGTGTGGCCCAAGAAACCGAATGACTTACAAAATTCTTGTTTTGACCACTCAGAAAACTTTTTGAAGCCTTCGGCCACCCATTCCTTGTTGCCTGCCGAACTTACTGTAAATGCCTTCTTGCACGTAAGAGGTTCAGATTCATGGCTAAATCAATATAAGATATTATAATTTGACTGTCGGAGTAACAGAGAACATGCACATGCAGACACCCAAGGACATCTCCCCAGGTTTCTTGTGGCTGACGAGCATGACAATACGACATCCCATAGTACGACAAACCTCCTGTGAAAAGGCATCGAGGTTTTTTTTGAGGTTCCTCTTGCGGTACCTGGAAACATGTTGTAGAAGAAATGAATTTGTAAAATTGTCAGCTCACATTGCCTGAGATTCCGGTGGGGCACCTTCTTCATTCCACTTGTCCCTCGCCTGCTGAACTTCCTTCTTTTGACCAAAGGTCATACTATTGAACCACTGCCGTGCATGTCCTGTCCGGTGCTTGATAGAATGAGGGACCCCCATCTTCTGTTGCTCTTCCTTGTCGTAGTTGTCCATCTCCTGCTTGAAGAGCTTCTGGGCGATGTCCCAATCAGTAAGCTGCTTCTTGTAGAAGGAAGCATCCTTGGGACGAGCATTGGCTTCTCTCTCTTCTGGAGACACAATAGACTGGTCTGCCTCTTGTTCAGCATGGAATATATTGTCCTCGGCCTTTCGATCGTCCTCATCAGTGATAAACTGGTAATAGCAACGTCTAATGGCCTTTTCATTACATAGTGTCAGCAACATTGAGAATTTAAGTAAATAACATTACCCTCTTCAAGGCCTTTGGCAGATCCACAGGATCATCCTGCGAGTTGCAAACATCAACAATTGTGTCTCATACATTTCGAAGAACTTGACGACGACGCGTTGATTGTGGATCTTTTGCTGCCAAGAAATCGTCCTTGTGCTCAGCAAGGATCTCTTCAAATGACACATACCAGTCAGACATTGAGAGATTGAGAAATATAGGCAAGATCTGTGCAAGATGTAGGTAGGATACCGGCCATGACGTGTACAAAATTTCAACAATGCGGTCACGTGTGCTGCTGTGTTAGAGCGACTGATTTCACTCTTTGCAACACATTAAGCAACAAACGCGTTTCATTCAACTAAGTCCAAATCAAAAACAAAAACATGACCGAAATGTAATGTAAGTATGATGTGACTAAAAGATTCACTGCCACGCCCTCTTTGCTGACCTGCTAGATGCATCCACCTGGCTCTTGCGTTTTCCTTTCATCAAAGAAGGGGGTGAATAGAATGTAGATGGTGCCTGGAACCACCCACACTTGGTGGTCCTTGCTGAGTTCACCATGAAACCCGGAGGTCTCTCAATGACGAATTTGTGAGGTGCGAGCCTCTGGGCGGTACCATAGTTGGAGTACTTGCAGGAGTAGACATATCTTGTCACAGATGGATCAGACGTTTCAGCAAACTGATGGGAGTCTGCACGAACCGTCAAGGCGACCTTTTCAGACCAACTTTTGGTCGAACCACATTGAGGGCACTGCACAGGCACCTCCATTCCCCAAGGCTGAGTTTGGGTGTGGGCGCGTGCAAATGTTGTGCACTCCAGCTGGTGGTGAGGACTAGTGGGGTCTGGAGTCATGAGGATGACTTTGGTGTGTAATCCAAGGCGGCCGGACAACGAGAGCAGCTCAGGGAAGGTCTTGCGCACACAGAGCTGTTCCACCAACACTAGCTCTGCAAATGCCAGGAAGAAGTTAGAAGCCACAAGTGGCTGGAAGCGTTTGGCTGTGAACATGATAGCGGAGGTGAATTCAAAGTGAAGGACGGCTGACATGAGCTGGTCGTAGGGCTTGGGATGTGCAACAACAGAGCCACAGACCAGAAAAACGATATGGGCATTCTTGAGGACCATTGAGTAAGCCGAAAGTACAGTAGTGAGCACCTAAGAAACAATTGTTACCGCGTTAAATGAATGAGAATTTAGAAGTACTCACATGAGAAACTGTCATGGCGACATATTCAAGACCACTTCCATTCTCCTTCGGTGCTTGACCGGCGTAAAGCCAACCACAATCTTGTTCTGAGTGATCCAAAAAAAAGGCAACAATGCGGCCGTTGTGACCAAGGTGACTTCGACATATGTGAAGCCCCCATTGGGGTAGAACGTCTCCAGGAACTTACAGATGATGGAGACCGGTGTGCAGATGGGATCCTCACCACTGAGGATAAAATGTATGAAGGCGATGGGTCCGGCAGCCATGATCGAAGATGAGGCCATCTCGTATTTCCCATTGAGGTGCAGGAAGCTGGGTAGCACCTCCTTGCCACCCTGACTGGGGAGACCGCCAGTATAGAATCCCTGTAATCCTTGTATCAATTTAACTGCTTCAAAAATAAGAAATACTTACATAGAATGGTGCCGGAGACTTCAATGTTGCCTTGGAGTGACACGCCAAGCAAAGGAAGGAGACTGTTGGACGTTGCACAACGTCAACATAAGAGTCCAGAACCTCGATGCATTTACTGCACATAACGCGAGGGCACACATTACACTCATACAGGACAATGGGACCCTCACCGCCATCCCTACAGATCATGCACCACTAGACAATGCATTAGAGATAGAATGAAATAAGCAATACTGACTCACCATACTGTGGGCGTCTGCAGTCTCTAACATTGGGGGTGGGACAGCCAAAGTAGAGGGCTTCAACGCTAGTGCTGTAGCATTGGCAGTAGTTGTAGTAGATAAAGCAGAGATTGTCCTTGCAGAGCCACCAGTGGACTTAATCTTGGTTCTGGCCATGTGGATGAGTGGTAGAAACAGAGGATAGAAGATACGACGTGTACAAACGGTACTGGCCGAAACGGACTTTGAAGAAAACAAAAGTTGAACAAAAAGATCATGTGACCGTGTCAAGCCACAAACACGCCATGTCAGCTTGATGCGGTCACATGATCTTTTTGTTCCAAATTTTAAAGTCCGTTTTGGTCAATACCAGCCTGAGGCAACAGAACAGGCAACAGAAATTACATAATCATATAATTTCTGTTGCCTGTTCTGTTGCCTCAGGCTGGTATTGACCAAAACGGACTTTAAAATTTGGAACAAAAAGATCATGTGACCGCATCAAGCTGACATGGCGTGTTTGTGGCTTGACACGGTCACATGGCTTCCGCACTTTGCTGGTACAAACAATACCAAATATGTTGTTGAACAATAAGGCGTGACCAGCTTCACACGGTTCATTTCTTTCAACAACGTCCTCCCCTCATTCTACAAGTCTCTACATGTTTACCTCTTACCTGTTCACATCACTTCTTTTCACATGCTCATCCTGTTGCCCACTTACACAGACTGCAGCTGTATAAGTGGGCAATGGGTCACTGGGTAACTCTGTTTGTTGCAAGGCAAGTCTCAGTTGCAGCCTAGTTCTTTACTAATGGCCCTTGTTTTTTCAAGGACCTTTGCTATTCTGGAGGTATAAGGTAAGTTTTAGCGTCTTCTCCATTGTCTACTAATTAAATGCTCTAGTATCCTACTACTGGACTTGTGACTGCAGCTGTGTAAGTGCGTCACTGGGTAATTTTGTTTGTTTCAAGGCATGTCTTAGTTGCGGCCTAGTTCTTTACTAACGGCCCTTGTTTTTTCAAGGACCTTTGCTATTCTGGAGGTGTAAGGTAAGTTTTAGCGTCTTCTCCATTGTCTACTAATTAAATGCTCTAGTATCCTACTACTGGACTTGTGACTGCAGCTGTGTAAGTGCGTCACTGGGTAATTTTGTTTGTTTCAAGGCACGTCTTAGTTGCGGCCTAGTTCTTTACTAACGGCCCTTGTTTTTTCAAGGACCTTTGCTATTCTGGAGGTGTAAGGTAAGTTTTAGCGCCTTCTCTTGTATCTACTGATTACATGCTCTGGTATGCTACTACTGGACTGGTTCTGTGTGCACATTGGTGCGCCTGACCTATCTGTTTCATAGTGAGAGGATGTTTCTGTCCACATTGGTGCGCCTCTCCTCTCATGGTGCTAAGTGGGTTCAAGGGGGCTTGGTGAGGGTGGAGAATGGGACACATTGGTACGCCTCTCCTCCCTCCACTTGAAGTGGGTTCAAGGGGGCTTGGTGGGGCTGGAGAATGGGACACATTGGTGCGCCTCTCCTCCCTCCACTTGAAGTGGGTTCAAGGGGGCTTGGTAGGGCTGGAGAATGGGACACATTGGTGCACCTCTCCTCCCTCCACTTGAAGTGGGATCAATGGAGCTTGGTGAGGATGGGGAATAGGACACATCAGTGTGCTTCTCCTCCCGGCAATCAAATGACAAACACGGTGATCTACTGTTTTTTTAGTCTAACAGTTATTGACAAATGTTGCACAGATGGTATCTAATATGAAGTTAACCTTCCTCAGCCGCCCTAAGGTAATCTGTATACTTCAAAAGTTGCCGACACTGATCACATTTTGTAGATTCATTATAGTACTTTATTTAATATTATATCTTACTATACTTCTGCAGTACAAGACCATCGTGGAGAGGGCTCCTCCACGACGGCCTTGTATTAGCTGTGATTTTTTCAATTTGTTTCAACTTAAAAATTAAAGTAGACTCTAAAAAATAATCATGTAATCATTGGTCTTGCAATGCTACTCGGTCGTTTGAATTGATCACGTGACTATGTGACTTCAAAGACGTCCATTCTGCTGCTGATCTATGGCAGTTACTGAGGACACAAACTGGCATCAATGTGCCACTTTCATGGCGCATGATCTAACTGTTACTTCTGTGCATGAGCTTGTTGCATGTCGCATTGGTGTGAATTGACAATTTTACATCTTTCAACTTACATGCAAGCGCATGGCTTTGAACTGGACACTTCCGGCGATCTCATCTGTCATTGAGCCACCAAATGTGAACTGACTGTTTGTATCTGTTCATATTGTAGTACAGTTTGCTATCCGGGTCTCCTTAACGTCTCCTACAAGCGCTGATCTTAAATTTGTCTTGCATCTTTAGGTTTGCATAACCACTAATACCTCAACAATTAAACACTGTGTAGCACTGGCAAGTGGTCACTGCCTTGATGCAGTTGAAATTCAACTTCAGAACTTTCTTTTCTTTATTCATATGTGAGCTCACCACATTGGTTGCATGTAAGACGTCTCCATTCTTTTCACTTGACAAAACATCGACAATAATTTTGATTTCTGTACAGCACATTCTCTTTCCTGCAGAATGGCAGAACCAAGCATCCCTAAGACTGAATTGACCTATTTCGAAAAGGTAATTGCTTTTATTCACGTCAACAGTGGGAATTATACCCATATATAGTTTAGACTCATTCAAGTTGAAATTTTAGCTGCCATCAAACAGTTTGTTTCAATTCTTTGGTTCTACATTTCATCTTGCAGCTGGATGATGGCAGACAATACTGTCACAGCCCTGGCTAACAGACTGCTTACCCGTGTGGATGAACTTCTGCAGCAAGCATCACCTTTTCACGTGTTCCCAGATGGCTGGCTCAATAACAAGTTGCTGGAGAAAGCCAGGTTAAGTTTCTTCAGGCTGCTCTTAACACAAATTGACCATCATTCTTCATCTTTCAGATTGAGACTGTGGGCCGACTGGCAGGCAATTATAGCGGTCCCTACTGGTAGCACTGTCTTAGCAAACAAGATTGCAGAAATTGAACTTTCCCATGCGGCGGTGACCATAGCCCTTGCAATTGTGAGTCCTCGAAAGTGGTTGTGTATTTTGGAGTTATATATTACATCTATAATTGGCCACAGTCCAGGTGGACTGGGATGTTGAACGTTTTGCGGACCGAGTGAAGGTTTCACATCCATTTCGCGCCAACCCAGAACACCATAAAAAACTAGCCAAATATGTTGCCATATCTTCATTTGGTTGTATATCTGAGCCAGCCACCTTTGTTGATCAGTACGGAAAGATTCTAGCCTGGTATTTGCCACAAATTCTAGTGCCTGACCGAGTGGTATGGCGTTACTTGGTCTCATTGAACTATAATCATTTTAATATTTATATTTAGGACCTTGTCAACAAGGGCGTTGTTACATTGGCACCGGTTTTGGATCAACCTGGGCCAAAGTCACAGGCTTGGCATTCACAAGGTTACATTATACCTCCGGACGGCACAGAGTTTGGAATTGGACGGGTTACTTTGTGCCCAGGGGGATTCATGCAATGGCAGGAGGTAAGCATCTGTCTATACTTGGCACAAAATTAAACTAATTAAATTGGTAGCGGCTTCAAGATGATTTGTACCAATCTACCACACTTTCATCACCGGTTGTTCAGGATTGGTTGTGTGAAATGACTGCGACCGAACAATTTCGGTCCGCCATCACCAGGGTCATCGCACCAGATCAATATCATGCTGGCATGGAATCGGTTTCTAGCCTTAATTCTGTGGTTCGCACTTCAGTTCCGGTTGTTTGGCCTTCGCTGTTTTCTGGAATGGAAGTTATTGTAAACCGACAGACGCCATATCACCGAGATCCAGGACCCTCAGCCTCGATGTACAATCTTCTTGTGAGCCTTGGGAAAGGTCACAAGGCCGTACTTGATATTCCTGACTTGGGCGCTGAGCTAGTTTATGAAGCTGGGGCTATGGTTTTCATCTGTGGGCGGGTGTTAGAACATGGCGTCCCATTCTGGGGTGATGGGGAAAGAGTAGTCATCGCCCACTTTATGAAGGATAAGGTCCATGAAAGGCTCGGTGTGCCTAGACCATCATTTCCGTCCCAGAAGGATTTTCTTGATAAGGTTGGGGCTGGTAAGAAGGGAGGTCTAAAGGCTATCCAGAGGGGTGGAGGAGATGGTAGGAGGGGTAGGAGGGGTAAGAGGGGGGGTCTAAAGGCTATTTGAAGATGGGGAGGAGAGGTTACCAGTAGAATCTATTTTTTTTACATCTGTCTACACCATATGTCACCAAAGAAGAAAAATCATCTCAAGTCTGCCTCGTATTCGTTCAGAGACAGAGGTCATTTATCAAGAGACAAGGACCTTGATGTGGACTATGTGGTCCATAAGCGATCCATTGGAAAGGACGGAAACCCTGGCTGGCTGGAGTCCTGTGCAGATCCGCTATACAAAACTTCACCAGGGCCTTCCCACTTGTCGAGTCCAAGGAAACGGCTGAAAGAAGTCTCTATGGAATTGCCAGATATCCAACACAATGATATGTACCAGGAAATGTATGGAGATTTTGTGGCTGAACTTCCAAGACACACGAAAGTATGTCTGCCTGTCGAGATGTTACAGATAATTGCCCTTCTCACAAATGATGTAGACACAAAATGACTTCATATCAGAGTATCTCCTGTATCGAGACACATATCTAGATATCATCTTGGAATCAGAGACCTTTGTCGGTGCTGGTGTCTGCGAGATTTGCCAAATGGCCAAGGGCACTTTTCGTTGTTTAACTTGCACCGGTGACCATGGCTGGTGTGGTTCCTGCATTGTTGCATCACATCAGTCTTTACCTTTCCACAAGATCCAAATGTGGAATGACAAATGTTTTGATGATACAACTCTGGCCGACCAGGGATTCGTATGGCATATGGGTCATGGGGGGAAGTCTTACCCTCAAAATGGAGCTACACCAAGTTCGATTTCTACCACTGCTATCACTGTTGTGCATTCCTCCGGAGTGTTCACTCACAATGTCACATGGTGTACTTGCCCAGGATCTTATGATCAACAGCACCTTCAGCTGCTTCGCACAGGATTATTTCCTGCCAGCACCACAAGGCCCAAGACTGCATTCACCTTCGAAGTACTGGATAATTTTCTTATCGACGCCTTGGAATGCAAAACTTCAGCGATGAGCTTCTTTGAGAAGCTAAGGCGGCTGACTAACAATGCTTTCATGTATACTGTTCCTGTAAGTGAAAGTCCTGATTCTGTCATTCTAGACCTTCTTGAATGTTGGCTCATGTCTAGGATCGATATCGAGAACTCATGAGAGTATCTTGTCTATGGCGAGACTTGAAGAACCGTAAATGGTTTGGATTTGGTCATGACAGGGAAACACAGCCAGGACCAGGAAATCTGGCACTCTTCTGCCCATCTTGTCCTCAGCCAGGAATCAACATGCCTTCTCAGTGGGAGGAGAAGTATGAAAGGTGAGTCAGTCCTGCAATTCTTGCTCAGGCCAGTAGCCATCTGTGGGGCGTAATACACTCCTGGCCGGTAATATACATGTACTATGCACCAGCCGGTATGCCATCTATGGTGCCCTGACAATATCATGGCCGGTTATATATGGCCGGCACAATGCTAGAACCGCCCAGATATAGTGCTGGCTGGCTTTCTTGGTTGCAGATGTAGGCCCGGCCAGTACTTTGCCCATGCCAGGTACTAAATGTTCTGGCCAGTGGAAGACCGGCCAGTGTCAGTTATGCACTACCTAGATAATGGTGGGCTGAACCACACTGGGTAAGATTGAATGCTGACTTTTATTTGCAGGTGGCTAGTAATGAAGAGATTTGTAGTGGACGGAAATTTTACTGCACAACACATGAACATGCGACAGCCTGAATTGGACATCTACCTCTCGGATGGTTTAGGTTATATGGTGACAGAGGCAGAATACCAAGCTCACCTGACCTCAGCTACAGAGAGTAGAGAGGTAAGTCAAGTTGCATGAGTTGTAGAGCTTAGCCTGAATTTGTGGACAGAGGTCTGCTTGTAGCAACCATCGAGCTGTCAATGCTGCAAATATGAACCGAAGTAACCTCCGAGCTACAGGGGTGGGTGCTACTGCTTGTGCTCGACATGGGTGTTTTGTTCCCCACAGCATTGTAGACTTTCAGAAGGGTGAACGGTGAGTCCTCTCTCATTTTGAATCTCAAGGTTGTGAAACGTTTTTGGCTTCATAAACTGACTCAATCCTTGCCAGTCATATGAATATTGATTACTCAATATGCAATGCCATAACACATGCAGCCAATTGAATCGATGACTCCCTCATCATTTATGATGTAGGATGCCAGTGGAGCCTTCATTTCACAGAACGTGTTGAGAAGAGCCCTGGCTTAGCACTTCCTGATAACACCCTCATTGTGGCCGCAGTGGGGAAATTTCATCTCAGCGCTCACAAGCTTCCTTGTTTTGCTAGATACAGCCTAAATTTTATTCTAGGAGCTGGGCAAGTGGATGGTGAAATTCTAGAAACACTCTGGGCACCCTTCAACAAGATCTCTCCAACAGCTCGGTCCATGAGCCAAGCTCACCATCAAGAAATCCTTGATGATCATATGCGGAATTCAAATTGGAAGAAGCTCGTTGGAATTGGTAAGTGCCTATATATAAGACATAATGACAATTTAATTTAATGCTACATGCAGTTAAGACACTCTTAAGAAAATACAAACGGGCCAACAAAGGCATTGACGACACTAAGGTACCATTCGAAGAGCTTACAAGATCTTTGAATACAAGCAGAGTCAATGGATGGGAGGAAGATGAGGAGAAGGCGATAAAAGAACAAGGAGAATATCTGGACATATACCAGCTAAAGATAGATAAAGGTAAGCTGTTTGAACTTTCCTTCTATTCATTTCCACATGATGTACATTCTTATGGGTATTTTGAAGCACCAACCATGGCAGAAATCCAGCTGAAATTAACAGAATCAGAGTATGTTGATATGGGCAAGTTGGGATTCGTATCTTGGCTTGTTGATGGCATCCATTTGGAAGATTCACAGTATGTCATTAAACAATTTTAATCTGGAGGGTATATTTGAATTTAATTATAGGGATGCATTGAGGGTCGAAATCAGGCAGCTTCCAAAAGATGTGTCCCCTGCTCAAAAGACTGTGGTTGAAGACAAAAGACAAAAGCTGGCTGCTCGTATTGCGAAATTTCATGAAGTTGCTGATGCTATGGAGGGGATTGAAGTTAATGCAGGTACAGAACCCCTAGATGACCTCAGATTTTGCTTTGCAGATGTGTCAGAGCATGGGTGGGAGGGTGCAGATCTTGAAGAAGCTTTGGAAGACATCGATGAGGAAGCTCCGGCAGAAGCCATGTGTATTTGGATGCCATCATCAGTTCCTCACGACGAAGCTTCAGCACTTGGCTTGGATGGTCTACAATCTGAAGAACTGGAATTATGAAGGGGGCAGGCAAATGATTGCCTGGAGAAGTTAAGGCAAACTCTGGGCCACAAGGCTATAATTTACCGTCAACATTTCTGGAGCGCAGATTCCACATGACAAGGCACCAGGTCAAAGCAAGAAGTTCTTCGTTGTCGAGTCAAAATTGATAAGTGTGTCCGAAGCTACCAAAGGGCAAGGGCTGCAATGGTTCAACTAGGGGTGGATGAAGATATTCTAAGGAATCTTTACCAAGAAATCGAGCCTAACCAGCTTGGGGTGGAGAAGGAAGTCACAGAAGAGAATAGATATGGGCAAGGATCCCACAGATTGGCTTGGTTTTGGAACATCAACAATGTTCACGGTTCTCAGCAAGACCCTTGGATGGATGAATGTGAGTTGTAATTAAATGTTATATTTCTCAAGTGACCGGTATTAGTTTACAGGGTTCATTGGTTGAAAGCCAAGGCCAGATGGCAAAGGTGGGAGGAGGAACTGAGTTTAGTCCAACATGAGATGGGTTGGACAGTGAGCTGGTTTAGATATAAGGAGGAAGAGTGGCACAGAAGATACAAAAAATCTGTCAAGCCTGGGCATCAAGCATATGCTCATCAACAGATGTGCTTGTGGGGAAAATTTGGATCCGAGGCTGAAAATTCATTCAAGGAGAAAATGATAGTAGTTACATGATTGTATCATTACATTTTCTATTTTGATGGGGAATGCCAATTGAGCCTTGATCTTGTAGGATGGTCAGGGTTGTTCCACTGTAGTGTGTGCAGACTGGCCGACCTATCAGGGGAAGGTTGATTCAGACCGGCCGACCATCATACAAGTCGGCTCATTACTCATCTTTTTGCTTGTCCAGAGTACCCTTATTCCTCTTCTAACTCTCAAGTAAAGCTCCCCTATTTCATTGCATATATGTCTCACCACACCAAACTCTAATCCATGACCTTCAATCCAGCTGCTCAAAGCAAGTTTCCCCACTGCTTGAGGATCTTTGGGTCACCATCTTTTTGTATCTGCTTTCATGCTCACATCCAAGGTCATGTGTGACAACACTTACTCCAACAAATCCTAGAGTATTATAGCCCAGAGTATGTTCCAATTGCGAGAAATCAATCAGATGGAGGGCAAGATGTATCAGTATCTGGAGTGGGAACTCAATGTGGATCTGGTCAGTTTATCATGATGGAGTTTCCACTCCAGATACTGATACTGGCCACTCACTTGGTATGTGACAGATAGCCCGGCCGGCACATGTCTACAGGTGGTATATTATGGCCCATTACCATCAGCCTTGGGGTGCGGCCGGCCTCCTTCTACCCTGGCTATTTACTTGGTATGTGACAGATAGCCCAGCCAGCACAGATATACAGGGGGCATATATGTTCTGGCCATCATGATAAACTTACCAGATCCACATTGAGTTCCCACTCCAGATACTGATACATCTTGCACTCCATCTGATTGATTTCTCACAATTGGAACATACCCTGGGCTACAATACTCCAGGATTTGTTGGAGTAAGTGTGTCACAGATGACCAGAACATATATGCCCCCTGTATATCTGTGCTGGCTGGGCTATCTGTCACATACCAAGTGAGTAGCCAGGGTAGAAGGAGGCCGGCCGCACCCCAAGGCTGATGGTAATGGGCCATAATATACCACCTGTAGACATGTGCTGGCCGGGCTATCTGTCACATACCAAGTAAGTAGCCAGGGTAGAAGGAGGCCGGCCACACCCCAAGGCTGTGGGCAATAATCAGGCAATAATGTTGTTATGATGCATCAATTACCTGTAATTGTAGAAGGGTAGTGATATATCTACACCTGTAAGCCCTAGACATAGACACATGATGTATCAATGATATATTGGTACCTGATATACCCAGACCTTGGACTACAACTGTGAGAAGATGATACTTCACCTACTGCATCACAATACATCACACATCTCAGCATTCTAATTACTCGAATATACCTGGAAGTGTCAGTCAAGTGATATATCAACTTTCTGGTAGGTTAGTAGAAAGTTTGGCACATGATATATCACCTTCCACCTTGCTGGTCATTGTATTAATATATCATTGTGATGTATCCTAGCACCCTAGTGTGAGCCCCAGGTTATATATCATCCTGCTAGCTATGTATCAGCCCAGCTGCATATCTGGCCGGTGACTATGTACATGGATCACAAAAAAATCTACAGCACCGGCCGGCCCACTTTTGCACTATCAGCTGTGCATCTGGCCAGCCCTGAAAGTTGAGGGTATACATGCTGGCCAGCACTGACCATATGTGTTGTGACCACAACTCAGTAAGCCCAAGTTGGCACACTGGCCAGGTACAAGCTGCATGTCTGGCCGGTGACTATGTACATTGATCACAAAATATCTACAGCACCGGCCGGCCCAATCTCAGCATGCACATGTCGGCCAGCACTTAATATACATGTTATGACTACAGCCTGGTTAGTCCTACTTTGGGCACTGGCCGATAGCAAGGTACGTCCAGTGGCCGAGGCTGGCTGGGACACATTCTACAATCATTTTTTATGTCCGGGGCACCGGTTCTACGTAGGGTCATGACTGAAGTATGTGACTGCATGGGTATACCCCCGGGTTTTTGGTGGGTTTTGAGTATCTGGGATGGTAGCCCTTCATTCTGCGACAAAAACAAAAAAAAGTTTATGCAAAATGATCCAGGATTGGCTGAGATATTGCTAGTCCAACAACTCAGGCTAAATCTTCAAAGCCCATCCCTCCACACATCAATCTTTGCAAGCAAGTCATGATTTTGCGAGTTTTTTGACATTTTGAGTACCCACCTGCAAAGATTGATATGTGGAGGGAGGAGCTTTGAAGATTTAGCCTGAGTTGTTGGACTAGCAATATCTCAGCCAATCCTGGATCATTTTGCATAAACTTTTTTTTGTTTTTGTCGCAGAATGAAGGGCTACCATCCCAGATACTCAAAACCCACCAAAAACCCGGGGGTATATCCATGCAGTTCCCTAGCGACATACACTGTGACGTTCTGATAAGATATAAAGGTAACAAATTGAAAAGATGTCGAACTTGCACTGTCAGGCAGCCTTACTCTGTCCTGTGACTCCTGCCCCTCGCTTTGTGGGTGAACCTTGTCCTGCTGGACCATCGGCCTTGCGCTTTCCTTTGCCATCAGTTCCCTTGGCGGCAGGTTTGGCAAACAGTCCTTTAGCAGCCCCAGATGTCGGCAGCAGCCTCATGGAAATCAAACCTGTCTGATACACTCGAGACCCCTTGGGACGCCTCACGTTGTCAGGAGAAAACGACCAGCTGTGCAGCCAGGTGAGATCCCCATCCATTGCACCATCTGACACTTACAGTCGCAAGTTAATATGCACAACCACAGGCACCGCAGATGTGATCTTAGGCAATGACACGGGTATACCCATGGGTGTCGCCAGTGTCACCCGCACCCATACCCGCAGATATACCCACACCCGCAACGCGGGTGCGGGTTTTATGGTGGGTTGGTAGGTAGCGCACCCACGGGTGCACACTAACATAGTTGAAAAAAACAAAATGTAACTACAATTAATTCAACCTTATTCTATCCCATCCATCCTCGAGTACCTCGTCAGCATCACCATCAACATCGGGCAATGTAGCGACTTTCGTAACATCTTCGTCCTTGACAAGGTTCAAACGGCTCCAAGCGCCGAGGCAGAGTAAGGCGCGTGTTGACTGCGCAGACAGACGTGACCGAACATGAGTTAAGAGGAGCCTACCGCGGCTGAAAAGACGTTCAATGTCGACTGATGTAGCTACCAACAGTGTCAGAACAATCTTTGATAGTGAAAAATTAGACGTACCAGGTATTGTCAGGTAATCGAGTGCCATCCGCGAGAGACATGGATAAGATGAGCGGCGCTCATGCCACCACACGATAGCGTCGGTAATGTGCTCAACATCAGCACTCAGGTAATGGTCGAGCTCGTTCCCTAAGTCGATGGATTGGGGTGGTGCGAGCGCTGACATATGGTCAAATATATTCTAGAACACAGTGAGTAGTGAGTGGATGGAACAAAGAAAAACAAACCTCGCACGAAGAATCCACCGCCGATTGAGCAGGCCCATCAATCGCCATCTCAAGAGCATTGTCATCTTGAATCTCCATGTCCTGGTAGGACCGCTCAAACTTGTCATGGACCAGGGTTTCTGCGGTGTTGATCCAATCTTGCTCCCAACCGGCAGACTTGAAATAAGTCAGTTTATGATGAGGGTGCAGGACTAAAGAATAGTCAGTGTTCATAGGGATGTTGTAACTACTGAGTGGGACGGAAGAACTTACTCATGGCAATCCTGTAGACCTCTGATGTATCGGTCAGCTCATAGTATCGGTCCAAGGTCTTCTTTGCGAGTTGAACTGCCGCATGAATTGATGGAGAATATTTCGTGTTGCAAGAATACTTGGTCATCCGGGTGTCGATTAAATCCATTGCGGGTATAACGGTTGCAAGATTAGGAGTTGATCGAGAGAAGAAGAGGGTAGCATCCTTTAGAATCTTAGATGCTGGTGAGCATGTTTGTGTTTGCTTAGTAAACAATCATAACACACCTTCAAGACATCATTTATCTGTAAGTTTGGTGATACAGTTAGTAGTGTTTTTGAGAATTGTTGAATGCATGGTAGCTTGTTAGTGTTGTTGTTTTTCCTTCTGTTGGTTGGTATCATGCTTTAAGATTAAGGTTCGCACTTGGTACAGTATCAGAGTTATATAACATTTTGCTTACATACCCACCATAGGGGTACGGGTATGGGTGTGGGTACCCAAAGTGCATACCCCCACCCACACCCACGAGATACCCACACCCACAACCCACGTGGGTGGCTGGCACCCATGACATTGCCTATGTGATCTTCTGGCTGTATTCAGAAGGATGGATCAACACCCCTGCAGCATCGCGAACGTCGGGAACCGTGACTGGCACGTCTTCAATCCCGTAGAGTTCAATGGCTGACCGATAGAGGCCCTGTGGGTCCGGCAAATCTTTCACCGTCCAGTCCGTGATTCCTGTCGCATGTCGGCAGTCATCCACCCACCTAGTAGGTGGCTACTCACCTCGCACACCACTATTGGTTGTCTTCTTTTTCTTCGGCGAGAAACACTCTTTGATGACATCTACACCAAGCAACATGAGGCATGAACTAGTGCAGTCCAATGGTAAGCTTACCTGCAGTGAATCTCACTTCCGTGTCTAGGGATGTATTCAATGTTTAGGCCACCGATGCATCAGGCAGGAGCGACATACTCTCAAAGTCTTCGAGGGAGAACTCGGGCACTGCATCCTGATTGGCCTCGGATGCATCCGGAAAGAGGTGGTCGCTGTGAATGATGAACTGGCGCTCAGCCCCAAAGTCTGTTCCGGAGCTTCGCATGAATTGGACGACTTCCCTTCCATCTACAAAGCATGTGAACAGTCTGTTCTATCTCACTAACATTGGAGACTTACCCACCTTCCTCCCTTTCTCACATTCGCTGGCAATGTACATCAGAGTGTTCTGGGCCTTGATGCTGCAATTCACCGCTTCTGTAGGGTAGGTGTCATCCAGAACTTTGAGCTGGAATTGAGCCTTGGCAGTTCGGATGTCCTTGATAACAGGCTGTTGCGTCGATCAGCATGAGACATGGCCTGCCATAGCAAAAGATAAACTAACCTGCTTGAGAGCTGGAAGAGAGAAATAAGGGTCCAAGTGAGAGTGCATGCCCTCAGGCTCGAGAATAGCAGGAAACCACATCGTAAAAGGATGTCCGTTCTTGTCACACCATTGCTCACTTCAATTCTTGCTGTCCCAGAACCGAGGGTTGTTGGTCGTCGCCAAGGTCTGGATAAGCTCAGTGCTGGCAGCATCAGGCTCAGCCACACATGCAAGCAAGGCTTTGACCAAGGCCAGTGCCAGTGTAGACTCGGAGGAAAAGTCATTGTCGTCAAATACTTCAGGAGCAGACATGGTGTTAACAATACTTTCAGAATCTCTGCTGCCTTTATGCCACCCTCCAGGTTCAGTTGAACGTGTCATCCACATCCAGACCTGACTGATCACAACAAAAATTGCTGATAGAGGCGCCCCTGTTTCATCTGCCTTTCAAAAAGTGAACACCCACAACCAAAAAATAATAATCACACCGATCAGGATTCAGACATATCCGTGCAGTTGGATAACAAGAGCGAATGTTGCTGATATGGTTGTCATGTGAAAAATGCATAACCGGCTGAGTAAGCACAGCGGCACAAACAAATCCTCAACCCATTCTGGCCACGCCTCATTGGTTTGGCCCTGGGCTGCTCCACACTGACATCAGAGTTAAATTCACGTGCCTGTCCATGTCCCAAGCTGCAGTTCACCAACAACTTGCCATCAGTCATGCGCCACAGTGTCAAAGACCCTCTGGACGTAGAAATCCAATGGATGTTCAGCCTTAGCATTTCGGACCGTCTATGGAGAGAGGGCGAAGCCAGGCAATCGCATGCTCCGCCATTCATTATATTCCAGGCAGACACTGACAACCCACTGTGCTCGCTGTGCCCTTCTTCACCGTGCCCTCACATATCGTGTTCAAACGACACGGTCACTCCTGCCATGTCTTCGGACAGATTCTATGCTACTATAGAGACCGAGGAAGCACCTTGCAGTGCCATTCATATTCATTGTCTCTTCGGAGCCACAGAACTGGTCAGTCTGCCTGTTCACTTCCATCCAGTTCTTCCCCTGATCACACCACAGTGTCATGACTGCGTCACTCTGACTACCACACAGCTTGCCATTATGAGCTCAGTGAGGACTTTGCAAGGCACAACACCCTATGGCGCACCGCCAGACACCTTACTCGGACACCTAGTTGCACTCACGCATACAACTCCAAGTGAACTGCTGTAAGTGAGGAGGCTCGTTCTCAGTTGCATCTAGCTCATACTCTGCCTATTATTCACGGGCAGGTCAAACATAGCATGGCTCCTCAAAGAAGCATATCTATTTTCGCCTTTAGACGACGGGCGTTTGGTAGCAACCCCTCCTCTTGCCTGCACTGAGCAGTGGTCATGAACCCGGGTTTCCCGTCAGTCGGGCTCAGTTTCAACCTCTCGTGCCTCGTGTCATCAGTCATGCAGGTTCCTGGTAGCTCCCTCAATCGATGTATATTAATCCACCGTCCCCTCTCAGAAGTTTATCCAATACACATAATTGATTGCCTGGCAGAAATGTAATCCCCAGATGAGTTCATCATGTGAATCCAAATGGCACATTCTAAGTGACTGGGATGAAATGCATGAGATTATCACATGGTAGAGCCTGCAGTTTCAACTCAATTGTCACGATCTGCCAGCCAGATAGCGCAGCCAATGTCACTAACAATTGTCACCAGATCATTGGTGAAAACAGCCCACAATCAGTGATCGATCAGACCTTCACTGCCACTCGAGTCAGTGGACAGGGTCAGATCTGCGACAGTATTCAGCACATTGACCGAAGCCCAGTGAAGGGAGTACCCTTATCATGCTGTCATATCTCATACTGGGCATCTCATGGAATTAACTTACACCGGAAACATTTAGCATACCCCCACTAGACCCAAAATATTGCCAGCCAAACTCACTCGACATGTCCTCTACGTGTAAGTTTGTGCCTTCTGAACCCATCAGGCTTAAAAGTTGACATAACTGCCAGTGTTCCAGAATCATTCGCTCCTGCAGACGGTGTACGATCACCTTCCATTGCTCACTGACTTGCTGGCCCTCAGGGCGACCAGCCTCAACTGCCGCCATGTTGGGACACCCATCATCACCCAGCGCTTCGATCGCATCGTTGGACCCCTTGTCTGTCAAAAAGTTGATGAGTTGCGTCACATGATGCATGCTTCACAGGCAGTCATAACAGGATCTTGTGCACTGGATATGCTGACAGGCGAGCCTAGTGTGCGCACAAATATCAACTTTATCGTGCCCTATGGTCGCAGCACAGTTCTGTACACCTTCATCCTGGAAAGTCTGAAATACCATCGGGTCACTCCAAACAGACGGGCACATGTCAGCTTTGAAAGTACCATTCACACTTTCGCCAGGTTCCAGCAAGGTTACAACACCATCACGGTCACCGAAGCCACACCACGAGGCATCTTCAAGGTCTTGATGGCATCCCCGACCACAGCCAACATGATCATTATGACAGCAGGCGGGCTTGCTGCGTTTTACCCCAAATGGACCCTGGCGGGCATAACCGTGACCAACCACACTTTTATTCAATGCCTTCCAGTCGGGTGCGTGGCTCGTCCACCATTTTTCCAGATTGAAACCATGACCAAGTTTCTAAACGGACCATGCGGCGTGAGGTGTCCCACACTATGGCGCAATATCACTCAGCGGGGCTCGCAATCCCTTATGTTGGATTGGGATAGACGATACTCCCTAGTATCATTTGCTATGCGCTCTCAGACAATGTGGCGTCTGTCTGAGCACTGCGGAAATCCGGCCTGCATGCACAACCCCTTAAACAATACACAAACCGCACACCTCCCCCCCAATCCCATGCCTGCCAACCAATGGAGCATTTGTATCCAGGAAGCACACATTGCAAACCACTTTCTGGTTAGTGTGATTAGCAGCCACTCAACTAGCAGGTCTGATACCCAGCCATGTACAGCCATACTGTGGCAAAATTCATGGCCTGCTGTACACTACAAGCGCAATCACCCCCCATCTTGTCGATGTACCTTTCCAGGATGGGGTCACAGAGCTCACCAATCTCTCCCAACTTCAGATATTGCATTGGGTGGATCAACTCGGTCCTGACAGACATGTACTTACTAGTGGTCGATTCCGCAAGACTTATCACACCTATATGGATGACCCGGAGACACTGAACATGTACAGCTACACGTTCCATCGCGAACACACTGCGATGCCCTCGCCCCCGAATGCAATGATTCATGAACTAGCGGATATCACATCCAATGAGGATGATGTGATGGGCAATGTATTGGTGGTGAAGCACCTGCGAGGCAGCAAGCACGATGTAGTTGACTGTTCAGCAGAGGACATTCAGTGCGTAAACAGCATCATCATCAGGTAGGCACATATGAGGGTCATGACCGTACATGGCTGACAACCCAACAGCTCAATTTCTCAGTCCGAATTTTGGACTTAACCTCACCAATGCTGAATGCGTGGAGTTCATTGCTAATGCATGTATATATCAGCCTCATGACTAAATAGTGAGAATACTAATCTCGTGGTGCTCAATCATTCGCAGTGCAGAGTTATGCTCCAATGTTAATTTTTGTTTGACTGAGCCCTCGTCGACAACTAGAAAAACACAGATAATCAATATGGACGAGCACTCATTGTGCAGTGCATCCGGCTGCACCACCAAATGATAAGCTTTCGAAGTTGCAGAACGAGTTGAGACACCTCGCCGAAACACTCCTTTCTCGAGAAAATCTCAAGCATGATTACATTCTATGTAACAACAGGCAACTGAGGGGGTGCTCTTCATCAGGACAATTACATTAGGAACTGCACAAACTACAACACATTTGCCTACACAATCAGGTTCCACTGCCTGCACCTGAAGTACTAGTACCATTCCGCATAATTAAGTCCATGACGTGGCCTCTGCCTGACACGAATGGTGCGTTCTCGAGTTTCATGGCCTCAGAGACCAGGCGGGCTGCGAGATCTTCTGTGTAGGCATAAATTATGGCCACACTGATGTCGTTGGCTAAGCTGCGTGCCATGTCTATGCAGGTGAGACCAGGTTGCTTCATGGAGACTCCCAGGAAGACATACCTGCAAGCATCACGGGCATGTCAAACAGCAGATCGGGCGCAATCAGCGCGCCAGCATCTGCCCTGGTTGGAAAGTGACCACCTGACCCCTGGATGGTGCTTGTCTTTTCCACATGGAACCTTGGCTTTTCACTATCGCAGCGTTCCACTAGACCCAGTGAATAGTAGCACACGAGGTGAGAGAGAGGCCTTACCAAAAATGAACGCCCCCTCTGCATCGAACAGATCAATGAGCTCAGCTACTGACGGTGTGATCATCTTTGGTTGCTTGTGAGATACGTGAGTTGCTGAGGAATGGGTAGGAATGAACTGACCAAACACCATGTCAATTGATAACCGTTTGCGGACCCTCCAGCAGGCTGGCGGTCGTGAGCAATCCTTTGATCCAAGTCTCAGACAGGATAGCCACCTAACAAACAGGTGAGACATTCATCACAGTGTGACACCAGTTCAACCAAATAGTCAACCAATCGGGAGGAGAATCAGTTCGTCCGTGCCACGTCGCCTCTGAGACACCGTCCACCAGACACTGAGAGATGATGGCAAGCATGGCGCGCTGTCAAATACGCAGATGCAAACATGCGTGAAGGACAAACAATCAGAGACACATGCCGAGTGAGCTCTCCCGGTTCCTGAGCAATACGAAGAGTAATCTAGATAGAATGCCAGCAAACAACAACTCGCAATAATGAAACACACATTGAAACTGGAAACAAACAAGGGTGGTGGACTCCTCATCATCTTCAGGGAATGATGGCATCCATGCACTGTGCAAACGATAGCTGTCGTCGCGTAGCGTTGCCTAGACGAGTCACATGGAGGTGGACGTAATGCACACGCTATGCTCCCTCGCCCATTACATTTGGTGATGGTGCTGACAGGCGTGAGGAGGGTGGAACAGCCATTGATGTCGCCAAAAGGAAAATGCTGGGCACTGACGAGAAATCTGGAGGAGTGTAGTCTGTTAAGGCGAGAATGTGTCAGATGAAAGACTGGTGGCGGAGTGTCGATATGATCCACAGCATCAATTGTACGGTTCTCAAACTTTCTTTCAGACGAAGGCAGTTCAAATGATGCTTCAAATGCGATCAGATCAGAAATGCTGGACACGGCCAACAGTCGCCAAAGCTTCCATCATTCATCGATATCATATTCAACCTCGACTTGGCATCTGTAGGAGAGCCGCTTACGCCTGTGCATCAATGCAAGCCAAAGCCGTGAGAAGATGAAAGTGTCTAAACTCCACCGTTTGCTTGGCTCATGCGTCCTACTGTCTTATCGTTGACTGAGCACGTGTCTCTCACATCCAAACCACCCACAGCTTTATTCGTCACAGTCCTCCGAGCAACCACACATTTCCATTGGGCGCGCACGATCTTTCACGATAATAACCAAGACATCGAGTGAGTGGATGATTGAGACTCAGAGTCCACGTGTCTGACCGCTAATACCTTTGGCAGATACCTCAAGTCTCCTACCATTAATGCAGACCTGCCCAATCCTAGCTTCTTGCATCCCGATGCAAAGCCCGACAGTGGCATCTTTGTATTAGATACATCCGACTTATTTGCTGCACTGGAAGGCGAAGGAGGTCACACCAGACGTTTGCTAGAGGATAACCTATGTAAGTCAACGATTCGCTACCGACGTCATCCTTTTCCTTTATTTGAATTTACAGAAGCAGAGAAGTCGTTAAGGTCTCGATCGAAACTCCACGGACTGCAACTTGTGGATCAGGCCTGATCCCACCGAGGCAGGACAGCTAAACCGGACTTCAGTGACCTTGATGCGGACTGTGCGGCCAACAGTACCTACACATGATATCCGTATTGGCCGCATTCCAAAGGTATATAAGATGTGAGATGAGCCTGTCCTACCCTGTGATCCCCTCCTGGCTTCTCTGGTCTGAAAAGGCGCGCTGACCGTGCGTGGCTTGCTTTCCATAGACCTGACTGTGGTCTTGCAAGCCCTGTAGTTGCGACGGAGGGAACACCCACAGTACGTACACGCGAAGTCCGTATTGGCCGTTTTCCAAAGGTGTATAAGACGTGAGACGAGCCTGTCCTACCCTGCGATCCCCTCCTGGCCTCTCTGGTCTGAAAAGGCGAGCTGACCGTGCATGGCTTGCTTTCCATAGACCTGACTGTGGTCTTGCAAGCCCTGTAGTCGTGACGGAGGGAACGCTAAACACCACTGGAACCACTGATCACAGCTATCCCTTAGGGAACGACGGGATAACCTATGTAAGTCAATGATTCGCTTCCGATGTCGCCCCATTTCCTCACAAAAACCAGGGCAATTTGTAACCCAAGCGCACCTCTATCTTTTTTTTGGGGCAGAGCTTGACGTCCCTCGACTCAGTCAAGCCATAGGGATTCACTTGTTTCAATAGCACAAAGTCGAGGATCCAGAAAGTCAGGTTGTCGACGATCTTGGTTGTAGGACTATCTGGACAGACTCGACTCATCGATCATCATGTTTTACTATCTTGCATTGCAAAGTCTATCGAAAAAGTCGGTTTGATTGTAAACACTGCCAGGAAGTCCGATTATATGCCCTAAATTGGATTCGATCTTGGGTTTCTTTGCTACTCTCTCCATCCAGTGTCAACTAGAATCCTTCTATCCCATTTTTATATCCATCGCGTGCAGCCAGCGAACTGCCAATGCGGTGATGGCCCTATTGGGATACAGATAAGTTTCAGAGCGGGATGGTGAAAGTAAGCACCCACCTGTGCACGATCCCAGATCACTGAAGCAAATGGGATATGAACAAGTGCAAGCCATGTGACCGAGCACCTCCAAAACCAGCATCCCTCGTAACCATCATTCCATCTGTAAACACTGCCAGGAAGTCCGATTACACGCCCTGGCTTGGAATCGATCTTGGGTTTCTTTGCTACCCTCTCTCTGTCAACTAGAACCTTTGCAACCTATTTTCATAACCATCATGTGCAGCCAGTGGAGTGCAGGTCTGGCGATGGCCCCAATGGGATACAGATAAGTTTTAGAGTGGAATGGTGAAACCAAGTACCTACCTGTGCATGACACCAGATCACTGTAGCAAATGGTATATGAACATGTGCGAACCACTACCCGCATGTGAGGTCAGCAACGAAGATGAAGTGAAGACATCATTTGCGAGACAATGCAAAGCAGGGAGGTCCATGGTAGATACTCCACCATTTTGGCGGCCATCATATTGCCACACATGACCCACTGCATCCACCAAGCGGGCACTAAAATGATAGTTGCCCAAGTAGATAATGCCATGGAGGACATACTCCACATCCTGTGATGTCGATGGAAACAGCACAGGACAGGACTGTGGGACAACTTCCAATGTCAGAAGCGGCGGCGGGCATTGGTAAAAAACATGTGGCTGCACTGCTCCACCACAACCATTGCAAGAAAGTGAGCTGTCCAGGGTCCAAGACAATATGTTGCATTCAGCCTGCAAAAATGTTCTGACCCAGGTCTGGCTGGAAACTGAAGATGCATCTACTGATCCAGTGCGTGCATCACCGATGAGTCTCTCCCAAGTACTGTGGTTACATAAGGTTGGGAGGCGCGCATTCAGATGGCCAAACACTACAGGGAGGTCAGGCAGGGAGCAACCATTTGCACACTGTATCACATATTGTGGTTCATATGTGTGCTGCGCAGTCAGGAGATGTAGGATGTGAGATGCGGATGCACCATTATGTCCATGGCATGGAAATGCAACGGAGTCGAGCGCAGATAATGCATCTCTGAATCTGTCTCGTGAATCGTCAAATGCAACAGGTGATTGCATGAGTGCTTCAGAAGACATCAGCATATCATAAGATGTTGCCAGCCCATTTGCCAGGGCAGTTGAAGAACGCCATTGCCGCCTCCACCGGTTTCCTGCAGATTGGAAGATGTACAGTAGCACCATAAAGGTGCTGTCATATGCGCAGGACCAGTTGGATGGAGACCATCTGCACCCAGTCGTAGATGCCAATGGTGTGAGCTGCTGATAGACATTGGAGGGGACTGCTCATGGGGCCTCTTTGTACTTTGCGACCTTTCGTGGTGATGGCGAGGCACCTACTGGGCCCTCATGCGCAGGGTGCTTCCATCTAGACAGGACAGAAGCGCCTGTATCAAAAGTAGGCCTCATCTTCAATGGCCACACCTCTCGCTCAGATTCAGGATCAGGGATGCTGATTGCCTCACCTTCCAAAAGGTGGAGACAAACATAGGTGTTGTGCTTGAGTGCTTCAAACCATCTGACCTCCAACAACAAATCATATGGCAGTGGCTTGTTCAGCTGGTCAATTGTGACAGGCTCGGTGATACACAAACCATCTTGCGTCTGTGCACGGGAGGCAGCCACATAACCCGCAAAACCTCCCTCATGTAGATTGACAATGACTTTCGGAAGGGTCTTGCCTTGTGCAGAATGACCTGTGACAGCAAATGCGGGCTGGATTGGCAGTTGTTCGCATATAACACGCAGCTTCGAGGATGCATCCCTCGACCCAGGTGCCAGGGTAGTGAAAGACCATGAAATGGGGGTGATTGGGAAAGTGCCTACAGGCAAACCTGGGATTTGCACACGACTGCCTGCAAAGTTCACAAGAGCACATGTACAGTAAGTGAATCCATTTTTGCACAGTGCCATGTAAATCTTGCGTACAGTGCCCTGAGAACCATTAGCAACCCCGAGATCTGTTGACAGATTTCTTGATCGAAGTATGACTGGCATACTGACATATAAGGAAATGAAGCCTGGGAGGGCACCCGAGGAGCTGAACGCTGCTACATCAAGCCCAAGGAGGTGCTGCCGTACGTCTTGTGTTAATTCATTGGCCATATCTTTTAGTTTGTCATTGGCAGCACAAACAATTAGGCTGTCAGGGAGTATTGCACAGTTAGCAGCCGCCTTACAGGTGTTGAGATACTCCCGAGTCGCATTAGTACCCACAATAGCAGCTGCTTGTAGATTGGAGCTTGTGCCGAGGTCAATGCCCTGAGGGTTGCTCACAGACCGAACCATGCGAGAGTTAAACAGGTCGACATCTTCATACGTACATTGACGAATATGCAAACGTTGAACAGCAGCTCCAAACTCAGGGTCAGTCTTCATTCGCTGTTGTTCTGTCAAAGTGACAACAGTGTTAACTGATTTCCAAGCAAGCCTGCCCAACCATTTGAGAATCTCACACTTGCTCTGATTTGCATGGGAAGCCACTGGCGAGCACAGAGGCATACCACCTACAGGTGGAAATTGAAAAAAATCACCAGCATAGACTATGGTGACACCACCAAAGTACACATCTGGCCTTTCTTTTGCATAACACAAAGCGTGATCCATCTCACAAATGAGCTGCAAACTCAGCATTGAAGACTCGTCAATGAAAACCACCTCAACATGGCGCCATTCATCTCGCAATTGTGTTCTGTTCTGCACGCTGATGAGGACAGTGTAATCTTCTGCGCTCTCACCGGCCTGCCGGGTCGACTTGCCATTGCGATTTGACTTAGTCTTGATGCTCAGCCCTTTGTGAATCGTCATTCCATCAATCAATGATGCTGCAGAGCCCGTGGGTGCGAGGTATCGGATTTGATGCTCACATCTGTAGTGTGCCATTAACGCCTTGACTGCATTAATTACATATGTCTTTCCTGTCCCACCAGGTCCGGTCATGACCATCGAGAGTGGTGATAGTTCGTTCTTTTGCAATACATGTCTGTCGATGAACCACTCACATATGATACGAAAACAGATCTTCTGCTTGTCATTCAAGCCAAAGTGCTGTTCAAAGTGCAACATGATTTCCTCTGGCGTCGACAAGTCAGTAAGTGATGGAAGATTGTCAGGCGTTGAAGCCGAGGGAGGGCTTGTAGGTGAAGTGTTGGGCGCACCAGCAAAACTAGGATTTATAGGGGACACATCCGAAGCAGGGTTAGGAGGTGCAATACTTTGTTGTGCAGGATCAAGAGCATTCCGACGGCACTGGGATACATATTTCTCCTGGAGTTGTATGTGCTTTCGCCATTCTTTCAGAAGGCCCGTTGTAATCACTGCAGGTGAATGATGTTCACTTTCAGACAACGTACTCAGGACTTCAACTTTCCCTGACAGTTCTTTCTCGCTACATGCAACTGGCCTATCTAGCCAACCAGCCCCCCGAAGGATGATGTCTGCTCGTTGAACCTGCAGGTCTCGTGCACGGCCCTTTAATGGCAAACCAGGGACATCAAGGTCATCGTCATCCTCAGCACCATCAGTGAAGCTCTTCATGAGAGACTTAGTGAGAGCCCTGCCCTTCGCTGCTGCTGCTGAACGTTTGCACAGTCTGTCTGCATCCCTCTCGTCCTCACATTCATGTATGGCCTCCCAATTTCGCATGACATGGCACGCGAATTGGCTAAATGAGTAATTAGCGATGACATCAGTGACACGCTGCCCATCTTCAAACAAAGGTGAAGATACACTGAATGGCTTGAAGTGAGCTAGATTAAACAGCGCCCAAGGATCACCTGAGCTCTTCCGAGGCACTACCATACCCACAACTCGAGGTATCAAAGTACGCAAGCCCTCACCTCATTCAGCATTTGTATGTTCAACAAGCACGTGCGTCTGGTGCAAATCATGTCCATATTTCAGAGGGTGTCTGTGAAGCACACCCAATCGCGTGTCTGCCGTGTGTATGTTTTTATCACTCTTCTCCTTCAACTCCAGTTGAACGAAACGACAAAAATCGTAGAAACACATGTGCTGCAGTCCATCCCCTCGATACCAATAATGGTGTACCTGATTCATAGTAATCAGCCTGCCAGCATTGTCTGTCTGCACCGTGAGCGAGGAATGTTCTACTTCATCCGGACCATCGTCATCTGGCTCACCAAAATTGAAAGCATACTTATCTTTGATGTGCAACAACAACAGACCAGATAGCATGGCAACTGTCTGATGCAAGGGGATATCATCACTGAAACCTCTTAGATATCGCACGGCCTGCTGTGCATGGATCTGCTGCTGCCTGATGTACTGGGACACACACTTATGCAGTAGCTGTTTGGCACCCTCAACCTCGGAATCCTGAGGGTGGGAGGACACCTGTGTGATGGCTCGAGATAACAACAACAACATCTCATGAGTTTTGAGGTCAGACTTTGTGATGTAGTCTGTAATGTAAAACATTGCTACCTTAGCTGCTCTTCCAGACAGGATACACTTTAAATCATGATTGTGCCTACAAAACACAAGTATGTAAGGGTTGAAATAGTTCACGGTGCCATCGCGACACTTAAACACAACTGACTTGCTAGTTGCGTCATAGTACGATTCTTCTACGATCTCATGAGGAAATAGAAATCTACAATGATCCTCATGTCCATACTTGTGACAGACACGTTTGCAGCGATGTCATTGTAAGACTTCTCCGCAGCGCTTGATCTCAGTGGCCATCATAGAGTCCCAGTCAGTGAGCGCTTCTGATTGCGCGTCTAACACAGCAGGTGGTGGAAGAGGTGGGCATTGTGTACATGGTTCGAACACAGGATCAATGTCAACATCAATGTCAGGCAAGTGGTGATGTATAACATCCTCAAAGAATGCAAAAAACTGCTGTTGAAAATCAGGACATTCCAAGCGCTCGTGCAGCTCAGTAGGATTGACACCACCTAGCAACCAGATGACGAAGTGACCATGCAAGCTCCCTCGCTCCGTGAACTCATTGGTCCCATAAAAAGCTTCCAAGTGTCCAAGGATTCCACCACGCTCAGATGAAGCATGTGAGTCGAAATCCCAACTGAACAGATGAGTAAAAAGACAGGTTACCGAGAAGTGAAAAAAGTCGGCTGCAGCTACAGGGTCCTGAGCCAGGCAGATTGCTCTCTGATGGGCAGGAACAAGGCATGGATATCGCTGGGTTAAGTCAACTAACTCATCACCATACATCAGCTGAAACGTGGGGCTGTGAGACGCACTTGGGTTGCAAGTGAAGAAGATGTGAGGCATGCCAAAAAAACCAAAATAACTACGTATTTCACTACAGACAAACATCTTGGCTGATTGCAAACCGGGAATTCTTGCAGCTACCATGTTTACCTGGTTGAGTAGATTAAGTGCATCCCAGTCTTCCGCACTTAAGTTTGAATACCTATGCTCCTTTTGAAGTTGGTCTGCCAAACACGACAATGTGCGTGGAGATACACTGTTGAGGCGCCTGGAAAGCGATTCAAAATGTGAGCGCCAAACAGTGAAATGCGTGTGAAGATGCGCAGTCCGATGCTGGAATATATTGAGCACGACAAACATGTAAGTATGATGATAACGGAAAGACCAATCTGCCAGGTCAAAATAGTAATTGGCCTGTTTCTGAAAGGCTACAGGTGCGGGCCAAGAGTCATCATCAAAGCCTCCTATGCCAAACGGATAGAGGGTCGGGAACATTCCTGGGATGAGATCAGGATTATGATGCTCGTCTACAGGCTTTGAACCTCTAGGAAGGACTAAATCAGGCTCGCCAGAGGATGAATGCGCAGGAAGAAGATTGTGCAGGGCTGACGCTGTAAACGCACGACCAGATAGGCGGGTGCATTCAGGATCAGACACACCCATGCTTTCAATGAGGATAGTAGGCTCATTGACCTGCGAGGGGTCACCTGCATTGTCTGAGACAAACAACTCTGCTGGGTGCTTGGTGAAACCAGCTGTTTCCTCAGAGAATGTCGCAGATACATCAGATTCATGATCGTAGATGATACGATCGGCCACTCCAGGAACAGTGCCATCCTCAGGGTAAAGATTCATAACAGCCTCATCCAAAATAATATGTTCATACAAATGGTTATGATTGCACAGCCAACAAAGAAAAGACCACACTAACTGTTTGCGGATACGAAACAGTGTTACAGTAACATGGCATGAGTCCCCTGCCACCAGAACAGCCCTCTGCCACCGCACAGCTATAGACGATACCGGAGTCTCACCAGCTCTATGATGATAGATGACGATAGATGATAAGCGGCAACTGCTGGCTTAGATAAGCGGTCTGGACCACATATGACGACATAGGTCTAGATGACCTATTTACAGTTATCAAGATAGAAGGCAAGCCTCATGTTGCCTCATGTACTGATAGAAGGGTACCGCATGGACCCTATCTACAATAGAAGCCCGCCTCATGGACGCTATCTCTGACTCATGTAGATAAGCAGATTAGAACCCAGCTTTAGGCTGAGCTTAGATATGAAGAGTAGCCTTATATAAGGTCGAAGATTAAAGTAGACATTCCTTACTTTAATCTTACTAGGTTTACCCTTGAACTCCTTGTCCTGCTAAAGCTACCTGCTCGACATCGACTCGTACCTTCAGTGACGCCTCTCACTGTCTGTAAACCCTGCTATCATCTCAGTGTAACCCCTCGTTAACCACCATGAGCTATGTTTGAGTACGCAACCTTTGCTTGTCTGTAAAGGCCGACGACTCTCAGCACTTGGTACCACTGTCGTGGTTGTCGCTGTTTAGATCATCCTAGTCGCACACGACCGTGTGTCATAACAAACAGAGTCTTGAGTGACTGCGGTGTCAGCTTCAATGGCCCTACAAACACCACCATCAACATGCCATTGATGTCTGCAGGAGTGCGAGGTAGTACCTCGGCAGTGGACACTATGTTTGTCTCATGGGCACAGGTGTTTCCATGAAAAACCAAGGGTTGCGCAGGATCACTTGACTGATAGAGACGAGTAACATGCGCCATATTCCTGTAAATGGCACAGACCATCTCCTCCACCCAAGTGAGGTCGCAGAACTGTGCCAGGAGATGGCCTTGATAGAGCTTGTTCGCCAGAGCAAAACATGGCATCTTGGCACGGGAGAGTGACTTAAAACACTGGCCGCAAACATTGAGAGTGGTGCTGTCCAGGGTACAGACCAGAATACCTGTCTTGTCCAGCATAAGACCATTCAGTACGCTGCACTGATAAGTGAATTCTGAAGACAGGGTCTGAACAACACACTTGGCTGTGATGAATGGGTCATTCAACTGCAGTAAATCCAGGCTCAAAGAAAGATCAGCGTCAGCATCGACACGCAACTCATTGATGCTGCGAACCTGGCGCGAGCACACCGCGCACACTACACCAGGTCGCCAGCACGAACCATCCACGTAATCCCGCAAGCATTCCATGACAACATTGCGGGGAACGACTTTCGGCCATTGCGCAACGATCTCTGCGTTAAACTGACTCAGCTGCGCAGCCGACTGTTCTTTGACAAGCTTACAATGTAGCTTGCGTCTCTCAGGTAAGGCAACGATGGGCTGCTCCAAGCGATCGATAAGGATGGAAGAGAATTCTATGCACAACACGAGGGACGACATTGACATGCGCGTAGTGGGAACTGCAAAGGGTGCCACACAGAGCACATCGACTAGAAACATGTAGTCTCCGAGAGACTGTAAGTGCGAGAGACGTTGCTGAACCTGCTGAACCAGAGCTGCGCAACGCTTCCTCTTTGATCTCATGGCATATGCAGGACGACGGGAGCGGGGAAGAGCACCAAAACAATCCACGATGTCTCCGCCATCCAGTTTTTCCAGACGCTGTACCAACTCTTTTGCTGGCAGCAATGCCCAGGACAATGGCTGACGCGCATCAGCATCGAGCTCTATCTGCGGCTGAGGGAACATGGTACCATTAAGGTCAGAATTCGTGGCGCTGTCAGGACCATGGTGTGGGATATGGCCTGGTTCATGGTTCAGAGTAGGGTCTGGTTCATGGTTCAAGGTAGGGTCTGGTTCATGGTTCAGGGTAGGGTCTGTTTCGTGGTTCAGGATATGGTCTGGGTCAGCCAAGCGAGTATGATACGGACGGCGCAGTGCAGCCGCAACAGCCTCACCATACAGCATCTCGAAGTAACCCGAGACAACGCACAAACGAGATACGGATGGCAAGTCACGTCGGATATACGGGAGACAACGAGCGAACAACACCTCATTGGGTGCAGCGCTCAATTCAGCGCATAAGCGACTGAAGTGCGATAGAATGGAGTTAATGGATTCAGGACGGGTGCGCTTCTTCGGCACGAAGCTGACTGGTAGCTGACGAGCTGCGTCTACAACGACAGGTGCAGGCAAATCTGATAGAGACGTGGAATAATGGGGATCGGGATAGAAGAACCACGGGGATCATCGCCAACCACATTGGCATACAGGGCACCGAGGTCAGGCATCTGGCAGGAGGCGACAGATGCAACAAACACTATATAGGCGGGACCATGCAAAATCATGTGAAAATGAAACGGTCAAACGCGGCGTCAGGCACACGGTGAGCGCCGAAAAACTGGTGGATCGGAGTGCAGAAAATTAGACAGAGAGGGTGATTTTTGTATTCGACTAAGCCCTCCTCCACTAACGAACATTAGATGCAAGCTTCTGTTTGCTCCTGCTTCTCGTCTTCGAGAACAACTAGTGACTCACCCCTCGTTGTATCGAAAGCACTATGGCCCATGGGATATTGACTTTCGTAATATGGTGTAGCCGTCTTGTAGCACATATAGGTATCATGCTTTTTCAGGCTTCATGAGGGCAGACATGGACAATGGTGCACGCGTGTAAGCCAGTTGGCGTGAGTCCGAGTCAAGAATGGGAGGTTGAACGTCGAAATTGAATGATGGCATGGTGTAGTACATGAGTGAGCTGTGAACGTCTGATACAGACCACTGGATAGGTGGAGTGGTGATTGCGGGCTTTGTTGATCATGCGGCAAGGCCCTCGACATCCTCACGTACTTCGACATTGCTTCGGTCCAAAAACCGGAGGAAGCGTGTCTGGCAGGTGAAGGTGGGCCAAAGAGTCCAGTGCGGGGCATGATGTAACATTCCTGGAATGGTCGGAACAGATAGAACGTCGATGATGTGGCTTTGTTGAGCTGCCAAATTTTTTTGAGCTGTACGAGCGTGTTTCAGAGAGCTCAGACGATGCTTCGCCACCGTGCGGAGTGCTGCTGAGCATTGCCGAACAGGGGAGATTTATCTGAACATCCAGGGTACTAACATCTGAGCATCGCATACCAAATATAAAACGGTTACGCCAACACACCCAGAAAGGGACATTGTCAGCGACACCCTAAGACAAATCTGAAGGCTCCGGCAAAGTTCCAAAAGGAAGAAACCAAATAGATATTACTGCGGTGGTAGAACAGATAAGAACGAAAGCGAGGAGTAAAACCGTAAACAAGTACATAGTCATCATATATTCGAGGTCCGCTAGTCCCGGAGAGAGGCGGTCCGTCGTTTTCATCACAGACATGCAAGGACCAGCACCAGTACTTCAGCGACTCGGCTCACCATAATTAGGCGCATCGGTAAATGCCGAGTCGTCATGTTCACGTTCCGTCAAGGTATGGGGTTTTCAAGAGCCTCCCAAGTGGGTGACATATCCAGTCCAGTCACATCTTGTCGAAGCAAGTTCAGGTATGATTCTCACCCGCAAAAAAAGCGGTTTCATGTCACTCACGGACTGCCGCTAGCAAATTCATCCATGGCTGCGCTACCCTACTGCCTAATCGCGTAGATCTCGTGCCCTTCTGGCTGCCTCAAAGTAAGCGGAAGAGCCTGCTTCCATCTTATTTTCTTGCCTCATATCATTCACAGTGGACACGGATATCCTCAAGCCCAATACTGGATACCTCACAGTCGAGCGTCCGACAAGGAATACTCCTGATTTTCAGTCCGGTATTCTCTCGTCCATCTCGCCCGTTTTGCCGGTGTCTCTGAAGGGGAGGAAGATGAAGAGATGGACTTGGCGCCTGCTAGAGACGAGTTTCGGCGCACGGGGCTGCCGCATGAGGACGTTGCGGCTGCTATCGCATTTCGTGAAAAGTCTCTCAAGGAACGTGAACCTGCATCTCAGTCCAGGGGAAGCAGCAGCACTCCTGAAGTGGTATACGATGAACGCACGCCGTTGTTGAAGCTGTCACAGCCTCCGATGGCGGAGAGGAATGTGTCGATTGACCCGCTTGCGCCGTCTTCTGCGTTCGATGAGCGTCTGCGTGAGCGTTTACAGGCGAACAAGAATGTGCCGCCGCGTGTACAGGATGGTGAGGTGCAGGAGGCTGTAGGTCGGGACGAGGAAAATCTGCGAGAGGATGAGCGTTTATTAGTGAGGGATTGGTGCGTGCCATCTGGCAAGCGGATTGCAGTGCCTGTTCGTATCGAGCCCAAGGTATATTTCGCAAACGAGCGCACGTTCTTGGTACGACTTTTTTGCATTAGGTGAACGTGTTCGTCTGCTGATGTTTGTCATGGCAGAAATGGCAGAGCTTTGCGGTGCTGATCGGCACTATCGCAACGACGTTATTAAACTTCGTACCTGCAGATGATCCACGGGGCCTGATTAGCGCTGCGCTATTCACTCTGGCTGCACTGCTCGCGATCGCCTATTCAGCGATCATCTTCGTGTACCGAGCGCTTCGTCTGCGTGCACGATCGGCGGAAGGGCTTTATTGTGACAAGTACGGACCGACTATTCTTTGCTTTGTGATGTTGGCTGCGCTGGGGACCAACATTGGGTTGAGGGTAGCGGATATGTGATGACATGAGGATGAGCCTTGGACGCTGATAACGGTTATACAGCTGATGCGAGGAACTCGTTTCCTCTTTAAGGTCTGTCCTACAAGAGCTTAGCCGCAATGAACAATTTTTGTTTCCAATTCCGTGTGATTCGCACTGCGCAGGGGACCAGATCTCATCGGCCAGAAGTCAGTGATGTTGGTGTTACAAAATGTGTTCACATGTGGTGCCAACACTGCTTCTGCCAAAGATGGTTCACATACTCGTTCCTTTCTTCGCGTTGTCCCATGTTAACGAGTTATTGTGCCTCCGAATCCCGTCCCCGTCTGCTTGCGAAGAGTTATGTAACCCTCTAAGCACAGCCCAACCTAGCCATTGTCAAACGAACGGAGCTTCCAGGGAACGAGTTCATAAATTTTCTAATACAAGAACCGCCAACTTGGTCTATGCTATACGTTGACCAAGTTCACCTTTCACCCACACCCATTCTCTACCAATATGTCAACAATCTCAAATGATCCCACTTGGTGGCCGGCCATCAATGTATATCGTTTTGCCAGCTATTTTTCAGGTTCGTAGAGAGCAATAGGATGTTGACGCTGAGCGCTGACTCCGATGTCTCAATCTAACCTTGGCTCCGGTATCGCAGTTGCCGCCTTTGTTGCGGTGACGTATGATTGGTGTGAGCACGATAATATTAGAGGATTGCTGATATCTTACAAGTATTTTCAGCACTCACATTTGGACAAGAGGTATGTCAATACTATCACTGGAACCCATCTTGCTAATAATCTTTTTGTAGGTTGAACTCATCTGGGTGAGTAGAGTCTCATGTCAGAGGGAACACACATGAAAATGCACTTAATTACAGAGGCAACACTGGTCCCTGATGACAGTTCTGTACCTCAGTGTATGTAGCTTGTGTGTCGCAGTTATCATGATGTGCTGACTTGAAAGTATTCTAGACGCGCTATCTTGGAATGTTATGTGCTGCGTATGTTCGGAAGGCTAAACAATCGATGTTGTGCTAATCATCTATGTCTCGTAATCAGCATGGCTATCCTGGGTATGTTGTCTTAGTATATTTATTTTCTTCGCTTCTTCTAACCAGCGGCGTGCAGTTAATGTTCCGACCATCTGGCTGACAGATACAGTGAGTCTTCTGCACAGATGCCTGCTATTCCCCTTTAATTAACCGTGGTGCCTTGTAGCAGTGGGTTTGGTTCTTTACTACCAACTTCTTGGTTCGCTAATAACTGCCACACTATACTGCCACAGATGTAAGTCTTTGGAGTGGGTGTTATCCGAGGCTGGTCACTGACTGGATTTGTCAGGCTTCATTATATACGTCGTACAGAATTGGATGGTTGTGTTGGTACCTGCACTGCTGTGGGGTGAGCTTGGCGCTTGCGAGACCTCAGGAATATTCAACTTGACTGAAACATGCTGCAAGTCATCATCATCACTCGGTTGCATGCCATGTATCAACGATCCAGAAAGATCCTGATATTTCTCGTTGTCACCTTCCTGGCGATCACCACTTTTGATGGAGTAAACGCCGTTCTGATGACCATACATATCTCAGGAGGTACGCTTAATTATGGATAAAAACGAACGTGCATAGGGCTCATTGATGGACACCAGAGGAACTCGTTCTCTCCGGCACCTACCAGTGCACGATTGGCTTTAGGAGAGATACCCTAGTTCTGAATTCTGCTGCTTGGATACTCTCCATTGTATGGGAGGTCCTCACACTATGTCTCGCAGTCTGGATTGCGGTAAAACACTTCCGTGAACTGCGATTACATGCGGCAGGAGGGATTATCGGGGACTGTTTTACGGTGTTGATGAAAACTCACGTGGTTTACTTTGCGAGGTAAGTTCATATCGTGATTATTGTCCTTTTTTTCACTGAAGTGTCGGATATGATAGCTTTGTCGCTGTCTCTTGCTTCGAGCTCATTTTCTATTTCTCTCCAACATCATCGACGGTATGTCAATCTTTCACTTACCTCTACATGTGACCACGTTCTATCATCTCTACAGAGTCAATATCTCCTAGAAGATGAGACTGTTTTTGGCTTGTTGCAGATTTTGGTGGTCGTGCAGATGTCCGTGCTAGGACCACGGCTGATCCTTGGCGTTCGAGAATATCATGCCAAACTCGTGGCTGACTCCGATGCAGCAACCGGCATGATCTCAATCGCTTTCCAAGAGCGCGTGCATATATCGACTAGCAGTAGTGTGTAATGCTCAGTGAAGTTGGCGCGAACGGTTGTCTAGTGCTTGCAGGAAGCACGGGAATTCTTTTTGTTTTTTTTTGTTTCTATTCCAAGCCTCATTGCGGTGCTCAAGTAGTTATTTAGTGTCACAAAATAGATGTCAAGGAGGCATAGGTTCAGGCGATATTTTCGTCGCAGTATTTATTCGATTCATTTGCTATAGGTCTTGACATTGACAATGTTTCAACCTGGATATCTTTACTGTACCAACGAAGGAAAGCAGTGTACAGAACGGGGAAGTCTAGGAGTGAGAGAAGCTGTGGTTCATACGCCAACGCTGCAAACCAGTTTACACATACATTGAATCAGCAACTCGGCCCACCAGAATTACCAAACTACCGGCGCATCGGTAAATGCCGAGCCTAAGCAGACCCGGGCCGAAACAACTACTCTACGCTCATCTACGGAAATCTTACGTCTGTGGCTCATCAATATTTCGGCCGTTTTCCGTCGATACGGTGAGGGCCGGTTCTCACTGGGCTCAGCGCTCAGTACTAATATAAGCCGAGTTAGGGGTTGCTGGCGCAATTGGAAATTTACGCTCTCATCAGTTAACTGCCTTGTCGTGAAAATGAACCACGAAATAAAACCTAAATCAGCACTCTCGTTTCTTGCGGACGAACTTTGGGTTTACGTTCTAGGTTTCCTTTCCTGCAGAGACATTCTTCGTTGCACATCCGTAGGTTGTTGCCGTTGTCCTAGACGGAATCCTATGCTGAGTCACTAGTTCTCGCAGGTATGTAAGGGTCTTCACCAGATATACATGTCCTGTTCAGAGCTCCAGTACATCGTCGAACTCAGCGGCCAATGTTTGCTCCCCGGCATCTCCAGCACGGACGACCGTACCCCTATTTCTAAGCGCTTACAACGCTTGAGGGATAAAGCTCACGCATGGCTCAAGTTTGATGCCTATGCTTTCCAAATAGTTATCCCATCAGTCTCGGTTGCTGCAATGCAAACATACGTCACCGGTGGTGAACATTTCTACTTGTGGAACTACTATGACAACTTGGTCACCATCAGCTCAATACTCTCACAACGAACAATCGAACACCACTGGTCACCCAGAACGTTGTGTCCATTTCCTATGGCGGAGAGGCGGGATGTATTGATGGACCCGGCACAAAATCTGTTCGCTATCACGTATGGTGTTGACAGGATGACCTACATTTACCTAGCAACTCTGGATGATGGTTGCGTCCACCCTCACGCTGCCGGACCAGCACTAGTTCTGGAGTCTCCCGTACATGAGTGGCAAGTGAAGCTCCAGTGTTATGGGAGGCATATTGGTTTATCGCGTCGATTTTGCACTCGTGGAGTTGGGACGCCTTCCCTTATGTGGCAGCTGCAAATTTGGGACTGGCAGCACTCGACAACATTAAGCGTGAGTCCTCATGCTTGAATCAGAAATTGACGAAGAATCGACAGTTGATTTTGAATTTAGACTGTCCTCAGCAGCAGCATACAAACTACATTTCGCACCCCCACTAGTTTTTGTTTTCTTGGAAACGACAGGTTGCTCGTTGTCGCCGATAATTTGAAGCTATATTCGATCAAGGATATGTCCGAGACGCCACGATTGCTGGCATGTTTCCTGTTGCCTTTCCCGTTGGTGGACACAGAACACTACCTTCCGCCTATGCACGGCTCACAGCTGCGGACGCAAGCTCAGTCGGTGTACACCTCAGACCCTGAACATAGACTGCTATGCCTTACCTCATCGATTGATAAACCAATGATCTGCCTCATCTCCACGAAGGTTTTCTTTGACATTGACGAAGCGACGGCAATAACGCTGATACCATGGAATCATTGGGGCCCTAGACATGTTCGTATTTTTGAGCAGAAAGTGGCAGACGTGTCAACGATTACTCATGTCAGTGGGAATCGAGTTTTGTTGGCGGACAAGATGATGTCAGAGAGATACGTCGAATATTATAAGTTGCGTATGCTGGACTTTAGCCCGCTGGCCGTGACGAATAGGCGGGGTCTAGGACGAGTAGTGAAAGAGCGATCTACTGTGACGGTAGCGGTCCAACGTGGTTCCTGGGACGATAAATCAATGTACTATCACCACTCGACGGTTGAAACGGCTCTGCCTTACGTTGAGGTAGTGGATTGGAAGATTAGTGGGCCGTTGCAGGATGTTTGGATAGATGGTGATAGGATCTATTTGCTGCTAGATGGCTCATATAGAGGAACGAAGCTCGAGGTTATTGACATTTATTAGAATACCGGTAGGGCTATGTCGAGCGCGGGTGACGGGTGGCCATTGCCATTGCTATTGAGATCGGTGACGACCATTAGCAGGAAGTGATAAGCAACCGGTGATTGATGGAAGAGAGCACGAGCACGAGCCGAAACTGACGATCATTTATATTGACTAGCGGCATGACGTTCACATGGCACCTGATTATCACGCTTAACTTGAAGCTGCTGAAACCCTTTGAAAGTTTCTGTCTGCTCCTGCTTCTCATCTTCGAGAAGAACTAGTGACCCACCCCTCGTCGTATCGAAAACACCATGGACCATGGGACATTGACTTTCGTAATATGGTGTAGCCGTCTTGTAGCATATATAGGTATCATGCTTTTTTCAGGCTTCATGAGCGCAGACATGGACAATAGTGCACGCGTGTAAGCCAGTTGGCGTGAGTCAAGAATGGGAGGTTGAGCGTCGAAATTGAATGATGGCATGGTGTAGTACATGAATGAGTTGTGAATGTCTGATACCAGTCTCAGGCCGCTGGATAGGCGGAGTGGAGATTGCGGGCTTTGTTGATCATGCGGCAAGGCCCTCGACATCCTCCTCACGTACTTCAACATTGCTTCGGTTAACTTAACCATTCCAAAAAGCGAAGGAGACGCGTCTGGCAGGTGAAGGAGGGCCGAAGAGTCCAGTGCGGGCAGGATGGAAAATTCTTGGGATGGTCGGAAGAGATAGAACGCCATCGCCTACAGCAGTATGACAAGCCGTTAAGAACGCGAACTCGACCTGCGGAAGATTTTTCTCCATGATATCGAGCAGCGTCAGATGTTCGTCTCTCATGACGAAATGCGAATTATAAGGCTGCGTAGGGTCCTGCTTGCCATGACAAGCCAGGTGCACCTGCTGCAAGGCTTCGAGTGCACCTGCTCGTGTGCGAGATATAGTGGTGCGGTTGGCTGCGCTAGGGACCAACATTGGCTTGAGGGTGGCGGACATGTGATGACGCCTTGGACGTCGGACGCTGATAAATATACAGCTGACGTGAGGAACTCATTTCCTCTTTGAGGTCCTACAGGAGCTTAGCCGCAATGAACTATTTTTGTTTCCAATTCCATGTGATCGCACTGCGCAGTCATGAGGCTTTTGATGGATGTACATGTCGATGTGCGGCTGGACCAATAAGGTACTTGCGCGATTTAATGGATGGTAGAACCGAAAGAGGTAGCTTAATCGGGAAGCCAAGTGCTTGATTTGGGCTCAACAAGACCATACACAAGGAATCTATATAAGAGCGCACTGATAAACTCCCAAACTCTAAGCTACCTTGAGACCCATCCACTACAAACATGTTCACCGTAAGTCCATCTCTGATTGTATCGCATTTCGTTATCTTATCTTGGTTGGCAGGTCACTGAAGTCCCTGTTTCCAACAACAGCTGTGGCTCGTCCAGCTGCAATTGCGGCGAGTCGTAAGTCGCTCTTTGTGTAATACTAGAGTTTCGGTCTGATTCATGATTTGATGTACAGATGCCAATGCAAGCCCGGAGAGTGCAAGTGTTAATTGAACGTTGATCTACCGGGCAACTGCTGGGCTCGGCCTCGCTGTATATTATTCCAGCCTTGGTGTTTGATCTGGGTCGATGTATGATTGTACTATGAAATTGTATGCATTATCATCGAGGAGAAGCGCAATACATGTGAACTTTGCTTATTGAATTGTCGGTGTTGTTCTGACTGTACGGCGAGTCTGTAAGAGAGAGCACGATGGAGTGGCGGCAGGCGAAATGGTTATCTTTGCTTGGCCCAGGTCCCAGGATCTAGACCCCATGATGCGTGTTATATATAGATCCCTCCGGACCCCGCTCATCCCACGCTGATTTACCACGCCTCCAACATATCTTGCTGCATCCCACAATGACCTAGTCAAAGACACAAAGTGAGTATTTCCCTCATGCTTACAATCCAAAGGTTGATCTCACAAGACCCATGCACAGATACGACGAAAAATGGCATGTACACCTGACCTGCGACACCGTCTGCGAAACATGCGATGTAACAGATCAACTCAGATCTTAGGTATGTCTTAGCATTTCCATTGTCGATGCTAGCGCACGCGTGTTGGTAAAATGAATCCCCATGAGAAAGCCACGGTGATTCGTTTTTACCAATCTCGAGTACGCACCCATCCTCCCCCCTCCCCGAAGAGCCTCGTATTCTGCCATGGCGTTCACAGAGATGCGTAGATTGATTTCTTGCTGCCTCTACAAGTTAGAAGAGGCCAACTTGTGGGATAAAGTTGTCCTAGTCGGTGCGCAACTGTCCTCTGGATCTCATTGTACTGACCAACGTCTCTCCTGCAGAGTGAGCTTACGATTTCATGCATGAATGTACATCTGATGCCAGTCTGTATTTGATATTTCCATCGTGATCGCCGAGTCTCTTACTGCCAGCATCAAGTAAAAGATTACGGAATTAGACAAGCAATCGTAGATATCGATAACTAGAAGATACCCGCGAGCAACGCTGTATAGCTGAATACGACCGATACAGCGGTGGTACTTACGTGGAGGGTTAAATGCAGGAACAATGAACAAGGACGGGCACTCATTGGAATAGCGTGAGCTCGGTGAATATACAGCACATTGACAACACACACCACATGGCCAGTCATGAGATAAAGGAAGAGCGAAGATATCAAAACTTAAACACCGGGTTAATGCCAGCGATGCCACTCCAGGTAGAATAGAAGTTCGAGATCATCGATCATCACTGGGTAAAAGATAGTACTTGGATATGAACGTATGAACGCCGGGCTACTGGTAAATGCGACCGTGCACCACCACGGCTGCTATTTGCTGTGCCATCTTGGCGGAGGTCTGAAATGCGCACATTTCGTAGATCGCTGATATATACAGGACTCGTCCCTTACCACGGATTATCGGAGGCGGGAACCGGTACCCAATAAGGGAAGAAAGTGCCGCACAAAAGTTTACGGACAGCTTGGACACTTATTTTCTACAGAACCCTCTACCACTAAAGTGGGTGTCGGGGACGCTCCAAGTCTCTCTTTTCCACTCCCCGAATCTCTCTTTCAAAGTTAATACCAGAAGCTGGAGTCCCTCACACACCTTCCGCACTGTCAATCAAGGTGTTGTGGGTGCTGCGACATATCACGCTCCATCGTGATAGACCTTGCTCCGCAAGGTAACAAAGATACTCCCATATGCAGGAAGATTTTTCTCATTTACGCTCATCACTTACTACAGGTACCATTAAGAGGACCTCGACTCCACAGATGATCGAGACAGACAGGCTGGTGCGGCAGGGGCAGTGGGTGTTTTGTTCGAAGTCGAGAAGGTTGCGTGTGCAAAGGTACGTCATCATGATTCATCATCACAGCTCAACAGTACTATGCAGACGAAGCACCTACCAGGCTGTACCGCAGTTGGTGCCATGCTATGCTGCCGTGCTGCATTGTGTTCTACCTTCACCTGTGGTAGTAATATTGTCATTATATTCACAGAATCTATCTATAACTTTTTCCATGGCGAAACCTGAGGGTCATTTTGGAAGTGCGCGTGGATGACAGCTCTTTTTATGCATGCTTGCGTCCATTTTCTTCGTCTAGCGACAGGACGACGACATATGGCTCTCCACCAACATCTTCTTGAACCCCTTACCTACGTCAATTCATTCTATTCTTGAATATTACATCTGCAGCAGTCGCGAGTGCCTGGCCCGTGCGGATTGCGCGCCCATTGTTTCGATCTTCACGCTTACAATGATCCTGCCCTGCTCTTGACATTGTTCTTTCACAGTTGTTGCATGCACACGCCACCGTTTTCGACAGCATAATATGATGAGATACGGGGATACGTTATGGGCGGTTTCCTGTGCTTGCTATCCATTTGATTTTCGTACGTCTCTTCCATCGTGCCTCTCAGTTGTTATTTACTACGAGGTAAACGGTTGAATGGCGCTTTCTGAGTATTGGTCAATTCATGTCTCCCTTTGCGTATCCGTTGTCTAACTTGCTTTACATCGCTCATAGTTCTCGATGTGTGGATCAGAATATTTCTTCGGAGAACGTGGAAGATGATCGCCGTGGTGATGCTCAAGGCAAAAAAACCTCTTCTGGATGGTACCTTGTTATGCAGGCAACACGTTCTGATGCAACCGGAGCTGAAACTCTCGCGACCACACGATGGTAAGATTATATGCCAAATGCTGCAGTTTGTGATAAGACACGATCACCATTTCCCGTGTTAATGTCTTTGCTAGTGTGTACGGGATGCTGCATCGCCTGGATTCCACATCTTATAAAGGACCCATAGCTGAGCGAACTATCGCCATCAACCAGTATGACGATTTTGCAAGTGTCTCAAGCTGACGTGCTCTTGTGGTCAAAGGTGAGTACAGCTTCTGTAATCGAAGCAATCCTGGATCACCAATCTCTCGTCCCAGTACTATTATGGTGCGGGTGTTGTTCATCAAATCAGTTGCTTTCGTTGATCTATGTTCCTTATCCTGATAGCTGCATTAACATCGCTTTGGGTGAGCTATAGAATTTATCATGACCTTGCGATGATTCATCGTTTGCTTTAACATCAAGACGTATGACTGCATACTTTGCATGCCTGACTCGGCAAGTGAAAATTTACTTGAACGCCCTATAGTATACACTCTGAACTATAGTTGATGCAGGTCGCTTTCATTCTCGATTCTCGGCACGGGCTCGGCACGGTGTTTTATCTTGCCTGCAGTCTCTCTCCATCTGTCTTCATGCTACTGAACATGCTTGGTGAGCATCAGATTTGCACCTTCACATCGTCCTCAGGGTGTAATGCGTGTCATGCAGTGACTTTTCTGCCTAGTGGCTCATACATTGTATGGTCAAATGTTGCGAACATGTGAATTTAACTCATACTCCGTCATAGCTTTGTCGCTGGATATATATAATAAATATAAGTGGGTCTAATAATGGTTTACCTTGACACATACTGACTTTGCGTCCAACACCTCATTAGTTGCGGGGTTTCTGTCGATGTTTTCCGCAGAGTGTGGGTTTACAGATCCAATTCAGTCATTGTCGATTATGCGTTCTAACATCTGTACGAATCCCTGATGGTCTAGGGATCTTCATGCTCAGAACGATGGCAGTATGGGAGCGGGATAAAAGGTTCGTGGTATTAAAAATCATCAATATGATGGTAAGACTCGTACCAGGAGGCTGCCGACTCTAGCTAATATGTCTAACTCATCACCCGCAGGCTTATTTAACCCCAATATTCGTTTTCTTCTTTCAAAAATTCATCCCATCAATGGGTGAGTAGATCTCTCAGAACTTTACTTGCTCAAATCTCTGATCCATAAATATAGGAGAATGCTTGATTCCTGGGGGTATTGAATATGCAAATACGAAGGAAAGGTCTACAGTGATTGTCGTGTATTGCTTGTTAATTGTTGGCGGGTTGGGTCAGTATTTGGAGCTGGAACTCAAATATGAACTCGAACTAACCGCATGCCTTTCCATGCATGCTCTTTCAGACACATTAGCGTGCGTGCTGTACCGCACCTTCAGGAGTCATGGTGGCTGGAAAATCGAAAATCGTCTTGTGCGGGGTCTCGTGCATCATAATTTATTGTATTTTAGCTGCAGCTTTGGTTCGTGCTCAAATCATTCAGATGTATATTTACTTGCTAAATGGCATAGCTTTCTCTCTTGGTGTCATCCTGGCCTCAATCTTCCTTCCGGTGAGTCACTGTGCACACTCAAAGCTGCCCCATTAACGCAAGTAGTTTTCGGTGATGCACATGATTGCAGAGTTCGTCTAATCTTGCTTGGAGGAAGCGATAGTTACTCATTCGGCAGCAGGACTCAAGTCGTCGTTCTATCTCTCATGGTCACGCGAATGCATAGAGACTTCTGGAGATCGGATCGTGTTTCTTGTAGCAATGATGGAGTGGATCTCACTCTCTCAGCGTTCATGGCAGTAACCCCAGATGTCGTGTGAGTGTTACAGTAGTTGCTCCTTTAAAGCATCGTGCAGCTAATACATGATCGAGAAAAGACTCTCACAAGATACGAGTAGACATTGTCCCAACAATGCATAGTACAGATAGATGGACGTTTGAAGGCGTCATATTAGTTTGATTATGTACTGAGCCACTATGGACTACTTCGGTGTTTTGAAAGCACCTAGTACATTTTGCAGTTTGTTCGTTGGCTCTCTGGAGCGTTGTCGGTTTTTCTTCGATACTCACACATTGGACATACTATGTACACATTCGTCGTGTCTGGCAGTGCCTATATAAACCTGTGGATTATGACCTCTATAACATTGTTGCCTAGAACACTCGACAACAGGAGTCGCAAGAAAGTAAAGATATGAGGTGGTGAGAGAAGTAACACGACAGACGTCGTAAAGACTGGTTACTACGAGTCTATTCCCAGACCCTATCTATGACTTTTTACATGGCGGGACCTGAGGCTTTTTGTGCATGCTCGCGTCTATTTCCTTCGTCTAGCAACAGGACGACGACATATGGTTCTCCACCAACATCTTCTTGAATCCCTCACCTACGTCAATTCATTCTATTCTTGAATGTTACATCTGCAGCAGTCGCGGGTATCTGGGCCGCGCGGATTGAGGCTGCGCGCCCGCTGATTCGAGCTTGACGTTCCAAAGAATCCTGCCTTGCTCCTGACATTATATTGCCCAAACCTACGTCTCCTTTAAACAACTACTCAAGTACGACAACCAGGCTTGGAATGGAGATAAACCAACAAATTTTCCGTGCTCCCTGCAGAGCAGACAACTTCACCGAGCATTACACGTTACTGCCAGTCGATATATGCACACATTCTTGGAAAGCGATTGAGGTCATGTGGGTTGCTGCGTCGGAGTCAGTCACTAGTTTAGCATTATATTCTCGAATGCCAAGGATCAGCCGTGGTCCTAGCACGAACATCTGCACGACCTCCAAAATCTGAAACAAGCCAGACAAAGTCTGATCTTCTAGGAGATATTGGCTCTGTAGAAATGATAGATCGTGGTCACATGTAGAGGTAAGTGAAAGATTGACACACCATTGAAAATGTTGGAGAGAATTCAATAATGAGGTCGAAGCAAGAGAGAGCAACAAAGCTACCAAGTCCGACCCTTCAGTGGAAAAAGGGAACAATAATCACAATATGAACTTACCACGCAAAGTAAACCACGTGAGTGTTCATCAACACCGTAAAATAGCCTCCAATAATCCCTCCTGCCGGATGTAATCGCAGTTCACGGAAGTGTTTTACCGCAATCCAGACTGCGAGACATAGTGCGAGGACCTCCCACACAATGTAGAGTATCCAAATAGCGGAATCCAGAACTAGGACATCTCCTGTATAGCTAATCCTGCACTGGTAGGTGCCGGAGAGAATGAGTTCCTCTGGTATCCATCAATGAGCCCTATGCACGTTCATTTTCATCCACAGTTAAGCGTACCTCCTGAAGTATGCATCGTTGACATTACGGTTGCCACTCCATCAAAAGTGTTGATCGCCAGGAAGGTGACAATGAGAAATATCAGGATCTTTCTGTCTTGTTGATACATGACATGCAACCGAATGATGATGATGACTTGCAGCATGTTTCAGTCATTCCAATATCACTGAGGTCTCGCAAGTGCAAAGCTCACCCCACAGCATCGCAAATACCACCAAAACCGACCAAACCCATATAGTGTACATCATCCAGCCTGACAAATCCGATCAGCGACCAGTCTCAGGTAGCACACACTCCAAACAGACTCACATCTTTGGTAGTATAGCGTGGCAGATATCAGTGAACTGAAAAGTCAGCAAAGAACCACACCCACTGCTACAGAACACCACGGTTAATTTGAGGGGAATGGCAGGCATTTGTGCAGAAGACTCACTGTGCCTGTCAGCAAGATGCTCGGAACACCGACTGATGCCGTTTGGTCAGAAGAAGAGATGACAGTGAATGTACTAAGGACACACACCAACCATGGACAGACTGGTTATGAGAGATAGACGATTAGCACAACACCGATTGTTTAGCCTTCGGAACATACGCAGCAGATAAGATTCCGAGGTAGCGCACCTAGTATACTTTCAAGTCAGCCCAAATTTTACTTACGACAAACAAGCTACATACACTGAGATACAGCACTGTCATGAGCGACCAACGTTGTCTCTGTAATTAAGTGTACATTCATGTATGTTCCTCTGGCATGAGACTGTACTCACCCAGACCAATTCGACCTACAAAAGGATTATTAGCAAGACGGGTTCCGGTGATAGTATTGACATACCTCTTGTCCAAATGTTAGTGCTGAAAAATACTTGTGAGACATCAACGTTTCAACAGTCCTTTAACGTTATCATGCTCACCCCAATCATATGTTATTACAACGAAGGCGGCAGCTGCAAAACCGTAGCCAAGTTCAGATTGAGACATCAGCTTCAGCATCCGACTGCTCTCCACGAACCTGCAAAATAGCTGGAAAAACGATGTACATTGATGGACGGCCACCACGTGGGATCATTTGAGACCATCGTCATATTGTTAGAGAATGTGTGTGGGTGAGAGGTGAACCTGGTAAATGTATAGCGGTGACGTTCGCGCTATATGTACGCCGTGCTCACTAGTTTGGTAACCGAAATATCAATAAGAGCAAGGTAAATATTTGCGCACTCCACATAGATGTTGCAGCTGCCGGTTCTTGTATTCCTTATATAGAAAATCGATGAACTTGTTCCCTGGAGGCTCCGTCTGTGGCTAGGTTGGGCTGTGCCTAAAGTGTTTCATAACTCTTCGCAAGTAGACGAGGACGAGATTCGGAGGTACAATAACTTGTTCTGATGTGTTAACGTGGATGCGACGACTCGGATATCAGTAGATAGATTCTATCTTTGGCAGAAGCAGTGTATGTGAACACGTTTTGTAACTGATTTCTGGCCATGCTCTAAGTTCGCGATTGGGGGTTAACATTAAGGTTCAACATTCGTTCAAATCAGTGACGCGATCACGTGGTACTCTGAACTTGTTACTTCCTCGTGGCGCGGGAACACCGTGTACCCAAGTCTAAACTGCGCCTACGTCCTGTCTGCATCCTGCAATCACAGCCAGCACCTTGGCTGCAGACAGCATCCGCCCTCCAACTACACCATCTGCAGTTTCAGATCTCATCGAGGAGGTCTATCCTGCGTTTAGTATTGCCAACCGAGCCAAGACGCGCACTCGAAAGACTCAGGTCAAGAAGCCGACTTACGAGCCTGTCAACCATGATGTGATAGAGTTGACATCCGACTCCGACCTCGACGAATTATCACTCAAGCCTCCACGGAAGCGGCAGAAATCCCAAGACAAGCCCGTCAAGCCCAAGCCGAAACCCAGGCCTAAACCGAAGCGTAAAGACATCGTCTTCACTGAAGGTTCCTCAACAAAGCGTCGTCGATACCCAGCCAAGCGACATTGTGGTTCTTCTTGCACCTCAAGAGCCAGCGCTTCCGTCTCAACTATCTTTTACAACACCACCCCTTCCGTCTTCTATTCCTGCTTTACCCGATTTGTCTTCTCCGCCCTCTTCTCCACCCGAGATAACTCGTAAACGCAAGAATATTTCCCCGCTTCAGTCAGAGGTTCATGGCGAAGAGATGTCCCCGATACTTCGTTGTCCTCTATTATAGCACCTCCTCTATTCTCTGCACAATTGTCGCCTGTCGTCCCATAAATCGACAATTCGCACATACTTGAAGACGAAAGCGGGGACGCAGACATTGTTGCTGCGAGCAAGGGTAAGAAAAAGGACGCAAAGCTGTCTTGGGCGAAGGGGAAGAAAGAAAAACAGGCTGACAGAGTCGAACCCGACGATCTTGCGCACAAATTCCCCACAGATGAGCCAGTTGCAGGTAATAATGATCTCGAAGACCACGATTTCATCGAGGAAGAGGAACCGAAACTTACATCGAAGAAGAAGGCACTATCGAAACCCACCTCCGCTGTAGCATCGAAACCTAAGGCAAAGGCAAAAGGAAAGCGGTTCTCTCGGAAAGTGAACATGAGGACGACGACGACAACGATCCTCCCTCGCTCGAGGTCCCCTAACCGAAGCAACCATTTGCCCGAGGACAAAGACTCTCGAGACGACGGTCCCAAGAATTTTGTAATCCCTGAGATAACCAAGATACTACATTTCCATACTCTTTGATATCCTTACTTACATTCTACCTAGAAGATTCCCCCGAAAAGCGCAGCTGCCCCACCAGTCACGCGCCTTCAGCATCAAACCCAAGTCGACCTCAATGTCAGAGCTCATCCGGCGTGTCGACTCACAAATAAATTCACTATTCTCAAATGGTCCTTCCTATTCGCCATTGGTGAAGTCTTCGCGAACGATGCTTTCGCAGATTGCACCGCTCCACCCCAACCGACGGACCCCTCCACCACCATTACCGAGACCTCCCCGCCAAAGAAGAGCAAGAAGCAAATAGAGATGGAAGAGCGTATTGAGGAGGAGCTGTCGGAGACTGTTGAGGGGTGGTCGTGTATGACTGACGAGGAGAGGAGGGAAGTAAAAGTCGAGGGAGCAAGCAACCGCGCAAAGGCGACAGGAAGGTGCAGGAGGTCAAAGTGGAAATCAGGAGACTGTGGTAGTCAGTCGTGGCGACAGCACCGGTTAGCGCAAGTACGAAGAAGGCCTTGGTTGGATGTGTGGAACAATGGAGGCAACAGCAGGATAATTGAAGGGTGGGGAGGGGTCTTGGTCAGGTGTGTTGGTGTGTAGTGGGAAGTGGCGGGAGGCACGGGTGTTGCGTCGATGGCGGCCCCGCACTATAGCTACAAGATGTTGCTGGGTGTGTGGCACTTGAATGTGGGAAGTCCTGGTTGAGACATTGACAGCGTCAGGGATATGGTTTGAGCAGTGTCTGTGAAAGTTCACACATGCGTACGGCCGAGGGTGAAAGGGAGGCTGTCATCGCTGTCATCGCGGTTGACGACAAGGAAAAGGAATACTAGTATTAAACTTACGTAGCCGCCAACGTCCTGAGGATGGGTCAAAGGGGCTGCTCAATTCATTCAGTGTGCGTTCACATGGATCAAAGTATTGACGCGCGCCCCATAAAGTTTAGGTACAACTCCCGTTTAGGACAAGGTTTCATGACACTTAGCGGTGCTTGAATCCGACTTGAAGTGAACGCAAACTGAATGAACTTGTTGGCAGCCCTACATGTGGCGTTCTGAGTGCGCCACTGAGCCCTAGAATTGAGCAGCCCTAGTTAGTCTCAAACAGCCTCTTTCGTCAATGACAATACTGATTTCGGAAAAGCCTCGGATGGTAGTATATGTGGCATAAACACCCTAGTCATGATACATCCACCTTGAAGTTCGCCGCGCGCCGCCTGCGCTCTCAGGCTCACCCCTTCTCAAACAGCATGAGCCTAGTCTCAAGTGATCCAATTTGGTGGCCATTCATTGATTCGAGTCGCATTTCTAGCTGTGTTATAGGTTCGTGAAGAGCTGGATGACTATCATGATGTCTCAATCTAACATTGGCTCGGGTTTCGCAGTTGCTTGCTCGGCTGCGGTGATATATGATTGGGGTGAGCAGGATAGTATTCCAGAACTACTCGTGTCTTATAGTCTCCGCAGCACTGAATTTTGGACAAGAGGTAGGCTAATGCTATTACAGGAGGAGCTATCTCACTCAGAAAGATTCCTACAGATCGAACTGGTGTGGGTGAGCACAGTCCCAAGCCACGAGAACATATTACGATACAATTACAATTCATTTGTAACAGAGGCAACGTTTCTCCCTTATGACCGTCCTATATCTGAGTGTATGTAGTTTGTGCCACACATATGCTTGGCGGGACGTGCTGACTTGATAATATCCTAGGTGCGCTACATTGGAATATTATATGCTGTGTATGTGCTAAAATTTGGTGTTTGTGCTAATCAGTCATCTCTTGCATTCAGCGTCCAGATTTCGGGTGTGTCTTCTCACATACGCCGTGTTCCTTTCCTCTGACCGGCAGCGTACAGTCAATGTTCAGACGATGTCGGGGACATATATAGTGAGCTCTCTGCGCTAACGTCTGCTATTCCCATTCAATTGACTGTGCTCCCATGTAGAGGTGAGTAGGATTTTTGACTGAGTTTTTGGTTCAACATAATGACTGCCACAGCTGTAAGCTTGTTTCGAACTCATGATTCTTCGTAGCTGATCCCGAGCTGCATTGGTCAGGTCAGATTATATCTGCTGCAATGATTTGGATGTCTTTTGTCGCAAATGTAATGCTGGGCGGTGAGTTACGCAGCTGCAATATCTGGGTGACATTGACCTCACCGAAACATTACTGAAGTCATCATGATTACGCGATTACATGCCATGTATCAGCGATGCAGAAAGGTGCTGATAATTCTCATTACCATTTTCCTAGCTATCTGCATCGCCGTCGGAGTGCTCATTGCGATAACAGGAATGCACATTTCAGAGGGTAAGCTTAATTATAGACGAACGACATCAAGCTTATTGACGCATAACAGAGGAGGTCATACTTTCTGGCACCTATCAGTGCACTTTGCACCCTATAGGTGGCCAATTTCTGTCCACCGGCGCTTGGATAATACTTGGTACTACAGCATGGGAAATCGTCGTGTTGTGTTTTGTAGTCCGGATTGCTGTAAAGCATTTCCGTGAATTGCGACGATACTCGACAGGAGGTATTGTCGGAGACTATTTTACGGTGTTAATGAAGAGCCACATTGTTTACTTTGCGAGGTGAGCTTATAATGGCAATTTTTGGTTATCTTTGTCTCCTGAAGGTTCGCGCATATTAGCTTTCTTGTTGCTTGTTGCTTGTTGCTTCTTGCTTCGAGCTCGGTTATTTATTCCCCGAGGTCGTAGCGGTATGTCCATTTGTTAGCGACCCCAGCATGCAAGCACGGTTCATCGTCTCGACAGGACTTATATACCCTGAGATATCAGCTTTATTATGGTGTTTCTTCATTATCCACGGTCCTGCGATTATTTGTGCTAGGACCACGTCTGATTCTTGATGTTCGAGAACATCACGCGAAGCTCGTGGCCGACTCCGATGCAGCAAACAGCATGACTTCAATTGCTTTCCAGGAGCGCGTGCATGTGTCAACTAGCAGTAGTGTATAGCATGAGGCGTACTCGTTATGATTAATTGTTGTTGGGTACTCTGCAGGGAGCGGAAGATTTGCATTGGTCAGAAGTTTCATTGTGATACTTGTTGTATAGTACAGATAGATGGATGCTTGAAGGCGTCATGTTAGTGTGATTACGTACTGAGTCACTATGGACTACTTCGGTGTTTTGAAAGTACCCAATACATTTTGTTTAGTATGCAGTTCATCCGCTGGCTCTGTTCAGCTTTGACGGAACCGTATGCTGAGAGGGCTCAGTCCCGCAATCCGCTTCCCACCAAGCGTTTGAACTAGCCTAGGTTTCGACTCAAGTTCGTTCATACTCCTTCGGTGTATGTCCCTACAGTCAATGCTCGAGTTTACAATGTCATCATATTCACAAAAGTCTAACTAATGATGTGCAATAAAATAGATCAAATGTATATAAATCTAGTGAAGAGAATGACTCAATGGGATGACGAACACGGAATCAGGATGCTGACCGGGAGGCACGGGTGTTGCGCCCCGCACCATAGATGCAGGATGTTACTGCGGATGTGGCGCCCACTTGAATGACATTGGGAGGTCCTGGTTGAAACAGTGACAGCGGCAGGGGTACTATAGGCGTGCTCAATTCTTAAGTTGTCAGGTCAAGAGTTGTCAAGTCCCACCGTGCCTTAGAGCCAAACAATTTAGCCGACCGGGTTAGGCTCCATTTGGGCACCGCAGCCACCGCGTTTACTAAACAATATCGTAACAGTTCTCATATCGTAGTACCAGCGTGCTCATTATGCAGCAAAAACGGGAGTTTCGTGAGCTCTTAACTGTCCTTTCTCATCTTCTATGTTGGGTATGTCACAACGCACTCGCCTCGAACTTGAGCACTTCGTTTTCGCCGATGATGACAATCATGACCACAGTCATTGCACTGCTGCATTTCTCAGCGCTGACTCGGACTTCAAGTACTCGCGAGCTTGAGCATGCTATCTGGCCCTGGCTCGCGCGGCCCATATAATCAACGGAGAAAATGTTTGGAAGTACCGGGTTCTAACCCTTTCTGGGAACCGAAATTAATGGTACAAACAAAGAGCTGACAACTCTTGACCGTGACAACTTAAGAATTGAGCACGCCTAATAAGAACGTAATGACAAGACTTACGACACCTTCTTTTCGGGAGCTTGGGGGACCCGAAGCTCTTCGGAGCGAACTCAAGACTCACTACTACCGCGTAGCGGGTAGGAAAGGAGCAGAGGTATTTAACCCGGCTTATCACAGGTTCAGCAATACAGCATGAGTCTATTAAAGATCCCCTTCGTCGTGGCCTCGGCCATTGGCACGCAGATCTCATTGACTTCTCCCTCGAGTCTGCCCCCGTCATCTCGAGAGAAGGTGGTGTCAGCATCCGATTCAATCGTCAGCCTGCTTCTAGATCTTCAGATTCCAAACGTGTTCAAGGTGTGTCTCTCCTGCGTGTCTACTTTTTGTCTGTATGGATTAGTGAACAATATAACAGATTATTGTATGGACAGCAACATCTGTTGAAGTGGCCAACATACTGGCCATGCATATAGGTCCTTCGCAGATTCCAGAGGGCATCTATAATACTAGCGCTGTGCAGCTTTTGTACGCACTTCATCCCACGCCAATCACTCCCGCTCTCGTTGCTGGCAGTCTTTTAGTCACGGCGGGTGGCGTGTTGAGACGCTATTGCATGTCGACCTTGGGAAAGTTCTGGAGCTTCCGACTCAGCGTCAAAGACGAGCACAGAATTGTGACAAACGGACCGTACTCTATCGTCCGTCACCCAAGTTACACCGGTGTGCTTCTCCAATATGTCGGGTTGGTCATCATGCACGGGAGCGAAAGGTCGTGGATGAGGCAGTCTGGCATTCTACGACTGCCTTACATGAAAGGATTAGCAATGGTCATCCTCTGCACACTTACAATAGGCACTTTGACTGTCATCAAGCGATGTTCAGTGGAGGACAAGGTGCTGCAGCGTGCTACGGGAGAGGATTGGGCGAATTGGGCGAAGAAAGTAAAATATAGATTACTTCCTGGAGTTTATTGATGGCATAGGTGCTGAATGCTCTGATTGTAATGATTTAGTGGATTTGTGTCCTATCTGTGCGCTGGTGGCTACAAGGGAGATGGTATGAACTTTGCTAACAAAGTTAGCTTTGAATGTGAATATCATTGCCCACACGATCCGTCAGTAAACCTACTAGCATAATTCAGATTATGTAATCAACCGACATAGAACATTTGTATGTGGTGCCTGAGTTACATCAGTAGCGTAGTTAGCCAATGAAAAATCGTTTATCGTTTATTGTAATTCCAAGCTGGCGGAGTGTGTCGTTTGAGACAGACTCGGGTCTCTTATTTACTACCACCTGCTTACCTGTATAACGCTCTAAAAATTCATGGCTTCCTGTCAACCTTGTCCGACTCGTTTTAGTGTTACCCGCCGCTCTCCCAGCAAGTTTCCAGAGTGCAAGGTAAAGTATGTGTTCTGAAGTATGTGCAAGATGCTCCCGTATGCAGGAGAATGGTCATCTGTTCGGCCATTTCGCTCAGAGAAACACTCACTGCAGGTACCATTTAGAGGACCTTGACTCCACAGATGATCGAGACAGATGAGCTGGTGCCAGGGGCGGTGGGTGTTTTGTTCGGAGTCGAGAAGGTTGCGTGTGCAAAGGTACGTTATCATCATCACAGCTAGGGCTCAACAGTGCTATGCAGACGAAGCACCTAGGCTGTGCCGCGGTTGGTGCCATGCTGCATTGTGATTATATTCCCAGATCCTATCTATGAATTTTTACATGGCGGGACCTGAGGGTCGTTTTGGAAGTGTGTGTGGATCACAACTCTTTTTGTGCATGCTTACGTCCATTTTCTACGTCTGGCGACAGGACGACATGCGGCTCTCCATCAACATCTTCTTGAATCCCTTACCTACGTCAATTCATTCTATTCTCGAATATCACATCTGCAGCAGTCGCGAGTGCCTGGCCCGTGCGGATTGAGGCTGCGCGCCCATTGTTTCGATCTTCACGTTTACAACGATCCTGCCCTGCTCTCGACATTGTTCTTTCACAGTTGTTGCATGTACACGCCACCGTTTTCGACAGCATAATATGATGAGATACGGGGATACGTTATGGGCAGTTTCCTGTGCCTGCTATCCGTTTGATTTTCGTACGTCTCTTCCATCGTGTCTCTCAGTTGTTATTTACTACGAGGTAAACTGTTGAATGGCTCTTCTTGAGTAGTGATCAATTCATGTATCCCTTTGCGTATCCATTGTCTAACTTGCTTTACATCGCTCATAGTTCTCGATGTGTGGATCAGAATATTTCTTCGGAGAACGTGGAATATGATCGCCGTGGTGATGCTCAAGGCAAAAAACCTCTTCTGGATGGTACCTTGTTATGCATGTAACACGTTCTGAATCAACCGGAGCTGCAACTCTCGCGACCACACGAAGATAAGATTATGTGTTCAATACTGCAGTTTGTGATAAGACACGATCATCATTTCCCATATTAATGTCTTTGCTAGTGTCCACGGGACGCTGCACTGCCTGGATCGCACATCTTATAAATGACTACAGCTAAGCGAACTATCGCCATTAACCAGTATGACGGCTTTGCAAGTATCTCAAGCTGACGTGCTCTTGTGGTCAAAGGTGAGTTCAACTTCTGTAATCGAGTCAATCCTGGATCACCGACGTCTCGTCCCAGTACTATTATGGTGCGGATGTTGTTCATTAAATCTGTTGCTTTCGCCAATTTATGTTTCTTATTCTGATAGTTGCATTAACATCGCTTTGGGTGAGTTATAGGATTTATCATGACCTTGCAATGATTGATCGTTTTTTAACATCAAGACATACGACTGCATACTTTGCATGCCTGACTCGGCAAGTGAAAATTTGCTTGAACGCCCTATAGTATATACTCTGAACTATAGTTGACGCAGGTCGCTTTTATTCTCGATTCTCGGCACGGGCTTGGCACGCTGTTGTATCTTAAATGCAGCATCACTCCATTTGTCTTCATGCTACTGAATATGATTGGTGAGCATCGGATTTGCATCTCCATATCGTCCTCAGGGTGTAATGCGTCCATGTTCCGCAGTGACTTTTCTGCCTCGTGGTTCATCCACTGTATGGTCAAATGTTGCAAACATGTGAATTTCAACTCATACCCTCATCATAGCTTTGTCGCTGGATATATATAGCAAATATATGTGGGTCTAATGATGGTTTGCCTCGACGCATGCTGACTCTGCGTCTAACACCTCATTAGGTGTGGGGTTTCTGTTGATGGTTGACGCTGAGTGTGGGTTCACCGATCGAATCAGTTATTGCTGATCCTTCGTTCTAACATCTGCATGCATCTCTAATGGTTCAGGCATCTTCATACTTAGAACAATTGCAGTATGGGAGCGGGAAAGAAGGTTCATGGTGTTCAAAATCATCAATATGATTGTAAGACCCGTACCAGGAGGCTGTCGCCAACTCTTAGATGATATGTCTGACTCATTCTCCGCAGGCCATTTTACTCCCGATTGTCGTCTGCTTCTTTCAAGATATTGTCCCATCAATGGGTGGGTAGATCTTTCAGAACATTCACCTGCTCAGCTCGCGACCTCTAATCTATTCACAAAGGAGAATGCTCGATCCCTGGGGGTATTATACATCTCGATACGAAGGCAAGGTCTTCAGTGATTGCCGTATACTCATTGCTAGCTTTTGGCGAGTTTGGTCAGTATTAGGAGCTGCTACTGGAACATGAATTCAAACTAACTACATGCTTTTGCATCCACGCTCTTTCAGAATTATTGGCATTGGTGCTGTATCGCGGCTTCGAGAGTCATGGTGGCTGGAAGATCGAAAACCGTCTTATGCGTGGTCTCATGCGACATAATTTATTGTACTTTAGCTGCAGCTTTGGTTCGTGCCCAAATCATTCTTGGATGCATATTTACTTGCTAAATGACACAGCTTTCTCTCTTGGTGTCATCCTCGCCACAATCTTCCTTCCGGTGAGTCGCTGTGCACACTCAAAGCCGCCCCATTGATGCGAGATGTAGTTTTCGGCGATACACATGATTGCGGAGTTCGTTCAATCTTGTTTGGAGGAAGCGGTAGTTACTAATTGGACAGCAGGACTCAGGTCGTTGCTCTATCTCTCTTGGTCACACGAATGCACAGGGACTTCTGGAGATCGGATCGTGATTCTTCTAGCAATGATGGAGTGGATCTTTCTCTCTCGGCGTTCATGGCAGTAACCCCAGATGTCATGTGAGTGTCACAGTAGCTGCCCCTTCAAAGCATTTTGCAGCTAATATATGATCGAGGAAAGATTCTCAGAAGATGCTAGTGGACCTTGTCCCAACAATACATAGGACAGATAGGTGGACGCTTGAAGGCACCATATTAGTTCGATTATGTACTCACTCGCCATGGTCCTATGGACTACTTCGGGGTTTGGAAAGCATCAAATACATTTTTCAAGTTGGTATGCAGTTCGCTGGCTCTGTTCGGCCTTGACGGTTTTCTTCGATACTCATAGGACACATCACAAATAAGTACGCACCTGTCGTGTCTGGCATAAACTTATGGATTATGACACATTGTTGCCCAGAACACTCGAAAGCATGAGTCACGAGAAAGTAAAGGTATAATCGTATTAAGAAAGTGATATAATATAACAGTTGTCACAGGCCGTCGCAGGTGTTCTATCAGCTAGGGAATTTAAGTTCGTGAAAATTGTCTAACCAGAGAATAAGCACAACTGGAGTCTACTTCACTTTGAAGGACGAGCACGAGCAGATACGCAATAGTATTTGTGCGATCTGATGGATCATGCCACCACGCTGCTTCACTGCTCAGGAAGGAAAATCAAGGAAAATGAGAGAAAGAAAGAGACATGCCGTTTCAAGCGAGACCACACACAGGAAAGCTATAAAAAGTCTTCACATTGTCAATGAACAGGCGACAAAAGCTACCCTGATAAACCCCCAAAGACATTGAACGCACCAATCTATCCAGCAGCGCAATATCATGTACACCGCGAGCCTTGCTTTTTCCACTGCATCATCGCTATTGTTATCTTGACCTTCGTCCACAGGTCACTGAAGTCCCTGTTTCTCAGTACTGAGGCTCGAACAGCTGCGGAGGCGGCAGGTCGTGAGTCGCGCTGCGATTATACTCTTGTACGACGCCTGGGTCTGATTCAGAACATGCAGGTGACAATGCAAGCTAGGAGAGTGCAGATGCTGAGCACGAGTACTAAGCGAGTGAAGTTCTCACACCGCTGCAGCACTACCTCAGCCTCCAAACACCTCTCTGTCTCGAGAATCGAGCAAGGCCATATGTATACACTCGCATCTGGCATGGGTATCAGTCGTTATGATGCAATGGGACTTACCGAAGAATGTAGCAGCTGTGGTAAATGGTTTATGGCGAGTGCGTTGAGAGGACACATTGTGGGGAGATGCAGCAAGAAGTAGCGCCCTATTTTGGTGACCGAGGGAGGCGTTGTTTTCGAGGTCCTTTGTGAAGTACGGAATGGTTCGGTGCAAATTCAGTGTTTATTAGTGTTTGGACTTCATACGGTTTATTCTTATCCGTGCTTATGCTTATTACACCCCCCAATACTATCCAATTCAGTAAACAAACCGAAATATGTCACATGGGCTGCCGTGTCAGCCAAATGCTATCGAGCGCCCCCTCTGCCAGTGGATTATCGATCATCCGGCTGAGTCTCGTTAACGCCATGAGAAAGAAGGTCCCGCCGCCCCCTCCCATTCCCGATGTCCACTGGTCCGAGAATATGACATGGACCTTGCTGTCAGAGGTCGAGAAAGACGAAAATAGGCTTGTTTTGCTCGGGAAGCGGGACAAGAAGGAGGTAAGTACTATCCAGCTTCAGAACCACGTTCATTTTATGACAGTTATACTGCACTGCTAATTGACGAGTGGGACTACTATTGTATCACATAATCCACGTCTACGCAACTGGGGAGAGGTATAAGCATAAACCGTGAGCTTCCAGGTGTGAGGATCCCCAATCAAGGCTAGCTCGGAGTCATAAAAGGGTACTCAATGCTCGGAGAGGTATTTAACTTGGCTTATCGCAGGTTCAGCAATACAGCATGAGTCTATTAAAGATCCCTTTCGTCGTGGCCTCGGCCATTGGCACGCAGATCTCATTGACTTCTCCCTCGAGTCTGCCCCCGTCATCTCGAGAAGGTGGTGTCAGCATCCGATTCAATCGTCAGCCTGCTTCTAGATCTTCAGATTCCAAACGTGTTCAAGGTGTGTCTCTCCTGCGTATCTACTTTTTGTCTGTATGGATTAGTGGACAATATAACAGATTATTGTATGGACAGCAACATCTGTTGAAGTGGCCAACATACTGGCCATGCATATAGGTCCTTCGCAGATTCCAGAGGGCATCTATAATACTAGTGCTGTGCAGCTTTTGTACGCACTTCATCCCACGCCAATCACTCCCGCTCTCGTTGCTGGCAGTCTTTTTGTCATGGTGGGCGGCGTGTTGAGACGTTATTGCATGTCGACCTTGGGAAAGTTCTGGAGCTTCCGGCTCAGCGTCAAAAAAGAGCACAGAATCGTGACAAACGGACCGTACTCTATCGTCCGTCATCCAAGTTACACTGGTGCGCTTCTCCAATATGTCGGGTTGGTCATCATGCACGGGAGCGAAGAGTCGTGGATGAGGCAGTCTGTCTTTCTACAACTGCCTTACATAAAAGTATTAGCAGCGGTCCTCTTCTGCACACTTACAGTAGGCGCTTTGACTATCTTCAAGCGACGTTCAGTGGAGGACAAGGTGCTGCAGCGTGCTACGGGAGAGGATTGGGCGAATTGGGCAAAGAAAGTAAAATATAGATTACTTCCTGGAGTTTATTGATAACTTAAATCAGCCAATATTATGTAATTGTAGGACACCTCGTCGTTATTTCACCTACAAGTGTTAGTATAACGAAATCATGATGAAGCCCCAAACAGGGTTCCTGTCTCTCGCTGAAGAGCTCCTGTTTTACATTCTGAGCTTCCTTCCCTACCGAGATATTCTTCGGTGTACATCTGTGGGTCGCCATCATTCATGTTATCGTTGTTCTAGAATCTACTCGGATAGACTGCTGTTCTAACTTCTGACGATCCTCTTCAACAGGTATGTAGAACCCTTCGCCAGATGTACTTGTCCTCCTCCGAACTTCAGTACATCGTTGAAATAAGTGGACAACGGTTGCTCGTTATCTCCAACACGGACAATAGCATACCTATTTCCAAGCGTCTGCAACTTTTGAGAGACAAAGCTCATGCATGGTTCAAGGTTGACCTCCATTCCTTCAAAACGGTCCCCATAACAAGGTCATGGGGATCTCGGGAAAACATTATTGCTGGCGAGCATTTTTGCTTGTGGGACAAACTAGAAGATACGGCCATGATCTGTTCAGTACTTCCGAAGCCCTCACAACAGTCAATTCAGCGAAACTGGCTCCCAGGAACGTTGTGTTCAGTTCCACACTCATTAAACCTTGATGTGTTTATGGACCTAGCACAAAACCTAATCGCTGTCGCTTATGTCGTTGATCACAAGACAGTCTATATTAACCTTGGAGCCCTGGATGGTGATGGTGTTCACCCTCAGGCTGCTGGAGAGAAATTGTTTCTGTCGGACGACTCGGAAAACTGCCCTAAAACGATGTTTGGAAAGCTCAAAGGTTTCGGGAGGTATATCGCTTTATTGCGTCTCTTGGACAATGAAAATCGGGCTTCGATGGACAAGGTATGGCAGCTGCAGATTTGGGACTGGAAATACTCGACAACATCCAATGTGAGCTTTAGTTTGAAATAGTTGAAAGACTTGACGATTGATTCTGAAATTTAGAGCATCATCAGCGGTGTGGTACCCGGCCCATCCGACGCCACAATCGATTTTTGTTTCCTCGGGAATAATCGATTGCTGGTTATAACTGATGACTTGAATCTCTATTCAATTGGGAACATGTCCCAGACGCCGGAATTTCTGGCGTGTTTCCTGATGCCCATCCCGTTCATGCTACAATACCTCCCTCCAATGGATGATATTGGGCATAGCTCACAGTCGCATTTGCAAGCCCAAGGCACAATATACACCTCAGACCCCGCACATCAACTCATATGCCTTATTGCATATTCTACTCGAACCAATTTCGATTCTAGTAATCAAGTCTTCATCATTTCCACGAGGATTTTCTTCAACCTTGACGCAATGGCAGCAGCAGCGCCAATACTATGGCAACATTGGGGCCCTTCGAATACTCGTCTTTTCCGGTACTCACATAATTTCAAAATTCACATTAACGGGAATCGAGTCCTGCAGGTACTCCCTACCGGCACGCGAGAAGAAGAAAACTGGCAGTCCATATTACAATTGATGGACTTTAGCCCGTTAGCTGTGACAAACAGGCGGGGTCTAGGACGTGTGGTGAAAGAGCCGTCCGGTGCATATATCTGCACCTCTACCGGTGAATGTGGAGAGATTTTGGAAACATCCCTGCCTTACGTCCAGGTCGTATTATCGGGCAGAAAGTTCAATTGTGCCAGTCGAGGGTTGGAGAACATATGGATCGACAAGGATAGGATTTATATACTCAAAAGAGATAGGGAACACGCAACGTTCGGTGGCGATCCGAACTTCCCGTCAAGGTTTATCGGCAAACTTGAGGTCGTTGACGTCTAGCCTAACTTACAGAGCGGTGTGGTATCAGCTAGTTGATGGTCAGCTAGGTACTTATGGAGCCATCTTCATTCGATCAAGGCCTGAAAATCTGACTATGGGAGACTATGTTTCAAGCATGTGTTACTACCATAGAGTAAAACTCTCGTGGCCTATCCCACGTACGTCCAGACCATAGACATTAAAAAACTACTATGACGATACTTATAATTAACAAGTTGTCGCTTAGCGGCGGGATGCACCCATAGAACCCACTGGTAGTACAGCGTGCACGGCTTCGAAGTGCGCAAAATGCATGGCAGGCGGCCAACTTTGTCAACGTAAGCGTTGTACTACAGTAAGTAAACATTTAAACAGTTGATGATCAGTCCTGATGGCCGACTCTGTGAAGGGACATAGGGAGCTGATGACAGTGCTGCGACCAGACAACCTCAAGGTTTGATGAAGCCTGGGCTCATCAGGGACCTCGAGACGTGGGATCATGTCGTGTGGTGGATCAAATCGAGCGCCAGCCTGAGCGCGCACTGCACAGGGTAGTAGGGTTTTAGGCGTGGGACTCTATCTTTGGACTGTATACAATGATAAAGCTTCTTCCATCATACAAATTCCGAGTCGCCATTGATATAAACATTTTTATATGCTATTACATATATATGTTCTTTTCATCTTTCTGCCAGCTCCGAGTCACTGATGGCATCTCCCGTTATTTCTAGGTCATGCGACAATCCCCATTTGAACGTACCAAAGGGCTTGATTCACGAGAGAGAGCGACGCTCTGGCAGAAGTTTGCCCTGCATGCTAGTACTGTCCGAATGTACTGAGGGCTTATAACCATCCACAGGAACATGCCATAAACGTGAAACTTCAATTGAAATCTCACTTTGGAGTCATTCCATCGATTCCGAGTCCATGATGATCGACAATCAAGGTGTCAGTATTTTGGTTTTGGTCACTGCATTCGGGCCGTACATAGTTGCGATATAACGCAACACCAGCTACTAAACGGCAGTCTTTTTTGGAGCTCGCTTGTTTCCACTATGCAAGTAAAGTTTATCCCTGCCTCTCTGGTCCGCCATGCTGCAGTAACAGCATGCGGCAGTTGGTTTCGGCTGCAGTTGCAGTAACGGTATGGCTGATTTCCAAAACACATCAGATGGATCCATATGGCATTCTAAGCATTCTTTGTAGGACGCGGAAAATTACTTCATGATAACACTCTTATGCTTGCTGGACACCTTTCTTTTGCTGTGGCGGGGCATGGTATAAAGACACGGGAGAACCTCGTTCCCTCCCTCAGAACAATGTCTGCTTCAACGCCACAAAGATCAACAACACTTGGCAATTATAGCTTTGCGCGCAATCCACCAACCCCTCACAGTAACCAGCACAATAAAGATGCCAGCTTCGGCTCTAGTCCTCCGGCGATGGGAGGCAGCAAATGTGCATCCCAAATGTATGCCCTCCGTCATCATTTATTTTTCACATGATGAGCCTTGTGCGCAGGCTAGGTCCAAACGATCACAGTTCATCCGCGTCCTCGCAACACATTGCAACCACGTCGGATATACATGCCGTCATCCCTATGATGGCAAATTCCAAGTTAGTACGCTCCCTAGTATTGTCATTGCATAAATATAACTCGAGTAGCGTTGTCCTATGGACGTCAGACAGTCCATCGAGCAGAAATGCTATCTTGCATGGTTCCCCGCATAATTCACCAACCCCCCACGATCTAGGAGGTGCCGGGTCCAGAACCTCCAGTCATCCAGCGACAGGAAGGGTCTACTTATCTCCACGTTCATTCCCAATGTATGCCTTTCATCACTTATGCTCTCATAATCGCCCTCACACTCAAACACAGACCAGGACCGATCGGCCACACTTTGCCCATGTCCTCACAATGCAGTATGACCACCTCGGATATGCACTCCGTTGTCCCTATGATGGAAAATCCCAAGTAATTGCACTCTTTTTCTTCCTCACATAAGTCTAACAACACGAGTAGTGCTGCCTCAGGCTCGTGGGCACCAAACAATCTCAGGGCCGCTGCCTCACACGGCTGGTCCGGCGAGTCGCAATTTGTGCCATATCTCCACGAACTAGGAGGTGCCAGGTCTGGGGCCCCTAGTCATCTAGCAATTGAAAGTGACTACTCGTCTCCACAAGCATTGCCAATGCCAATGTATGCCCTTCGTCACACTCATTTGCTGGTATACGCCCTCATACTCATACACAGGCCGAGAGCGATTGGCCACACTTTGCCCGTATACTCGCAATGTGGGATGACCACCTCGGATACACTTTCTGTCATCCCTATGATGGCAAACCCCAAGTAAGTACGCTCCCTAGTATCTACCTTACATGAATCTGACAACACGAGTAGCGCTGTCTCACGGACACCAAACAATCTCAGGACCGCTGTCTCACGTGGCCCCTCACAAAGCGTGTCATGCATTCATAATTTAGGAGGCGTGAACTCCGGGTTTCAGCTCCCTCCAAGTCCAGCCCAGTCGGAACTGCCGATCAATCAGCCATCTCTCCTCCTCTGCCGGTGGGTATATAACAACTCACCCTGCAGATATGAAGGAACCTTGGAGGATTTCAAACACCATTGGTACGACGACCATCTTCCTGAATTCCCAGGTGCGATGATCCAATGCCAATGGGAACACTGCAATTATCATGGGCGAGGTGATCGTTTAATGAATGACATGCGCCGCTCCTTTGTGTGGCGGCATATATCTGAAGTCCACTTAATGCATCGGAGGAATAGATAGACACCAACTGTTTTACTCTAGCCTACCATGACTTGATCAAGTTGCCCGGGTACAACTCGCCTGATTTTTCTATAATGAATTTAAACATTATCACCACGTATAGCAAATCACTTGACTAAATAATATGACAAAAAACTTTGTATATCTCCTTGAAAACAACTTCGGAACACCAAATAACTTCGATCAGTACCTCAAGAAAGTGAGATTAAATAGACGGAAATTTCCCTGCTCTTTGGAGGGCACCAGACAACCGTTAACTCCACCGACTATCACACACCATTTCCAGTCGATATATGCATGCGCTCCTGGAAAGCGATTGAGGTCATACCAGTTGCTGCGTTAGAATCAGCCACGAGCTTAGCGTGGTATTCTCGAACACCAAGGATCAGGCGCGGTCCCAACACAAACATCTGCATGACAGTCAAAATCTGGAGAAACCCCATCATCAAATGAAGGCCCAGGGAAGCGTCCTATGGAAATGATGAATTGTGGTAGTGCACATATGCAAGTGAAAGAATAACACACCGATGATGTTGAAGAGAAATAAAGTTGAATCTCAAAGCAAGAAACAGCAACAAAGCTACCACATCCGACTCTTCAGTGGAAGGAAGGAACAATAATCATAAACGGTTTACCTCGCAAAGTAAACCACGTGAGTTTTCATCAACACCGTAAAACAGTCCCTCATAATCCCTCCTGCCGAATGCTGTCGCAGTTCACGGAAGTGTTTTACCGCAATCCAGACTGCGAGACTTAGTGCGAGGACCTCCCACACAGTTACGAGTATCCAACAAATGGAAAGTAGAAATATCACATGTTCTGCATAGTTCATATGGCACTGATAAGTGCCAGAGAGAATGAGTTCCTCTGGGATTCATCGATGAGCCTCATGCACATGTGTTTCATCCACAATTGAGCGTACCCCCTGAAGTATGCATCGATGCTATTATAGTGATTACTCCGGTAAAAATGTTGACAGCCAGGAAGGTGACAATGAGAAATATCAGGATCTTTCTGGATCCTTGATACATAGCATGCAACCGAGTGATGATGATGACTTGCATCATGTTTCAGTCAAATAAATATCACTGAGGTCTCGCAAGTGCAAAGCTCACCCCACAGCATCGCAAATACCACAATACCAGTCCAATTCCATGCGGTGTAGACAATCCCGCCTGACGAATCCAGTCAGTGATCGGCCTCGGGTAGCACACACTTCAAACAGACTCACATCTGTTGCAGTATAGCATGGCAGTCATTAGTGAACAAAGAAGTCAGCAAAGAACCACACCCACTGCTACAAGGCGCCACCGTTAATTGGAGGGGAGTAATGATAGGCATCTGTGCAGAAGACTCACCGTATCTGTCAATGAGATAGTCGGAACACTGGCTGAAAGCCGTTCTTCAGAAGAAGTGAAGACAGTGGATGCACTAAAGAGACATACCAAAGGCGGTCAGGCTAGTTATAAGGGATAGACGATTAGCACAACACCGATAGTGTAGCCATCTGAACATACGTAGCGTATAAGATTCCGAGGTAACGCACCTAGGATACTTTCAAGTCAGCACAGCATGGCAACCGCGACAAACAAGCTACATACACCGAGATACATAACTGTCATTACGGACCAGGGCTGTCCCTGGAATCAAGCATGTTTTCATGCGTGTTCCTCTGACACTAGGCTCTACTCACCCAGATCAGTTCCACCTATGAAGTCATTCTTAGCGAGATGGCTGCTCCGGTCATACCATCGACATACCTCTTGTCCGAATGTAAGTGCTAAAAATAATCGTCAGACGTCAGTAGTCTCTTAATGTTATTATGCTCACCCCAATCATACGTCACTACAACACAGGCGGCAACTGCGAAACAAAAGCCAAGGTTAAATTGTGTCAGCTTCAACATCCGACTGCTCTCCACGAACCTACAAAATAGCTGGCGAAACGATATGCATTGATGGCTGACCACCAAGTGGGATCATTTGAGACTACGGTCATATTGGTAGAGAACAGGCGTGGGTGAAAGGCGAACTTGGTGGACGTAAGACGACATTCGTGCTAGTTATACCACCATCCAGTGCGTAGACGAAACGAGATCGGGGAATTCGATGATGACCGTTCCTGCTTTGATTGGTCAAAGTGGATATTTTTGCACGAGGAAAAATAAATTAATCCAAGGGATCATTGTAGATGTTGGACAGACGTGAAACATCTGAACGAGCGAAAGTTGAAACACTTGACCTCCACAAAAGATCGAACAACATCAAGAACTATTCGTGATCTTGTCGCCTTATTTCCGATGTTATTCTCGAGATGTTTCTGCTATATGTGTATCAGTTCATTAATGCAACTTTATCTGTTGGATACACACTGATCACGGTGCGACCATCGGAAAGCCTGTCATCTCATCTCTCTTCGCCTCTCTAGCACAAGCTTGGGGAGCATAACAGCTCATCCAAGGTCACTCAGCAAATGCACATTACGTCGGCATGACACCGGACCAGAAAAGTCGGCCGTCAAAAATAGGGAGATTTGCACGAAGAAACAAATTCGCATCCTACTCCTACCAATACCTCCCAGCGAGCATACGTCTCAATGTCTCATCTCACCCTTAGGTCATAACTCATTTGTCGCTTCATGCGCACCCTCTCGCTCTCCATCTCGGCAATTGGGCTATCGTATCATCTGGATGCCAGAAATAGTAAGCGCGGAATCTTTTATTTGTGTCGTGGAGTTGGTGCGGTACTAGTGAGAGGCATCAGATTTCACCAGAGACGTGTATCACTGCAGGACTGGCAATAGTGTCCCTGACCCCGGTCATGTACCCAGTATTGCATGCGTGACGACCTGCCTGCATCTCAATGCTATGAAATTGCTTAATACGAATACGAGTATTTCACTACAGGCCCCATGAATGTTCAACGTTTCACCCAGACAATGAGGCCGTACCTCAAACTCATAAGGTGGGCCCCAGGTAACATTTCTTCATAAATACCACCGCTCGATGATGAAGTGGTGTCTAAACTTGATACACACAGCAGGTTGATCGGGTTCAAACAAGACCGCGCGTCTCCGATATCACTGGACATAGATGACGAAGCACCCTCCGCGATGCCATCAAGTCTAAAGCCAGGAACATATCTACACTGCACCGAGGTGGAATAGCCTCTGTTGTCCTTCTGCGGCTAGACGCAGTTGAAGATAGCTCAGAATATGAAACTCGCCAGACTAGTAATCTGACGTCTGATTCCCGAAAGCTAGGCTATTCCTAAAGTTTTCATAAGCTCCTGAGATTGATAATGAGGACATACGCCGTACACGGAACCTGACATCATATCATTGCCAATGGAAGAACGTTTGCTGTTAGAAGGGAGATGATCGACGGAGATCAGTTCTGTTGTTGGCAGAATGCAGTGGCAATTCCCGAGCGGCAATTCCCGGCAGTACTTGAAGTCGGCAGAACTAAGTACGTTAACCTGGTATTTTTTTCTACCAACAAAACAAGACATTATATGTTTGAATGTATCTTGGCGTGTAAGTTGGCAATTATCATGCCTCCAAAGCCCAAGCTCAGGGTCCTTATCTTCAATGGTTACGGTAGAAACTTTCCCGCAAGCTGTTGGAATCACTGATCGGTATTTATTCGATACTATGGATTTGATGGACGATATAAACACATGATAAGAAAAATAAAGGGAATTCGTATATGCTGCAGCGAGCGTCTTAGTAAAATTGATGGAGGAATAGATGTACCGAGAGCACGAGAGAGTTGACAATGATGATGATGGCGCTGACGAGTCCAGGGGCTAGTAGTCTGTGCATGAAACAATCAAAATGATCATATGGAACGCAGCAAATGAAAACCAAACGCAAGATGAAATTCACAACAAAAATAGAGTCAGGGCCATGCAGATATCGTAGACAAGTGTTAGAACGTGACCAACCACATAATGGCGAACCAAGGACCGTCCATTGCAGTCCGTAAGTTGTCGTAGCAGATCCATGTCGAGTCGGCAGCAGCCTTGTACTAGCATTCCACCCCACAAATTTTCCGGATGACATCTAACAATATCCAGCAACTTTGTCCTATTCTCGTATTTGTCCTTGCCTCCCCTCGTTTGCCTCGTCCCCGAGAAGCGCTCATCGCGGCCCGTATCCATATGCATTTTGCGGGCCTGGAGATGCCCTACCAGCACCGATTGCGGGACTTGCCGACCGGCCATCGAGTGCATACCCCATGGCCGCCTGCGGACCTGGGGAAGCACGTCCTTGCACATCATACCCCATCTGTGGACCCGGACTCCTGGTCCGGGCCATCCGCGTCATCTGAATGGTCTCTGTAGTATGGCCATCTGAGAAGCCGTCACCAAACGTGTTGGGCACGGGGCCACGATAGGGATCATAGTAGTCTGGCTGGCCGTAGGTCCCGGGGTCGTCGTGGTAGGGTTGGTTGGGGTTGAGGTGTGGGAGAGGAGGGACGGCGTATGGGTCTGGTGAATTTACATAGGTCTCAGGAAGCGAGTTGGCGGCTACGGAATGGGCATATCCACCGGGACTGGGTGCGCGTGCGAGGTTCACCTCGGACTCGTTTTCTACACCGAAACCTGACCGGCCCGTAGATTTGGTTGGCAACGCATGGACATCAGAGCCATGGGTGTTCAGTTCTGGCCACTTGATTGCTTCATCTAATGCGGTTGTAAAATCGTGAGGTCATGATAGATTTACAAGTCATAAATCAAAAAACGCACTGTCATCAAAGTCTGCGAAGCGTTTTCTGGTGAACTTCCAAATAAAGAATGAGATGATGCCAATAACTGCAACACCACCCGCTACAGAAAGACCAACAATGGAGCCTGTGCCAAGGCCACCAGAGCTACCAGAGCTACTACTGCTAGTAGGAGAAGATTGTGTGCTCGACGAGCTCGGGTCGGACGTGGGTGTAATGACAACAGTGCTGGTAAGTACCTCGCCAGCAGAATTGGTGGTAACTTGCACCGAGGTGGTCAACGGAGGGGGAGCCGCGGTCGGGATGGTGGCAGTGGTCTGGGAAGGTGGTGTGGTGGTGGTCTGGGCGGTAGTGGAGGTTGACGATGGCGTGGTCGTCGTTTCGGTCGGGGTAGTAGTGGTAGGAGGTGTCGATGTAGTCGACGGTGTTGACGTCGTTTGCGGAGCTGTAGTTGTAGGAGTTGTGGTGGGCGGCGTGGTTATGGGGGCCACACTTGTGGCTCCCACGAGAGGCGCAGATATAGTTTGTTGGCGTACATGAAGATTAGGCTTTCGCTCTTCAAGTAGCTGATGTGGAGCATGTGCAACTGAAAGCAAAAAGCAAGACGCCACTACAAGGAGCAGCAGACATCGTGATGTCGCGCTCTTCATTGCGCTCTTCATCATGCGGGTTCAAGCGGACTGTCTATCGCGTGATACGAAAATTAATGAGCGGTCTCTATGATATTTTTCAAGGTTAGCACGTCGTAGGAGGTATCGTCGCCGCTGTTTGGGGCCGTGTCGTACGAGAAGGGAATTAACAACGACACAGGTAAATGTGAATGAAAGGAAAGCCTTTGGTAAAAAGCAGGCGGCAACCTAATTGATGAAACGACCGGTGGCAGTGGTCACTCTCGTTGTGACATCACCGTAACAGGGTGACATCTCACATCAATAGGCAGGCACTGCGCAGCAAGGTATACATAGAGGCGGAACAAAGCCTGTGCGCAATATATCGACGTGCTATAAGTAACTCCTCATAGTTGTCATCTTCACCATCACCATCACCATCGTCGTCATCGCGGAGTAAGCACCCATCCTCAGTCCAATGACCTCCTCCCCAGCAATTTCGCAATCTCTCTATGTTCTCTAAGCCAATCCGAAAACCCTCTTGTCTCTCTTCCCTGCATCTCCCGCAGTTCAATGAGATAGTTAGCAAACACGATCAGTGTTCCATAGCGATATCTACGTGTAGTGGGCGCGCATCAGGTAGCTGTGTGGACAACACATGAAAACAACTCACAGGTAATTTACCGCAACGTCCATCAGCTTCCGTTGTTTCGCGCTTCCCTTTTCTAGCGCCTCTACCTTGAGTTTGTAGCTATGCTTCTCATGAGCGCCAGAACAAAGCACGACACAGTTCTTTCACTTACTCGTATATTGACTTGCGAAGATTCTGCACGTCTTGCATAAGATCAATGGCACGGTCCGTCAAGCGCTTTGCGATTTTGCCGTGAGACAAGACGCCGACAAGTTGCAATATAGTCTTGTACTCCCCTATCACAACATATTGTTAGACATGCAATACTCAGGCTCGACTGCCGATCAGACCTTGCCGGTAAGCCTGTTCCTCCGAGGGACCATCAATGGAGTCGTATTCAACACTGTCCGGGTCTTCCTGTCCGTCAATGTAGTTTTCTTCGCCCTGCCAATTCATTGTCGTTGATATCAAGCAGGCTGTGACCATCCCCGTGGTTGTACGACCACGGCCCATCTGACAATTGAATATGAAGTCATCCGCCTCTGGGTATCCAGACTGGACACGTTCCAGTAACTGTGACAGAGCATCAGGCAATGGCGCTTGTTCGTCGGTCTGTAAATTTCCATGAGCGCTTGTTTCATACAAAACCCTGATTCCTCACGATAGCAACACGACCATAATTGATCTGCCGGATAGAATCAGCAACGGCAGACCTGGAAATTCAAGAATGTCGCGCTGACCTTGAACTCTTCCTTAGCCATAAGATTGAAAACATCCCTCGGGGTCATAATATCAGCCTCTTCCACCGTCTCCCATATAGGTATGATAGAGAACACGCCAGGCCGCTCCTCAAGCTCATCATGCAGAAGGATACGTCCATCACCCATTCTGACCTCACGTATAACATCCTTCTTTAAACGTTCCTCCATAGCCTCCACCATGGCTGTTGTGACCCCAGTTGCTCTGCTCGGTATCAGCCTGTTGTCCCACGTGGCTCATAAGCACTCACTCTACGTTTTCAAGCGGTTTGTCCACAATCCGCAGAACATGGGGCTGGCCCGCAATATAGATGACCGGTTCCTATATCACTTCAGCCAAGATGAAGCGAATATCGGCATTCCTAGCCTCACCTCTCGCAGGGATGTCCAGTACACCATGCTGTGGCCTTGTGGATCAGCATCAACGCGTGCTAGCGCTCGCCGTAAACTATAGACATGCCACGGTGAGAGTTCATTGCACCATCACACTACAAACCTACCCTTGAACTGTAGGCATTCCGCTGTAGAACAGTCAGACAACTTCTAGTTATCATCCCTTAGAGAACACACCTGCCGCACAACATCTTCCCATCAGCCGGATCTACAGGAGAAGATGCCCGAGAAGAACCAAGCTTCAACGTCAGCGGCACGCGACGGAAATTAGGAGAGCCTTCGATCCTCCTATACGAGAAGACCAATTCAGTTCACGTTTCATTGGAATTGTGGAAAAACACACTCAGGGAGCGACATCTTTTGCAGGTTGGAGAAGAAATCGCTCTTGAGAATGGTAGATGCAGAGAGAATGCCGCCAGATCGGTTTACTACCACTTGCTTGACTTCGTCGGGACGAGCCACACTCTCATTCACATCCGCACGCTCGAGTGGCTTGAGGGCGTGCAAACCTTCCGCAATGAGTTCCTTCTCGAACGTTTTGATGACTATGCCATATTGAGAAGTGAAACGCTTTAGTAAGGTACAAAAATGATCTCCTTACCTGGGCGATTCTCAATGAAACTTTTGAATGTTTCAAATGACTGCATCGTATCTGGCTCAGTAGATCGCAGATACGCCTGAAATAGAATGAGTTCAAAGTAGCGCTGTAAATTGTGTATCCCTTGGTCTGTTCAACACTAGGATAAAAAAAAGGGAAAGCATTGTCTTTACCTTTTGAGGCATGGATGCGCTTTTGCTTCTCATCAGTCGCTTTCTCAGCCAAATCACGTTCGTCTTCGATGGAGTCTCTGAGATTCATCACGATCGCACATCGATCAATGGCCTCGTCAACAGTGTTCTTAACTGCAGGACCTTTCCGGACGATTCGAAGGAGATCTATATCACAATCTCAGTGGCATACCTCAACAGAAAAGGCTAATATTAACGTACTATTGATGACTTGATATGAATGGCGCTTATTTGCAGGCTCGTCGTGAAACATATCAGAGGTCATCGACATCGACATCGAGCGAGCCTCTGTCCGAGATGACCACTGAGAGAGCGCCCGGCTGTCATTCAACCATTGTTGAATGAGGACAATCAACACCTGTGTTGCAAGAGCATCAATAATAACGGTCCTTCGTTTCCACCTGTACTCACAGAAGTTAGAGTGCTCCTTCCTCGCCCAAGCTGGCAATTGACGACCATAACCGTGCTGGAAGAGTCTGTGCGAAGGACAAGGTCCATGAGCTCACTTATGTCTGCGAAATCGGGAGGACGTTCGGATGTGATTGGGATCCGAACATATTGGAGATCCAACCCATGTCTAGATTTACGGGATACCATGATGTCCTTGAGCACTGCGACGCTCGAGGATTGTACTTCTTCCCATATGGGAATCACAGATCCATCTGAGGTTTCTGTGTGAAGAAGCAATCTTCATTGTATTTTCGGGTATGTGAACTATAATTTGGAATTGCGAGTAAACAAAGACGCACCTTCCCTCAAATGCTTCAAGCTCTGCAAGGACATCATCTTTCAGGCGCTCTTCTAAGACTTCCAGTCGCGATGCAGAAATCCCTCCATAATCTGTAATAGTTCGGTCCTTCAGGAACGATATCAAAGCTTAAACCTGAGCGCGCAAACCTTTCATATTCCGGAGGGAGAAACGTTCGCGCCTTAAACAGTAGGGCGCACCGTTGACGTAAACAATGGGCTCTTCTCTCAATGTCACCCACACAACTTTGTTTGCGTCAGGGTGTGCCACTTTGACACGATGCACCACCTCATCGACTGCGGACTCAGTTGGTTGGCCGCTCGCATATATGTTAGTCCCGGGAATGTTACGAAAGTTGATAGCCCCGCGGACTGAGTCTGAAACACGATGAGACTCTGAAAGCCACTGGTCTGACTTGAGAAGCGTGCTGTTTGACAGACATAAGAAGTCAAACACGTTGCATACGCATGGTGCTGACGTACCTGTCTCGCAAAATAATTCCACTCCGATTCTGCAGCAATTAATAAGGCCAAGTGGTACGTGTTATTCAAAGAGCGAACCTTGACAACGTGGTCGCTATACTCATCGCCGAGCAGCTGACCCCCGGCGATCTCCACATCATTCTTCTGTCCAGCCACTAGAGATTTATCTTCCGTTCCTGATCTTGACAAGAGGGAGAGGTCGTTGACGGGCGCAAAAATATTGAGCCTCGAGCCGTAAATCTTGCGGAGAAACATGACTTGACTGTAAACATGTAGGCCGCCATTGGATGTTTGGTCACTGATATGCTCGGGACAACTTACTTCCAAATTTCTGTTCTCGCCTAACGATTAAGACGTTACCACGGTGATTTGAGGACATTTCATCAGTTATAGAGAATGACGTACCTTCAGCCAATCCGAAAATGTTATCTCAAAGTCCTTGACAGAATCGACATAACTCGCAAAGGTGATCATGAAGAAACTGTTGGGAATTTGGTAACAGCTATCAAATGGTATAGTCACAACAAACCACGTACTATTTTTCCAGCGCTCTTCGAGCCTTGGATAAAAGATCTTCTCGTTTGCTTTCGTCACTATCGGCCGTTGTGAGTGAATACTTGACCCTGTATGTGAGGATGTCTTCTCGGAGATTAGTTACATGATCACCTAAGGAATTGAGACATCGTTAGCAGCCAATTCCCAATACATAACAATGTTAATTGAAGGGATGAGATCTAAGACACTGGAATGAAGCATGACGGTGCACCTACATGCATCTATTACACGGTCGACCAGTCTTTTAGCCTGTAAGCCGTGATCTAAACACCCAAGTAGACTTAGTATCACTCCATAGTTGCCTTGGTGTGCTTTGCGCAAGTTCTCCAAGAGTGTGGGTTGCGCCATCAGCAAGGCAATCACAGACTGAGAATGGAGATCTGCGAGAGATAAATTGGTTTCCGAGATAAGGCCGTGGCGATACGTACGTCGCTGTAATACATATGTCAATCTTAGAAGTGACTTGTTTTGGTCCTGTTGTGCACTGGCATTTTCCAGCGCTTGAGCTAGCTTGATATCAGTGGCTGCCTGAGGAAATATCAAGTTCATCTCGAGCGTAACCGAATAATATACGGGTGCCATACCTGATTTGTGGGCTAATCGAAATGTGTCAAGCCTTGGATTTGTACTAGGAAAAGCTTGCGAACTTACCGTACTAAGGCCCGGGCTGCCGTTACCCGTCTTATAGGATCCGCTACCTAAATTGCTCAAGAAAGATGACCTACTCGGGTATGGGTCTTCTAAACCCCTAGCGAGCAGCATTTTCCTCCTGACAATCACGGCGGCAACCATGGCAAATGTAGTTCGGACGGCACCCATACCGCAAGAGAATACAAGGGCACTTCGTACTGGATCTGTGTTTGTGATAACACGTAGGTACGCATCTAAGTAGTTGTCCTGGGTGATGCTAAGCGGTAAACCATACTTAGAAATATAACGTACTCACTTCAATGGGACGGTCGGGGGATATGGGGATACTTAAGTAATAGATCAATGGTGTGACCTGGGCGCCAAGACGATAAGAAACATACCGATGATACTACGATGAAGAGAGTATAGTGTGAAACCTGGAATCAGGAGAATGGATGAGATACCGACGAAAGCGTACCTCTACATTCCATCCATCTGCACGCATTTCGTCCCAGAGTTCTCGTGATGTTCTTACGTTGACCTTGTCAACATGAGTCCAGGTAGGCAAAACGGCGCCGTCCCCACTCTCGGCAGCTGTAACAGATGACGTTCAACATCCGATGGAAGAAAATCTCGTATTACTCACGCAGTTCATTGTGGGTTAATATTAGGCCTCCATACCTGGTCAAACAGAATTAGTGCCGTCACCAACAAGCGATATCGGATGTGCATCACTTTATTGATTCCTGTAAGATGTCATTTTTCAAACGTTGTTCTATGGCTTCTAGATTTTCGGCGCGATCGGATAATGATAAGGTTCTTCTTGGTTCAGCGGAATCGCGCAATACGAAGGGTCGTCCTGATATATACACTAGAAGGCAGGAGAGGCAGAAAAACAAATGCGTCACCGAGAATCATAAATAGGATGTGAGGAATTTGATGTATTAAGCTGCGTCATGATAATGATCTGAAGATTGTGAGGAAAACATACCGATCGGTTCCTCCCGCGTAGAAAACCAAACGACATGAGACGGACTGGCAGTACCAGGGCGACAGCGCAAGATGGAAAGAATCGCTCGTAGGCCCTGTGTGCGAGGCTGAGCAACTCCGAAAACGTTTGTGTTGCGGGATGCCCTGAAGTTGGGAGCACCATGGACATTCAAATCGAGATCAAGAGCTCGGCCTATTAAACTTGCTGTGAACTGACTTCACAGAAACCAATGATAATCAAGCGAACCAGACGGGTAATAATCGGTTTTCAAGATGAAGCCTCTGGACAACACGCTTCCCGTTCTCGTTTTGACAACGGATGGTTCTGCTCGTTTCAGATTGGCCATGAGATCAAGAGGTACGACGGCTTGTTTTTCTGTCATCGATATTGTCGATTCGCTAGCAACGCGAGATGTTCTGAGAGCTTTGACATCTCTAGATGCTAACTGGAGAGCCGACCGATCCACCAAAGGTACTGATGCTGGACGTTCGGTCGCATCGTCTAGTGATATCTTCGGAAGCTGGTTGATATGCATAGTGCTTACTTCGAATGGGACAAAGCGGGGAGCTTGGTTGTCTATCATACGATGTAACCAGAGACTACTAGTAGCTGGCTGAAACGCCTCGAATCGAAGGTCCACACACGGTGCCACAAGAGCAATCACACGACCCACATGAGGACCAGTCATGTCGTCCACGTGAAGCGTGAGAATCCCAACGCCAGTGGCTAAAATGAACGACCGTGAGGCAGACTAGCTAGTGGCGGCTTGTTGAGCCATTTCCGCGCAATTTCAGCCGACACTTTCCAAGTTTCCCTTTTCTTTCTATCTACCTTTCGACGTCTTTGCGATAACGCGAAACTTCAGTGCTACCTAATGGGTACTTGAGTGATAGAGTTCAGTTGGACGGCCAACTATGTAAGATCTGAAACGAACCTTGCAGGTTTCATTACTCAATTCATAACAGCTCGGTTTCGTATTATTACTCGGCGTGGACCGAATGTGTCGTATCCCTGTGATAATCATACTATCAGCCACTCATTCAGCCAGTGATAGCATCACGGGCTTGTTCAATGTCAAGTTTCCGAGTCTGCCCCGCCCTTTCGCCACACAAATCTACTTTGCCATAATCTCGGTTTTGATCTGCTATTTGTGTTTAAGTTGGTCATCGTGAGTAGTAGTTCGTCCCTTTGATGAAGTGTCAAGCCAAGGCTCAGGCAGCTGACAGCAGAATCACTGCAGGGACTCGCAGGGATGTCTCGTGGGAGACAGGCGTTATTGTCGCTGACGTTAATACACGTGTATAATCGTATACATTGCATGCTGCGCCAACAGGAAATGCACAGATCGGGAAAATTCTTTGTGAAACCTGACCTAGCCTTTCCTTCATCCGTTGCTGCGAGTGCAAGCCGTCATGAAAGGAACTTGGCTTGTCTGTCTCAGAAAGGCATGTTATTAATATGGATTTGGCGGCAATTTTTTTTTAGACTCGATTAGGATGCTTCGAAGGTATTAAAGCTACTCTTGAGGCGTGGATCTTTACCATCGCTTGAGATGTCCCCCTCTCTCTTAACCTTTCAGGTTTTTTTTGCCGTCATATGCCTCTTTCTAGCCGTTTACCGAGTTCGACGAAAGAGTTCATCCAATCTCTCCTTTCCCCCTGGCCCCAAGGGCTTGCCGGTGCTAGGTAACCTGCTCGACCTCAACGGCAGTGAGCCATGGATTAGCTTCACTCAGTGGGCATCGACACGCGGTAGAGTCTATCAATTTTCCAAGAAACAAATCTCCTTACTTTTTTAAGGGGACGTCATCTACTGTAAGCTGTTCGGACGGCAAATTGTTGTTCTACAATCGCAGGAAGTTGCCAAAGCACTATTGGAGAATCGCTCTAGTATTTATTCTGACAGGCCACCAGTCTATAGCACAAAGGCGTGAGGAAACCAACATCTAACATGCTATATATACATACCTGACACTTTTCATAGAACCGGATCTGAGTTTAACAGTGCCCAGTTAAGATATTCTGATGAATGGAGATTGCATCGACGAATTTTCCATCAATCATTCCGACCTGAGGCGGCAAAAGATTACTTGCCTCTTCAACTTCGCAAAGCTCATCAGCTGTTGCAGGGCATCATAGAAGCCCCCGAGCACTACCAGCGCCACATTGAACTGTACGTGATATCTTATCTTATCCTTCGGCAAGCTTAATGACAAAAATGTGATGACCCCAGTTTCGCCTCTTCCGTGATCATGTCTGCTGTATACGATTACGAGGCCAAGCCGAATGACGACCCGCTTTTACTTGCCGCTGACAAGGCGATCAAGATATTTATAGAGCTGGCGAGCCCCCAGACTTCGGCCATCCTGGAGTCATTTCCGTTTCGTAAGTTTTTATCGGTCTACGTCTCCAAAAAGTTATCTCTGACTTAACGTAGTGCTGAGATTGCCTTCTTGGTTTCCCGGAGCGAGTTTCAAAAGACTTGCTATCCAATCACAAAGGAATGCTGCCACCATGGTCAACGTCCCGTTTCACTATGCACGAGAACGCGCAGTGAGCATTCATGTCCTGAACAAGAATTAATCATATCAACATAAGATGTAGATGACTGCAACTTCGAATCAGTGTATGATTTCGGAGTCTTTCAAGCGGTTGGAAACGCATGGTAATGCGGACGAATTCGAGCTTGCATTGAAGTCGTCTTCTGCTACAGCATTCATTGGTATGACACGGTTTATCTCTCGAGTAACGCTACTAATATATGTCGTATATAGCTGGAGTTGAAACGGTCGGTGCTGCTTATAAACATTAACCTGTTTCCCACGAACTGACGGATAATCAGACTGCGTCAACGCTCACTGTCTTTGTTCTTGCAATGATGCTCTATCCAGATGTACAGAAACGTGCACAGGAGGAGATTGAGGCAGTTATAGGTGACCAACTTCCTACATTTCAAGACCGGCCTTCGTTGCCGTATGTAGAAGCAGTCTTGCGCGAGACGCTTAGATGGCATCCAGTGTTCCCTCTTGGTGGGTCGATCTCCTGCATCGTATGTTAGGACCTTACATTTACATGTGACAAATTAGGTTTACCGCATTACACTACGGACAGTGATGTGTACAATGACCATTACATCCCCAAAGGTCTGGCATTTTTTATATCGCATCACTTTCACTGCTAACCACCACGTAGGTGCAATTGTTATGGCAAATATCTGGTGCGTCATAGTACTGGCTAGCCTTGAGTTGCGTTAAGGCAACTGCTACAGGGCCATGTCAAAGGACGAAATAAAATACCCGAACCCTGATGAATTCAAACCAGAGAGGTTTTTCATGGCTGATGGACAATTGAACGACGACACTGTCGACTTTCCTTTCGGCTTCGGGCGCCGAGTAGTGTGTTGGAAAGTACTTCGCTGATGCTTCCTTGTGGATTTCCATAGTATCTCTGCTAGCAACATTCCGTTTCATGAGACCATTGGACAATGAAGGGAAAGAAGTAGACCCTGTCTTCCAATGGTCCACCGGACTCATTTCGTAAGTATCTTGTTCCATGCCATCATCCAAGCGAGTACCGTGAACTAATCGTTGAGATAAATCAGACACCCCAAATCTCTTCCTTGCCGTGTTGTTCCCCGATACCCGGGCATGACTGCACGTAAGCTTGCAGACGTAATAGACGTCAGCGCATGAAGCGAATTGCTCGGTCAGTTGTACAATTACATCTCAAGGGAAGACAACATGATTTTTGTACATATCATGATTATGCGCGATAAGTTCAAGTTGAATTTGAAATTAATTCCGATTATGCACACTAGAACAAGGACTGGATGTGGGAGAAACAAGCGAGTATGAGTCAATGCCCTTATCATGCTTCGGGCACGTTGTTCTGTGCAGGTCGGCTACTTCGACATTGCACGTTCCCTCGCATAAGGAAGAGCTTACTAATGCTATAATGTGTTGTTGATCGTTGTTGATCCATCTTTCTCGCTACATGAGTCCGAGTCGCTTTAGTAACTTGTGGAAGTGTTCCTTCCTCAATCGTCTTGCACAAGCGATGTACAATGATCAGGCCAATTCGCGGCCTCGAGGCGGATACATTTAGTAAGATGTTTGCGAGTTTCAACCTCTCGTCGGAATGTGTATATTCCAGCTGGATGTGGAACTCGCTAACATCTTACGATGATCAGAGTGTCCAAGTCGAATTCATCAAGTTCCCTGGTTAAGATCTTGAAGCTTGTGTTGTGACTTGCCAACCATTCGGCGCAAGCATAAGGATCTTTTTGACGTACTACGGTAATTAAGCGATGGCTAAATGCATGCCGTTATCTGATCTGTTCAAGTTGTTGGATAATAGACTTCGTCATATCCGAGTCATTGCCACAAGCCTCCCATGTCCCAATTACTCGGCGAACCGCCTACGAGTGTCGTATGTAGTCCAAAACCTAGAAAACGACATTCCCGTTTCACCATATATCTATCAGGTTTTCAAATCTACGAAATTTGCCTCTATTGTCCTTGGGAGGTAAGTACTATTGAAACTTTAAGCTTGCTTGCTTGTCTTTCTCGTAATCCATCAATACTAGTTCATTACTAAATTGTCAATAGGATAACCAGGGCTTAGAGGCAGCAATTGGACAAAGCCTCGAGAATGGCATACATTACATGTTCTGCAATTTCCAGGTTGCTCACATACGCTCTACGTACGGCCGTCTGAAGATGGGCTCGCTCGCGAACAGTGCAAGAACATGTTAAAGTTTCTAGTCGCAACCGAGTCCTTCCCACCAATCAAAGCAGTCAACGTAAAAATGATTCCGGTCCCGGCGCTACTAGCCTGTAAGTATTAGCTTGATTTCGTCGCCTAGCGGCGATGCACCTTGGGATTTCCAAGCGCTTCTAAACGTCATATTGTGACGCATTGTATACACCTAAAATATGCCAAGACCTCACTGGCAGTCTAAGGCTTAAGCGCAACCAAATGTGCCGCTTTGCATTTATCCATTAGGATGGCTAGCGAGTACGATGGCTATAAAGACCCGACGTAGCAGAGTCTTCCCCCCCATTACTCCCCGTTCTACGCCATGAAGGATTCACTCGTTTTCGCATACTATTGCTCTGGGCATGGTACGCATTCAACGTCGTCTAGCAGTGTCATAAGATCCCTCACTTCTTTTTTCTATAGGCTATGGCCATGCGACACGCGTATCCGCGTTTGCTCGCCACCTCCTCAACCTCGATTCTCGGACGACGATACACATAATCTCGTCTGCTTCAAAACATGTTTTCAACGACAGCATTAGTCTCGGGGTTCTATATCGTTTTGCCGAGATTGACCCAGTCGTTGTACAGCCTGTGGCGTGAGTGTGTGCCAACCTACAATTGACTCATTTCGTTAACCGTTAGATCATTAGATACCGGGTCGACCGTCACAAGAGTGTTGAAGCTCTCAGGTCCTTTTTAGCACGCAAGGAATCTCTTCTGGAGCAAGAGCGACAGTGGCTCTTCGGCATACAGGCTGACTGTGTTCTTAGTGATGCTGCCTTCCTTGGATGGTGAGTTCAGAATCCATCGTGGTAGATCCTTGTGCTTATTGATTATACAGTCTTGCCGCAAATGCTGCAGGGTTGCCTTCTATCCTCATTTCAAATTTTACATTCGACTCTGTGTACAGCTTCCTTTCAACGAAATTCGTGGACCAAGTCGATGCACCTCTAGGAGATGAACTTTTGATTGATAACCACACTTCGGACCATCCGATCCCAGACGGAGAGCTTAAGCCCTTGGTTCAACAAATATATAATGGTTACCGCTGCGCGGACCTTCTTGTTCGCCTTCCTGGATGTATACCTATTCCATCGTTCTCGACCTCCCCATCGTTACCGGCGCCACTCTGGACTGACCAGGCCAGCAACACGCTACTAGATGAGATTGTATCTCATCTTGTTCAGAAACCCGATACACACCTACTCCATCCTTCGATACCTTTCGCCGACTCGCACCCTAAGAAACCGTTTGCACGTAGCATCATCCAAGCTCCTCTTCTCGTTCGTGGTATTAGCAAAGGACCAGACACAGTTTACTCCCCTATTGGTCGATCCCGATTTCTTTCGTCGCTCGGTGTTCCTGAACATCTACACAATCCAGATGAGACGAAGATTCTAATCGTTTCATTTGGCGGACAGGTCTTCCAGAGGCCCACTTCCAGTCGTAGCAGCAGCACGGGTAACTCAAGCCCAGGATGCAGAACACCTGCTACGGGGCTACAGCAGATCACTGATAGCCCACAAATGTCAAAGATATCTCTTTGCAGCGATGCTCTCAGCAAAATAAACAGGTCACACTGCTGTCACAGCGCCCCTCCTGTTGTTAAGCATGAGCGTAGCCCCACGTTTGACAAGTTGTGCGCGATGTTGACCAAAACAGAGTCTTGTTTGAAGAATGACGTCACCCGTTCATATTTCGATACCTCCGTTTCGGACATAATGCTTGATCATGCCGTAGATGACTTCGATGCACGGCTGTTACCGGACTCGTCTTGGATCGCGATTGTATGTGGAGTGTCAAAATGGGGGCAGGATGGGGCAGACGAAAACCCTCCTGACAGGTTTTTTGTCGCCCCGAAGTACGTCTACATGCCCGATCTGACAGCTGTCGCAGACGTTCTGCTCGGAAAACTGGTGCGTTGTGTCATATCAATAGTTTCCTTGGCTAACGGTCTTCTCACAGGGATATGGAACAGTTTCGGAATGCGTCGATTCTTGCACGCCTTTCGTTTATGTCGCACGTCCACTTTTCGTGGAAGAGCACGGCCTGAAGCTCCTGCTCGCACAAGAAGGAGTCGGAATCGAACTCCCTCGAGTCGCTTATGAGGCTGGCGACTGGGCTTTTGCTGTGGAGGAGGCATGGTCGCTGGGCCGCAATGCGAAAGCGGAAATGCGTAGGAAAGGTATGTTAGGTGTTGAAATGAATAAACGAGAAGAAGAAGGCACGTTACTTGCGGGACAAGTGACGGATTGGGTCAGGGCATGGCATGGCATGATTCGATAACGCAGAGGACGGTGTCTGAGATCTGATGTCTGTCACGATAGATTAATATTGTTAGAGGCGACCTTTGTCTACATTATTACATACTATACGTTAGTACATACCGCACGCTCAGGGCTGCGCTTGCATAATACACCAATTGAAGTCAAGTGAGAGTCGTACGAGTATGTATCACTCACATCATGTGCTGCTTGGAGCTACGATAAGTACGGAGACCCTGATTTTGAGTTCCGACTGACTGGGCGTTGGATTTATCTGGAACGCCTTCTATCAAAGTTGTCAAAGTTGTTCGAGTACGTACTGCTACAATCTCATTAACCAAAAAGGCAGCTGGCCAGATCAAGAGAGAGTCATACCGAGATGTGCGTCTGTAAGGACGTACAGGTTCGCACTCGGTATGTATACAGCCATCAAGAATCATCATAGGCTGACTGCGGGTTGTTGTTTGCTGATGAGCCTGTTAAGACCCGACACCGTGACGGAGGAAGAGACTTCCTGGCAGCTAGTCAGGATTCGACGTGATGATCGGAGCGTACTGTGTTAAGCCTGTCACGGTTCCACCCAGACTTTCGAGTCCTATCCATTACTGGTAGTAGTGGGCGTCGAAGAGAGCCCACAGAGTCCAAATACTGTTGCTCCAAGCTAGTAGCCCAAAAAGTTTCAGTAAATCGCCAGAGGAATAGCGCTTGGCTGCATTTGGTCTCTGGGGTCTCTTACGATGGGTAAAAGTCTGGGTTCTACCGTGTTGTACGCGTTCTGTTCACAATCTCAGGACCTGGAGGCTGGGCGGTCCAGCTAGTAGCACAGTCAGCTGTGATCTCATGACAAAAGACGCCGCTCGATACCAACATTAGTTCTGCCGCTGTTTGCAGAGGTACTTGATAGCAGTCAGGAATCAATGGTAACGACATTGAGTGAAATTTAACATGACTAGTAACTGTTGTGCTGCCCAGGCATTTCTGTCACGACAACGCAACTTTCTGCACTACTTACCATTCACCATCCCCTAACTAACTAAGATGGCCAGAACCCGAACCGGACGGAGTGAACAGTCAACGATCTGAGGACGGAAGCTTCGAAACTGTTCATTGGACTCGGAAGGAAGAGGATCCAGGACCAGAAGGTTTCAGACTGCAACCAAGCCTGACCTCCTCAAACCCGCGGACAAATTTTTAGCGACGATGTTTAAATGGATGGTCCAAAACCATCTGTCTCTCCTGCTGAATTACTTTCACAGATGCCGAATACACTTGGAAAGAACGGTCGAGTTCCTGCCCGTAAGTAGCGTGTCTGTGCTAGTAGTTTATTCCCGGCTGATTTCGCTTATTCAAGCTCTTGATGATCTCATCAGGCCGATTATTGAGGATTTCGTGGCGAAGGGGTAGCAAACAGCTACAGTGGTACAGGCACTACACGGACTACATAATATAAACATAGTTAAATGCCAAAAGAAATGTCAATCCCATCGGATGACTAATTCAATTTCACATATTATATATGTACAATTGGTAGGAATTGAACCCAGCACCTTGAACAATTATGAGTGCAGCATTGTTACAACTAGGCTACAAGACTACATGTGTATTCTTACAATAATAGCAATATATACCAATGCAATATGATAATATTGCGAAAATTCCATCAAGTCAATTATCACACGGTTCATGATTACTGTAGCAGTATGTAGCAGAGGTTGCGGCTATATAGCGCTATGGTGGCTATATAGCTCTATATAGCCATCACCAGGGCTACGACAAACTTGACTTTTTACTGATGGGGGTACAGTAACACCGAAATCGTTTCCCGCCTACGCAAACACTAATAAGAGATTCCATTTGCCCTGGCGCGGATTCGACAGAGTGGTGGATATATCACTACGAGCGAGAGTGCGGCTTTTCAATTGCAATGTGCGCTTATTATGGGGTCCCAGGCCTACTCATTTATTTTAGGGGATGCTGGTGTTCCCGGGTTCAAATCGTTCTCAAACGTTATGAAGGAAGAGAAGCATAACACGGTGAGAACGTTGCAGAAGCTGTTACAACACGGCGCTGTCTTGTAGACTATGATTTCCCTGTAGTCATTTACCATGATTGTGTATCATATTTTCCCACTCGAGAGAGGATCCAGAGAGCTTTACACTCACTCCGGCAGATCTTTTTTATTTTTATTTTTTAAATCCATTTTTGTGTCCATTGGGGTACATCTACCATATGTCGGACAATTCTATCTAGTCTAAAGGGCATCCGGCAGATCTTGAGGCACTCAAAAGTACGTGCATCAAGGGCTAATAGATGTAAGAACTTACACATGTAGTATCGAGCGATGAACGACACAGACCAACTACGTCAATGATAATGTTGGTAGTGGTGAGTCCGAGAGACGATATTGGATGTCCATCGAAAACGTCGATTGATGCGCACATTAGCAGTAATTAAAATTTCCGTCTCAACTGCTACAGCCGCTATGCACACAATGCAGCCTTCGGCGATGAATATTAATGAATACTCAAGCTCAGACGAATGACGCGGGACAAATCAGGGCAATGAAATCGCTCCTCACGTCTCTTTAAGTCAGTCAATATTGAATATTGAGTGTTTAAATTACAAATTCAAAGGCACCTCCATTGCCCATGAAGCAGGGAAATTTGTCCAGACTCCAGGAACAACTACATTGACCAACTCAGCAACGGACTATGTATTGTGCCATCAGTACATAACTAATGCGAAAGCAGAAATACGATTCACCGTCCAGATGTACTCATAGACAGGTTGCCAGCCATCGGGTAAGCAGTCTTAGTTGCAGACCTTTTGAGTGCCAGGCTATTGTCAGCAAGGGGTGGTGAGCAACGGGGTTGAATCCTGGATGCAAAACAAACTACTCATACTCACTTTCGGAGCCGCACAGACATGACTGCAGCAATCATTGTTCGTGTCGCAGCTCTTTAACCAGGGCTTGCAGCCGCCGGAGTCTGTCTGTGTAGCGACAGACATACATGCTGCTAAGGCAGTAACGACTACGAGGAAGAAGACATGCATGATTTATGCGGCTTTGTAAAAGGGACTCTGAGCTACTGAGGCAGACGAAGCTTGCTTTAATACACTGAAGATATTACTGTGGGAGGTTCTACCTTGGTTCTACCGCTTTGGAATATTGGTTCAACACGCGCCTGGATGGCAGAACTTCACAACGGATAGTTTAGGATGAATTTATTAGAATCCCAGAATCAGAACCTGCCTTGTATGTATGTATCTCCAGTTGATTCATCGTTAGCCACGTCACCTCAAAAGAATGAAAGCCCGAGTATCCAGTCTAGATCGTTAATAATCTTGTTTAGTAGCATGAATAGTATGAACTAGACAAGAATGACTCACATAGTAGAGACTTCGCGAAGAAAACTACAAGACAGCGCGATCCAGCAAAACCTGCTCCAGCTGGTTGTCGTCGTTCAAAGTCCTCCCCTCCTGGCTGCGTTTCTCCATTGTCTTTCATCTCGAACGACATTCGCGACAAGCTCTAATAAGCCAACAGGTTCCACGCCTGCTACTGGGTCTGCTCAGACCCCCCACGAAATATCGAATGAGTGTAAGCTGTTAGGCTCGTGACCAGCCTGGGGTACACACCATCTCAAATTGACGCTATAGTCAGATTGGTTCGCTCTAGTAGAATATAACTAGGGTATACATTTGAAGAATCGATAATACTGAAACCAAACACCGATCGGACATTGAAAATCCATGCGGCATCTCGGGAAGTCGAAGTGTAACCAAATATCCACCATACGTACTGGTTCCGAGTCACACTCGGTATGTATACAGCCATCAAGGATCATCATAGGCTGACTACGGGTTGTTGTTTGCTGATGAGCCTGTTAAGACCCGACACGGAGGAAGAGATTTCCTGGCAGCTAGTCAGGCCTTCAGGATTCGACGTGATGATCGGAGCTTACTGTGTTAAGCCTGTCACGGTTCCACCCAGACTTTCGAGTCCTATCCATTACTGGTAGAGGGCGTCGAAGAGAGCCTACAAAGTCCAAATACAACCAAGTACTGTTGCTCCAAGCTAGTTGCCCAAAAAGTTTCAGTAAATCGCCGGAGGAATAGCGCTTGGTTGCATTTGATCTCTCGGCTCTCTTACGATGTTTAAGAGTCTGGGTTGTACGCCGTTCTGTTCACAATTTCAGAACCCAGCTAGTAGCACAGTCAGCTGTGATCGCAAATCATCGCATGACCGAAGAGGACAAGTAAATTTTTAAAAGCGGTGATTTGTCACAGTTTGTCACCAAGTTAATCTTGAAACAACATCAACCGTTTTCCTTCCGATTGGCAAGGTCTGGCTACCCACGACACTGGCTTTGCATATCAGATATGTATAACTTCGGGATAGAGTGATCAGAAAGTATCATTACTTCGAACATGCACTAGACCAAGAATAACAAACCACAAGTCCCAATCCCAAGTAAGTATACCTAAACTAAAAAAGCCATTCTTGTTGCCAAGTATATCTTGTAGTCGTAAAATATCTGAAGATGAGTGAAGAGTCAAGTGAATGAGTCAAACGAATGATGTATGTCTATGTATGATTCATATGATTAGTGCCTACTGTGGTTTCTCGTTGTCCTTGAGACCATGTAAAGCGTGCTGATCATTAAGATTGCCCACAGTTTCCTGAATTTACCGCTGCCGGTGGGAGTGTCGACGTGGGCTTGGCTGCACGTTGATCGACCACAGCAGGCGACTTGCTTGTCTCCATTACCACCGGAGCAGCCGCGAGCGTTCGCCACTGCTCCAAAAGTTGTTGACCCACCCCTGGCTCAACCTCCGTACCATCCCGGGAGACTTTGATCTCCCGGTCCTGGTTCCAAGGATTTCGAAGGTGCCGAGTGGAATAGAAAGGAAGACGCTCAGTACAGAGCCATTCCACCTTGAACGGCTGCCCCCAAGCCTGTTCGTCGTTCCCAGCGTTCTTTGTCATCAATGGCATCACATCATCTTTCTGTTGTTCTTCCCCAGTGTTGCCATCATCGCTACTTACGCTGTTATTCTCTTCCTCCACAGATTGTAAGGCAGATACCGCCGACTTAGTGCCATCCGTGCTCTCCTGATTCCGTAACGCCCGGACTGGTGCATTCTTGTCAAGCACAATTTCGGGGGTCACATTTACAAAATCCCTGGATATTAATCCAGTGGCTGACATGGCCTTCCTGCTTTCACGGAGGCTCAACTTCTTAGCTGGAGACTCTTCCCGTGGTGGGCAAGGCCCGAGTGCAGCTGGTGCAGATGATCGGTGAGGCTCCATAGGAGAGGGTTTGCTACTCAGGCTTCCTCCAGAATGTGGAGTGAAAGGCATTGGTGATTCTTCGACGAGGCGATTTTCTGATGGCGTGAAGAAAGTCTGATCGGTGGCAACAAGTGGGCTAGGACTACCAGGCTCGCGCCGAGACGAGGACACAGAGGTTGCCGAGGGATTTGCATGCGAAGCCCACGAAACTCTGTGTTCGCCCTTTAATATCCGACCGGCCATCCTTGTGTGTCGAAAAATCAGTAATGGGGGGAAAGAAACATGGAACTTTACATACTGTGCATATCCATAGAACTCCCCACTCTTATTCACGCTAAATATCAAGATAACTTCGCTGCTAGTGCGGTAAGCCTGGTCAAGAATTGCCTCGTTATGCTTCTGAGTTGCCCACAATCCGTTTTCAACACTCAAGTCTAGGTCGAACTACAAGGTCAAAGCATCAAAAATAAGTCAGAATTAGTGATCCTCTAGAAAAACGAACCTGTGTTAAAGACTTGAGGATGAAAAAGCGTTTTGGAAAATGCCGGGACAAAAAGCTGGAGTTCGTCGACGTATAGGAGCTACTTGATTGAGCTTTGACACTGTCTCCGGGTTGCGAACCTTGGTGAGCTCTGGCACCTTCCTCATCACTCGACTGTGGCGCAGCCACAGCTGGTGGATTCCCTGATTCACTCGATGGACTCGAACGGCGACCGGTAGATGATGACTGATCGTCTTCACTTGGAGTAACCTGGTTATTCATTTGTCCCTGTTGAGATTGCTCACGGACATAGCGAGTGTGCATGCCCACTCCCCGTTGCCCACCTACCCCAGCACGCAGATCATCCTCTTTGCGACGTACTCGACAAACAAGTCGTGGACCCCGCCGTTCATGTGGATGAAGGTGCTGCCCATTGAACTGCACGATTGCGCGCCGTAAATTCTCTTCCGAGTCAAAGTTGACAAATGCGCAGTTTGACCGGGAGATTAAGAAAATCGATGAAATACCATTGTCTTCAGACTCAAACGAGTCATCGTCCACAGGAGGACGTTTCAGGAACCTCCAGAGTTCGTCGTGGGTGGTCCCACCTGGGACATTCCCTATCCACATGACCCATTCTGATTTTTGGGAGGGGGGATTGGGATGATGGGGTCGACGTACAGCGGGACGTTCAGAATGAGAACAAGACGGAGAATTAACTTTCGGTGGCCTTAAGGGTGAAGCGTGACCTTCGGTGCGAGCAAATATTTTAGGAGAATTTGATATCGATGATGATGGGGGAGCTGTTAATGCAACCTGAGGTGGGTGCCTTGCAGGCAGAACCGCCGATGAAGCAATCGACTGCACAGGTGAATTAGGGCTACCACGAATGGAGACTTGAGAAAAATGTGTCTCCAAATCGGGCGAAGGAGAGTCCTGCGAGGGCGCGAAGTTTATTTGGTACTGAGGTTGATAATGCATGGGGATTCCCTCGTTAAATCCAGGCGGGACAGGCGAATTGTAATGCCACTGATATGGGTTTGGCTGATATGCGTGGTTGTAACGGTAAGGAGTGTATGGACTGGGATAGCGCACAGGCTGGTATTGTAATATACTATGTGAACCAGAGGCGCCTGGAGGAGGCTGCTGCACAGGTAACGGAGAGTGAGCTGTGGGACTACTTGCAGTGGAGTGCATTCCAGAATTACCGCCCAACGGATATGGAAGCGCGCCCGTGTGATATGGTGAGCGCGCCTGCATCATGGATCCGAATCCCGGTAGATTTTGTTGATATGGACCAGACTCTAGAGGAAAGTGCGGTGCATATCCACGAGCGTGTGTGTATGGATAGGTTGGTGGGTGAGCCGCTGGAAATGGAGGTGGCTGCTGGGATAATGTGTATTGTCCCGGATAGTTATTCGGCTGGAAAGACGATGGGGGGTAGTGTTGCAGCAAACTTCCTATGGATGACGATGGTGGTACGTTGCTTCCTTGAGAAACGTTTGCGTGAGGAATATTGCCAACACGCGTCCCGGACGTGTCATGTGGAGCTTGAGTTTGTGTCTGGACTACACTAGAGCTCGAAGGGTGGAACTGGACATGACCAGCCTGAATGGATGCCTGCGGTGGATGGCGTGATGTGCTGGGAGGGGGATGTACCTGATTTTGTGAGCGTTGCTGCTGTGGAGGCGTCCGCATGCGTTTGGCGCTATCTAGAACATTGTCGGTACCCATGGAAGCCATATAGCACGTTACGACGATATTGGTAAATAGAAGAAGCAGCTATAAAGCCCCTTGAATTATGACATTTGCAGCGCAAAGGATGCTACTCACAGGGGATTAGAGTTCGTGTTTCTGCTTTATGGGATATGTTGCGGTATGAACCGTTCGATCGATGACACGGGAAATGATGCAGGCACCTTGCTGTCTTTAAGAACTTTTGGATTAATGGTCACGATCTGGAAGAGCGTATGCCGTGAGAACATGATGTCATACAAAACTCAGCCTTCTCGTCGCTCCTGTAGGAGTCCTGACGTCGAGACCCATGAGATTGGCGAGACTTTGTTAAGCACTGCCTCCACTTTTGCTAATACGCGCAGCCGGTCCACATAGCCCTCTGCTCCTCTTATTACGAATCAGACAGGCCAAGGATATTTGACACTCACTCGATTTCGACTTTCCCCATCTGTTTAAGGCCTAAGTGGCTCGATGATCCAACACTTTGAAGTGGGACGGTCAATGTATAAGTTATAGGCATCACCCATCCAGGATGACGTGTCGAGGGGGGCGGGAAGGGATGGATTCAATCGTTCTAGCCCGCGGGCCGTGCCGTGCCGCCTCACTCCATTCAGGACGACACACGGATTGCAGCAGCTTTTCGGAGCTGCTTCTGCACCGCTCACTGTTCAACGAGGGCATAATGGACGTCGGCAGTCCTGCAGGAACAAGAAGGCAACACGGCACCTATCAGTAGGCCACGATAGTAGTATTACTGTCCACAGTACTTACTTGCAACTACAGCTTGCTCCTGTAAGATGATTAGTAGGCTGCTTGATTGAACCTTTGACAACAATCCTAGTATTCACGGGGTGCTCCACAGTGGAGGTACTGTCTAATTATTCGATACGTACTACATACGTACTCGCGATATTTGTTCAAAATTCAACATTAATTATGCCGTTGACTTGTGACCCATCATCACAGAATGTGACGGTGACAATTAACATTTTTATAAGTAGTCTCCCTATAAATCTCCCATAACTAAGTGTACCTAGCTGTGTATCCCATGAGTAATTCGTATCTCCCACCAACCTGACTGCACTCTTTATCATGGGTCGACCCCGGCTTCATGCAACGGCGGAAGAAAGAGCTGCTGCTGCGCGAAAATATAGACAGGATTACTATGAAAGGCCAGTTTTCAAAGATCAGTCTCGTGTCGCAAACAACTGATATTCGTTACAGGAACAAGAAAATAATAAGTGTGAAAATGGCAGCCAAATACAAAGCACGACGTGCGCGCAAGCCGGGCATGAAAAAGCATGAGCCTGCGGAGGCCACACAACCGTGAGTGGCTCTGTTTTTTGTGTGGTTCCATTCCACTTATCAATACAAAGCATCGGGCATTCTCCACAGCCCGAGGGGCATGTTACCGAACAAGAGACATCCGTGTCGGATAGCGAGAGTGAATACGAGTCGCTGCCTGACAGTACTTCCCAACGCATTGATTTACAGTATGTGTTCGGGCTCCCGCCACTTCCTTATGTCAACAATGATGGATTCAACCCTAGACAACGCATCCAAGACATTCAAACAGCAGTAGCAGAGACAACTGCTCTTCATGCTGAGGACTACTTCGAGCATCTCTACTCCAGCCTGACGAAAAACTCGAATGATTATCAAGTCCGATTATCAATAATTTCGGACGCCATGAAACTTTTAGAAGGACATAGTTTGCAAGCCCGCACGTTAGAAGCAGAACTTGTGCAAGAGAATAAGGCCGGGAAATTGCTATCCCAAGCACAAGAGCTCACACAGACATTACGGGATATGACGGGAGCTGCTGAAGAGCTCTGGTGCTTCATCGTAGACGATCCAGATGCTACGAAGCTCATACAGCAATATTCTCGAAAAGAATTGCGATTTCAACGACCGAATGTAGACAAATGATCACTTGACTTTTGTTTTTGACATTGATGATATACGAAGCGCCGGCGGCTGTTGAGCGGGGATATACTGAATGCACATGTACTGCGCAGTATGATCGATGATAGCAGATATCACTTGGGAAAGTAAAGTGATCACAAACCGAATATCGTTTTTCTAAGCAATCGCCAACAAGACCACACACGTCGAACTATAAAGGACTCACGCTTATTAGCAGTAAACAACACATCAACCCCGTCGAGCTTCTCTATATCCATGTCACGTCATCGAGGGATGACCCAACATGGGAAATTCACGGGACGCCTGTGAGTTGTCAGTACCACACGCGCCAGTACTTGTAAGAGCTACATACGATATAATTCCGGGGGTCCACTGAGGTTCGAAATCGATATCTTTATCCGTAGACATGACGATGGATGCCGAGTGCATCTCCAGATGCAGTTCATATTTAATAGGGTCATGGAGAAGCCCAACTAAGAGCAGCGGCTTCAGGGCGAAAGGCTTGATGGTATATCCGTCTAAAATATGTGGTGCATAAGCAACGCCAAGCAGTCTACAACCCATGCTTACCTGTGCCTACGCCACATCACCGTAGTTTCACATGACCGTCCTGAATGTAATTGAGGGGCGGCGATATGAGTAGGCCTGAAAGCACAAAATCACATTACTTGTAATTCCGTTGTAGCAAAACGGGGTCTGTCAGATTAACTGCTTGGGCACTTCTCAAGAAGCGCTCGCACTACCCTTTCAGAGGTCACGATAATAACATCTTGGTTGAGGATATGGAGTGTATCATGATAGTGTGGCATAGAGCTCTGTCAGATATGTTGGGTGTCAAACAAGCGGAAAGGCAAAAGCAGACCATATATCACTCCATTCATTGTATGTGAAAGTCGGCGTTCATGTGATGCAAGTTACCAGGGATTGATGAACGGGGGTTGGACCTGGAGGTACTAAAGAGAGTTGTCCTCGCGCAGTCTTCTTGGTCAAACTTGATGAATCGCTAGGTCCAAAATAAGGTTAAACGGCTCATCTAAGAGTCAGACTTTGAAAGGAAAACTCCATTTGTGCCAAGCACATTTGAAGTCGTGGATGATCCGGAACCTTGAGCTGCATGTTATAGTGTAGGTTAGGCTCACTTGATCCACATTGCACACTCAATTCTCGGGCCCCGGGCTAGGCTCCGACCGCTTTTCAAACTCGGCTCTCCCGACCTGCAGGCTGCAGGTTATGAATTGCTCCCGATGAGAACCTGGGGACTTGTTTTTCCCCGTGACCCCCAGGAAAGTTTCACCGAGCTGCATGACTCATTTTTCCGGGCTTCACGTGATCTGTTCCTGTGTCGTTCACACGCTAATGATTGGGGAAAGTGGACCTGGACCTGGTCACACCCTTCCATACACTTGAGTTTTATTTCTCGCCGATTGGGTACTGCATAAGTGACAGAGCCCGTATAACTTATTGAAGAATAGTCTAAAGAAATAAAATAAACTCGAAATTGAAACTAATCCGAGTCTCAAACAGGAGCGAAATAAAATTTATGTAACACCTATGGTGACAAAGTACTTTAGCCCCATTACTCCCGATAAGGCTCCGGCTCAAGGCCGTATGACTTACAGTCTGCTTTTCAGCCAAACTCTTCCTTAGACTGGTACCACCACCACCACTACACCACACCACGTTCACTAACTCTCTAAATTTATGTCATCAAAGCCAGTCAATATTGGCAGTCCACGGCCGGACAATGCCTTTCATTCGGGAACACCAACACCAACCGGCACACCCGATCTCCGCGCTTGGCGCGCGCAGTATACTGGAACACCTCCAGTGCCTAACATTCCTGCGCGGTTTACACCAGAAAACCTCACCAGCGGCTCTCTAAGTCCGAGCCTGCTTCCACAAAGCGAATTTCTAGGCAGGGCCTATCGTTTACCTCCTACTGGAATCAGCCCACGGCCGTCAAGCACCATTACACCTGGAAGTGGTATTGATCCTGCTCCTCTTGACTTCGGCACTCCTCCAGATGATCACAAGGCCAGGGTTATTAGGCGTCATCTTTTGATGCGAGAGGAGAGACAGAACCGGGGAGACGTGAACTCAACATCTGGTTCAGAATTAGATGGTCGCGTCGCCAACGATGATACTCCATCTGCAGGTTCCTCTACTCCGCCTCCAGCAACTTTCAGAGAGGAATCAGAGGCATTTCCTATACCCTACGAAGCTCCAGGTGCAGATATTACGTGAGTCAGGCTATTAGTGTCGTCAAGGCTTGGCGTTTCTTCTGACAACTATTACGCCCAAGCCATGACATCTACAAATGGCACACGGATCAGCGCCGTCAGGCTGTGCGCCCTCGTGCCTCTTCTTTCTCAGGCTCTGTAGCACCGTCAAATCCTGCCTTCGAGCACATACACGCGCCTGGAGGTTTCAGACGAAACTATGTTTTGATGCGCGCGAATGAGAGTGGTGGAGAGGAGCCACGTCCGACCAACAACTTTATCGATTTTCTGTACATATATGGTCAATTCGTAAGTTTATATCCTCACGTAGCGCGTCAATCCTCATTAGCAAACAGGCTGGAGAAGATCTCGAGGAAGAAGAGGAAGACAGGGTGGATGACGAAGAAGCTACCATTCGTGCTGCTCCTTCTGAGCTCGAGGTCCACGTAGCAATCGATGAAACCCAACCTTTGCTCAAGCCTCGCTCAATGTCGCGCTCTAGACGGAGAGCTGCTTCTGTCGGTCCTCATGGAGATGCATCAGTCACATCAGCTGTTCTGATGGCAAGTCTCATCCATTCTGTGTCAGGGACATAGTTTATTTAACTTGTTTTTAGCTTCTGAAAGCCTTTGTTGGTACTGGGATCTTATTTCTTGGGAAAGCGTATGTGTTTTCATACCAGTATTTTCCTTTCATGCGCTAAGAATGGTCCTTCAGCTTCGCCAATGGTGGTCTCTTGTTTTCTCTTATCATGATTTCTGTGGTTGCACTCGTTTCCTTATATTCGTTCCTACTCCTCGTCAGGACCAAGTTTGTCGTCTCCGGATCTTTCGGAGGTCAGTTCAATTTTGTTTGAATCGATTGTGTCTCACTCTGCGATGAAGATATCGGCGGTGCTCTATATGGTCCTTGGATGCGTTATTTGATATTATCTTCCATTGTAGTTTCCCAGATTGGGTTTGTCTCTGCATACACGATCTTCGTAGCCGAGAATCTAAAGGTGAGGGTGCTACATTTTCTCAATTGTCGCCACTGAATTCGACTTCGTGCAGGCGTTCGTGCTTGGAGTCACCAGTTGCAAGACGGATTGGCCTGTACAATACTTCATCCTTGTACAACTCATAATCTTCCTCCCCCTGGCTCTTATCCGTAATCTCGCGAAGCTTAGCACATCTGCCCTCGTTGCGGATGCGTTTATCCTTGCCGGGCTGCTTTACATATTTGGCAGTGAGATGACATTCATTGGAAAACGGGGTATCGCCGAAGTGCAGATGTTCAACCCCAAGGACTTCCCCTTATTTGTTGGGTAAGTTTCGCTCTTAGAGCGCTTGATTGGCGTCTGAAGAATGGTCATAGAACTGCCGTATTTTCCTTTGAGGGCATTGGTTTGGTGAGTTATCCTGTTCCATGCTGGAATGGAGAGACGTTGATCGTTTGGGTTAGGTTATTCCCATTACCGACGCCATGCGTGAGCCACGCAAGTTCCCCAAGGTACTGACAGGCGTCATGATCGCATTGCTTTGTGGGCACTTTTTCAATGTTTTGTTATCTGTCGAGCCTCACCGTGCACTTTCAGTCTTATTCGGTGGTGGTGGTGCATTGTCGTACCTGACTTTCGGTTCGGATGTGAACACTGTGGTCTTAGTCAACCTCGACCAAACAAGCAAGCTCACACAATCTGTAAGCCTATCGCAGTAATTTCGTCGATAGAATCTCACGCCCATTCTCTCGATCTCAAGGTCCAATTCCTGTACTCGCTCGCCATCCTCCTTTCTATACCCCTCCAGTTCTTCCCTGCCGTGCGAATTCTCGAGAATGGGCTCTTCGTGCGAAGTGGAAAGCAAGATCCTCGTGTGAAATGGCTCAAGAACTCATTTCGCTTTGGGCTAGTCGCGGTATCCACTGTCATTAGCTGGGTTGGTGCCGCGGACCTGGACAAATTTGTCTCGCTAATCGGTAGCTTTGCTTGGTAAGCGCCACAAATATACTCACTTGAGAGCGCCGATGGATTAACGATGGTTACAGCGTTCCTTTGTGTTTCGTATACCCAGCGATGCTGCACTACAAGGCAGTTGCCAAAACGCGCACAGAGAAGATCGGGGACATTGTTCTTGGCGTATTTGGTATGGCCGCAATGATGTACACCACTGCGTTGACCATCAAGGTATTCTGTCGTTCTTTACTTGGGCGGTAATCCCGTGCTGATTTGATGTACACAGCTGATGGCAGAGCCTGGACCACCTGCTGACCTTCCTAATAGCTCGTGCTGAGTATTGAAAGACAAAGAGCCTGTGTTGTGATATCATCAGTAGATAAGTACAGCACATCTAGGGACACCCATGCCTGACCAAGGGATAAATTAATAGATCTCAAACCTTTCTAATAACATGATGTTCTGCGTATGCCAGATGTCATCAACATGTCTACATTCTTACACGATTGTGGGAAGATCAGGGTCGTTGCAGCTCATTGCGGTTGTGAATCATGTCACTATTATCATCATCGTTCTTCTAGGTGAAAGTTTCGTGATCCACGACTTTGTTGCGGGTTAAACTCGCTTCTTCGCTGTGTATATAACTGATGACAGGTATCGCATAGAACGTTGGTTTGGAAGTATCTATCTTGGGAATCGATCGTATTTGACGAGCACTAATCCCGTACTTGGATGGACATTTGTTCATCCTGTTGACAGAGCAAAGACTCGGAGTATTCAGGCAAGGGCGATAAGGAGGTACTATTGTCAAGCGACGGAAGTGAGGCTACCGCGCTGCAGACGACGGCCTTCTTCAGAGTCCTCTCAACATGCGCTGTACACGTGTTTACACCCGATCATTGTCCCATAGTTCTACCGATCTTAAAGCCCTCATCGAAAACACGCTGATCGCCACATAAATGCCCTTCGCACAGAGTTGACATTCTTTGCTTTCCCCTCCAGCTGGAGCTCGCCAGTCGTGTCATCCGGCCACTCTCTCTCATTCGTGCCGACGATCATCATTTAACACTATATCGTTCCCTTTGTTCTATTATGCCTGTAGCAACTAATGTATCTAGTTCCGTTCCCCAGCCACGTTCCATGGTCCGGCGCAAGCCAGCGCCAAGTATTGTGCTAGATGCACGTTATCCTTGTCCTGACCCCGATGACCCATTCGCACCCCTCTCAGTACTCCGCACCAGAACTGCCAGCACCCTCGGTCTCCTCACCTTCGCTGGTGACTCAACGTCACATCTTCCAACTCTTCCATATACCGGCGGCAGTCCATTCCCTCCTGATCCATACCAAGCCACGCCGCCGGCCAGTCCCGATGTCGCTTCTCCTGACCAAAAACCTGGGTCGCTTACGACATACAGCACTAGAAGCAGCTTTGATATTTCGCAAAACCTCCATGACACTACCGAGTCAGGACGATGGCCGCCGCAATTTTCACGATGTGATTCGCCAAGCATTCGTACTTTGCCGACTCCCCAGCGCAGGCGCTCGCGATCAGCCGTCTCGCGAAAAGAAGCGCGGACTAACACGTGTCCCGTGTCACCCGGGACATCGCCCTATGGCCATACAAATCTGCAGGCATATGTGTTGGCTAGCTCTAGATTCCCCTCCCCTGCGCATTCTTCTCAGCCTTTTCGGATGCAGCATATCGGCCATGGCAGCGAGAGCTTGCTTCCCCTCGTTATTCCAATAGCCCGCCATGACTCGGCCCCAGTGCTATCCCTCCTGTCTGAACCTAGTAGTAGGGCATCAACGTTTTCACCTGAGCCGACGCACACTTCGCGTTCTCGTGTCAAGAAGTTTGCGCGTTTCCTTCCTAGGAAAAGCCGTAGCGGTCTCAGTCTCGCTGAATTCTCAAGTGAGACCGGAAACGTGAAACACCATCAACATCATCGCTCGTTCCCCTCGATGGCCGTTGCTCTCGGAGCGAGTTCCGAGCGCCCGTCCAAAGAGAAACACGTTCCAGAAGAGAACACGTTCCGCCCGCGCCGTAAATCATCGATGTCGATGCTATTTCCGGCAGTCGTTGCCGCGAATATGCAATCGCTTGATGTGTCCTATCCTTCAACTGGAACCTCTATTTATGACTCTCCTACGAGTGTTGAGCCTGGTTACATGTCTGAACCCAGTAGCTCTTCCTTGTATTCTCCTTCCGGTCTCGCGTCTGTCACCTCTGAGCTAGCGCCTCTCACTCCGAAGAAACCTAGGCCTCAGACGATGCAACCTCAGCAGCGCCTTCTCAATTCGAATGAGCAGTCGTCACGCAAGAAACCGTCGTCGCGTCCTTCCACCGCTCCTTCTAACTTCGCACATGTTTTCGACGAGAACGCCCTTCCGACAAAGAGGCAGCTGCTAGATGCAGCGTCTTGTGTTGTCGTGGCCGAAAACGGCATTAGGGTTCCATTTGGCGACCTCTTCCGGGAACAGAAGACAGTCGTTATATTTATCAGACACTTTTGGTGAGATTCCAGGTCGATCTTGAACGCGCCTGAGCTTATCGCGTCATGCCAGGTGTCCGCTGTGCCAAGACTATATGTTTTCTATCGCCAATACTGTAGATCCACAAGTACTCAAGCAGTCCGGAATCAACCTTGTCATCATCAGCAATGGCTCGTACAACATGATCAAGTCTTACCGACGTAAGCATGCCACCCTTCGTTTCGTTCGACCTATGCTCATTTTCCCAAGAAATCTTCCGGACGCCCTATGCAGTGTATACCGATCCGTCTTCTCGTATCTATGGCATTCTTGGGATGACTGTGAAGGCGGTCGAGTCAAAAGCAGAGCAACGGCGCAGTAGCTACGTCCGACATAGTCGCGCGGGAGGCATTGCCATGGTGATTGCAAATGCTCTGCGTGTCGGCATGCCTGTTTGGGAGAAAGCTGGCGATCCTACTCAGCTTGGTGGCGAGTTCGTCCTCGGGCCAGGGTTAGTCCACATTCCAGATGTTCTGCTGACGCGAACTTATCCTTGTTGTAGAATGACGGCATCGTATGCGCACCGAATGCGAAGTCGCAGCTCACATGCGCCTATCGTTCGGGTGCTCACAGCTGCAGGGGTGCATGTTTATCTCCGTAGTGAGAAGCCGAAATCTGTCATCTCATCTGATCCCGCCGGCCGGGCCTCTCTTGTCCTTGAGGTGGATGAGGAACAATGGATGGAGGAGCGACGCCGAAGTCTTGCCAGAATCCGCGAGCGGAAACAGGCTCGGAGATTAGGTGTCTGCGTACCTCCCAGCGACGACTCCAGCTTTGAGCAAGATACGGAACGTCAGATCAGACATGTTGCGAGTCACATGACTCGAACTGACAGCATTGCGGAGGAAGATGAGGAGTATGTTATTCCGATCATGAGGCCAAAGGCTGGAGACAGCATCAGCAGCCCTCTGCGAGACACTGATGTTGATGAGCCGAGCGATTCTACTGAAGATGATGACACCGACGATTCATCTGTAGATACGCAGTCAATGACGGGCTCCGACACTGTATCTGAGAAAGGACATGTTGGGCTGAGCAACAAATCTGGCGCTGTCGAATTTATTCATGATCTTTCTCCACCCATACCGCTCCTTATCTGATACAAACACACCTTTTTGGATATCATCTAATCTTACCGGAATATAACACATAACATCCACTTTCTAGTAGGCCCAGGAGCTGATGGTTCAAAGTCAAAATCACTCGCCCCAAGGTTATATGTACTGTGTTGCAACCGTAAACAAGCGTTAGTGGTGTATCGGTAACATTGGGTCTTCCCATGGCCTAGCACCGGGTTCGACTCCCGGCTGACGCAAGATGTGAATCACTGGTGTGCACATGCTTCACAACTTTTTCCATCACACAAATGAAATGGGTGAAAGGTTTGTTAATTCGTGTACACACTGATTGAAAACCTTGCCTTTCTTCCATTTTCAGTGGGCTTTTACGGATCCCTCGATTGATTTCGTGCTTCGTAAACTTTCAAGACACGTTTGGGACCCACGATAAGTTAGGCCTCAAGGCTTCAACGCTCGTTGCTCTTTTTGTTCAACACCGTTCTCTGGAAGTTCTCCAACCAGTGGCTGCCGTATAGGGTTCTGTGCTGTAGCGCAATTAGAGCGTCGCCGTCAATGTGATCTTCTTGTCCATTTCCCAGCAGGTGCCCGTCCTTCGTTTCTCGGTCTTCCTTCGTTGCATATTTCACCAGTGGACACAAGTAGCACAATTCCGCGAGCGATCAAGATTTTCTGAGCAAAACAACCCAACGATAGGTCTGTGTACTTCCCATGGCCTAGCACCGAGTTCGACCATCAATATCCCAGTCCCGGTTGACGCAGAACTTAAAATTGATGGCACAATTCACAACCCTTTTTTACTCCCATTGCTCAGTTCTTCCCCCATTTTCAGTGGGCTGTGTTTCACCGATCTTAGGACTGACTTTGCGCTCGGCAGGCTTTGACATGTTTTGGACTCACAATCAGTAGGCCTAGTCTTTCCGTTTGACAAATGCCCCGGACATGTACTAACGATCAATTAACAACGCATAGATACTGGCCACTACGCCAAGTATTGATATAATGCTAAGTGACGAACATGTTTAGTTCAAATTATCGTAATGACTTCAGTATTAGGTGTATTCAACCATGATTGTATATCACAATGAGGGGCTTCTTCATCTTCATCTTCGTAGGACTTCCCATGAACATGGAATAGGCCCACGCGGCGGTACTCTCCTGTGCTTCCTGCAGGAACGACAATCAAGCCCGTTAAGTGGCTAGGGTTCTCCCCTTTATTTGAACCAACCACGACAGCTTTTCCCTTGTCAGCTCCAATTTCTCCAGTATCGTAGTCAAAATACCCGTAACCAATGTGTCGTTCCCGCTCCTTTGAAGGCACGGTAACTTCGTTGGATTGACGCGTTTTTGCATGGTTGTTTGAACCCATGTGATCAGGCTCTCCTCCGGAATGTACGCATCCTATTTCGACAACTTCCGTCGATGCCACAGCCATGTCCGTATTAGTTGAATGGTCCTGCGGTGTCATCGCTTCCACCTGAATGTCATTTTCATTAGTGTCATTGCTAGTGATCTGATGGGAGGTGGGAGGTTGTCTTACGGGTGTGGTTCCTGTCGTGTGCGCGTGTTTCCGGCGCACAAGACATGGCACCAACTTCAAGAACTGGTTTGTTATGAAGGAACGACCTATATTTACTGCCTTCAATGCCTTTTCCCCCAGTTTGCCAATGCATATTCGAATATTGGCATGTTCCACCGGAGAAGCAGAAGTGGGTATGGCATTCGGCTCGGGAAGGGTGGTGATTTTGATTTGATCTAAGTCCTTGACCGCTAGCCCCGTATCAACGGTGATATCAGCTGCTCCTGAAGCTGGGAAGCTTCGGATGCTGCAAGCTTCATCGCGGTCTTCAGGCTCGTCACCTGTCTTCGTTACCGAAACACAAGGTCGTTTTAGCTCGAACAGCTCGGGCTCTGCAGGATCCCAGGTCACATCTCTCATGATCGCTCTGACAATTAATCTCCCGCCTTTCACCTGACCAAGAGGATGATTGTCGGAGACTGGGATCGCGTTGCATGATTGCACTTCCCATATGATGTTTCCGACTCTTTTGTCCCACCCGGCAGCGATGCATCCAATCGTAGCAGCCCAAGACCACGAGGGTGCAAGGAATTGCCCTGTAACGAGACTTCCGTAGGATGGGCTATCTCTATACCACAGGAGGTCGGTGGACAAATCGCGTTCCCATAACCCAGCGATGTAACGATTGCTATCCCCCCACCAACGCTGGAAAAGCTGAGCGATCCCTGAGATCGCCACAAGCCTGTCAGAGGGATCCGAAACAGCGCGTTGTGTGTAGTCCTTTAGAACACTCCGCCAGGCTGTCAGCACCACCTCCACGTCATTGCTCGAAAGCGTTTTACTCGGTGTGCGTGAGACCATGGTATCTGGCAAACGCAATTCACCTTGTTTCTTCGAGGGAAGGTAATTCCAGATGTCTCCGATTTCGTTCATTGCTGTCTGACACTGATACTGGAGAGTGTGCGAAGCGTACACTAAGGTCCTAGGGGAGAGGAGGCGCTCTTGGAAACACCAAGCTCGGCGATTCACTGGTTCTTTGGATGACATGGGGCTATCATCTTCATCGACCGAGATGGTACCGAGCTTTCCATCCGGGCACCAGAATGGCAGTAGCGTTTCAACTGGTTTTTTGCGGTTATGGAGAAATCCTTCGCTGACTTTCCACGAGCTGGCTGCGATGATTGTTACGTATGCACATCGGTATATATCGCACATCTGCGGAATCTCGCGCTGCTTGTCTTCGTCCGAATCTTGCAAAATGCACAAGGTATCAGCCCAAAGGTAACGGAGATTGAGATTGTAGGAGCAAAAGATGGCATCTCTGATGGTTTTCGGAAGGAGGAGTATGTCGATTGATTCTAGGTACGTAGAGAGGTTTGTGGTGCAGACGCTGTGCGGTTGTGGTTCACCCCAGACGTAACTAAGCGCTGCATAAAAGCCTTGCATGCCTTTGGTGAGAACAAGTTTTGGCCGTTCTGGATCCGAACAGTCTATTACACGGGTTGGGAGGCTTGTTTCCTGAGGTTTGGGACAATTATGACGAAGAGTGCATTGTGTGAGGCAGTCTGAGGCCAGCTTGAAGGCTTGAGGAGATCCAACCTGCCACACCAGCATTCTGCCAGGGACAAAGGCAGCCGCATTTTCATCTAGCAAAAACAAAAGTTTGTCATATCGCACGCAAACAACAAGAGAGTCGGAGAGACTATGTACCTGGGTCGCACCGCACTTGATACCTGGCCGTCCAGTCGTCTTCAACCGTGACTTTCAGGACAATTTCATCTTCTGAATTCCGTTTTTCAAACCCCACAGTTATTTTGAAAGTTTCCTCTGGCATAGGCGATTCCTCTTGCTTGCGGTGCTGATACCAAAAAGGAATCTCTCCCCAAAGAACATCACACCAATTACATCCTTTATTTTCTCCGTCGTCAATCTCCTGCCAAGTTTGAGTGATATATGAGAAGCCTGCTTTAGGATCCGACGAGTCCTTTGCAGCCCATGCAATCTGAAATGGCTCGAATGAAAAAAATTTGCTCGAGCAGTAATCGCAGACAAGGGAACCGTTGCGCAACCCCATGGTGACTACGAACGCCGATGTTTGATCAATGTTGATGAAGAATTTGGACGGGCTCCGGTACGTACATTATTTCACAACTCCAAGAACAGACCACGTACCACAAGTTGCTAGCCCAAGCTAACGTTAACGAGAAGATGAACTTGGAATAAACGCGCGACTCCTCGACGTGAACGTTCTAACACGTGGTCCCAGCAAGGCTGCCGCAAGGTGCAGCGAAAGCTGTAAATCGTTAAGTGTGGCAATCTACGGGCTCCGTCGGAAGAACGTCCAGCCCAATATCATTATATGTTGTGAAAACGAGGGAGATCTCAACAATCAGTACACTGGAGTTACCGGCGAGTAGGTTGCGACGGCTGAACGTCTGGTGACCGAGTCAAACTGAGAGAGGTCGGGGAACGTTGGACAAGCACAGTCCAAGACCAATACTTACCGTGACTTAATTATCGTGGTAATTCGCCAAGTCCTGAGAAACATTGTGTGCAGAGCATTCTGCATTCTGCATTCAAGTTTGCGTAACGATCGTATATATTCACTTGAGTGAAAAGTCGAACCGAGGAAAGAGTTCTACGACTGGATGGTTAAATTTGGCATCGATAGGGAAACGTGATAGTCTGGACGTATGTGGGGATTGGTTACTCTATAGCAACACATGTAGTCTCCCAAAGTCAGATTTTTAGGCCTTGGTTGAATGAAGATGGTATCCACGACCTAAGTACCTAGCTAATCATCAACTAGTTGATACAACACCGCTCTGTGAGTAAGGCTAGACGTCAATGACCTCAAGTTTGCTAGTAGACCCTGCTCGCAAAAGCGGATGGCCACCGAACCATGGTTCCTTGTCTGCATTGAGCGTATAAATTCTATCCTTGTCGATCCATATGTTCTGCAACTCTGAATCATCAGAATCGAACTTTCTGTCCGAAAATACGACCTTGACGTAAGGTAGGGATGTGGTCAAGCACTCTCCAAATTCATCGTTAGAGTCACTGATGTATGCCGTGGATGGCTCTTTCACCACTCGTCCTAGACCCCGCCTGTTTGTCACAGCTAGCGGGCTAAAGTCCATCAAATGTAATACGGGCTCCCACTTTTCTGCTCGTGGGTCAACAGGGAATGCCTGCAAGACCCGATTCCCGTTAATGTGAATTTTGAAATTATAATAGTGCCGGAAAACACGAGTATTTGAAGGGCCCCAATGTTGCCATGGTATTGGCGTTGCTGCTGCCATTCCGTCGAGGTCGAAGAAAATCCTCGTAGAAATGATGAAGAATTGAGTACTAGAAAGGAGACTGCGACCAGTAGCAAGCGCGGTAAGGCATATGAGTTGATGTGTAGGGTCTGAGGTGTACATCGTCGATTGGGCTTGCATATGCGACTCTGAACTATGCCCAATATCATCTATCGGAGAGAGGCACCGTAACTCCATTAGCTTGGGCATCAAGAAACACGCCAGCAATTCCGGCGGCTGGGACATGTCCTCAATTGAATAGAGATTCAAGTTATCGGTTGTAACCAGCAATCGATTGTTCCCGAGGAAACAAAAATCAATTGCGGTGTAGGACCGTTTGGGTACTGCACCGCTAAGGATGCTCTAAATTCAGAATAAACTGTCAAGTCATTCAACTATTTCAAACCAAAGCTCACACTGGATGTTGTTGAGTATTTCCAGTCTCAAATCTGCAGCTGCCACGCCTTGTCCAACAAAGTCAGATTTGCATCGTCCAGGCGACGCGACAAAGCGATATGCCTCCCAAAACCTTTGAGCTTTGCACTTCTCGTTTCAGAGCGGGTTTCTGAGTCGTCCGACAGAAACAGTCTCTCTCCAGCAGCCTGAGGGTGAACACCATCACCATCCAGGGTTCCAAGGTTAATATAGACCGTCTTGTGATCAACGACATAAGCGACAGCGATCAGGTTTTGTGCTGGGTCCATAAATACATCAAGGTTGTGTGAGTTTGGAACCGAACACAACGTTCCTGGGAGCCAGTTTCGCCGGATTGGCTGTTGTGAGGGCTTTGGAAGTACTGGAACGATCATAGCCGTATCTTTTTGTTTGCTCCACAAGTAGAGATGCCCACCAGCAACAATGTGAATTTTTTCCTGAAATCGCTGTGACATTGTTATGGGGACCGTTTTGAAGGAGTGGAGGTCAACCTTGAACCATGCGTGAGCTTTGTCTCTCAAAAATTGCAGACGCTTGGAGATAGGTATGCTATCGTCCGTGTTAGGGACAGCGAGCAACTTTTGCCCACTCATTTCAACGATGTACTGAAGTCTGGAGGAGGACAAGTACGTTTGGCGAAGGGTTTTACATACCTGCGAGAGGACCGTCAGAATAGCAGTCTATCTATAACAACAATAACATGAATGGCGACCCACAGATGTACACCAAAGAATATCTCGATAAGGAAGGAAACTCAGAATGTAAGACAGAAGTTCTTCAGTAACAGACAGGAACCTTGTTCGGGGCTTCATTTCGATATACTATGGTCCTTTGCACAATGGTTTAGACAACCAACCTATTTACGCTGCTGATATGTTTGGTCATGTTGTTAGTACAAACATATGACATGTGTCACACGTTCCAATTGTGTTTCCGCAGAGTGACTACTAGTGCAGGGCCGAACGATCCCTGTTGAATCTAGCTCAAGGCGAAAATGCCCCAGATATACTGGTCAATTTCAAATTCCATGGGTAAACTTGAATGATCACACAAGCACTGGCCACTTTCAACTTTGCCATCAACTCTTTCTCATCAAATATGGATTATGGAATAGGCGACTCTCTTGCACTTCCTGCAGGAATGATGATCACGCTCGTCAAGTCTTCTGGGTTCTCCTCATTAATGATCAGGTTGTCGACAGCTCTTAATTTCCTTACCAATGATGCAACAACGTTGTATCATAATTGAATAGTCTTGCCAAGTTGCAATGCTATCTATCTCTCCCACCCGAACATCATTTCTATTGATACAGTTACTGATGTTTTGGCACGAGCTGAGAGGTCATTTTGGGGATGCAATTTCAGCAGCATCATGGCCTTGGCAGGTATTTTCCACCAGCAACGACACATCAGTAATGTAGTGCCACTGTCACTGGTGACACGCTACCTGCAGGTCAGTCATGTACTCATTGCTGTCGTGGAGGTGCTAATCGTGTCTATGACATTGCGTTCTGCGACAAAATGAAGATACGGGATGAGAGAATGGAAAAGAAGGACACACATACCTGCAACATTGGCTTTGTTGCACTTTTCAGTTCATTGCATCCGTTGATAATACAGCGCGTGGTACAGCCAGCTGACCCACAAACCCTGTAGGCTCAAAATCGCTATCCAAACCTCCAATGACATGTATGGCGTCAGCAACTTTGGACCCAGAAAGGCCCTCGGCGATTTGGGTAATCGTGGTCCTCGAGTACTTGAAGGAGGTCTGGAGAATTTGGGTTCCCATAACCCAGCGATGTATTGATTGCTACTGCCCCACAACACTAGAAAACTGAATGCTCCCTGTGATCGCCACGAGCTTGGCAGAGGAATTTGAAACCGCACATTGCGTGTAATGAGATAGAACCTTTTACCAGCTGCCAGCAGCGGCCCCACCTCATCGCTTGAAAGCATCCTGCATGGTGTGCGGAAGAGCATCATATCTGACAAACACAATTCTCCCAGTTCTTTCGAGGGAAAATAAATTCTAGATGTCTCTGATCTCGTTCATTGTTGTCTGACATTGATACTGGAGTGTATGAAGTATGCACCTGCGAGACCTGCAAGCATACTCCCGCGAAGTCACGGTGTAGAGACTCATGCCTCTCCTTGTGCAATATTGCAGTTTTCACCAAGGAGTATACAGCACGAACTTGTAGCATCACTCTGTATGCTTCCTACAGCTATTCCTACATGAGGCGCAGCTTTCCCGCGCATCGCGCAATGTGCGCGCAACTTCCTGCGCTTCACGATGTATATGTGTGCGCGCTTTCCCACGCTTTCCCGCGCTTGAGCGCCCTATAGCGCCAGCCATCCGGAAGCATCCATCCACTGTCCACCAAGTTCCCTAGTGCGTATATGTCCATTTCTCACATTTGCATATCGTTCCATCTTTATTTTTATCATGGACCCTTACTTACATATATCCTTACATACCTTACTCGGTAGCGCTTCGGCTCTGCATGACAGCGCTTAGGTGCCATACTTAAGCGCCAGCAGTACATATCATACTATTACGGACTTACTCTCCCACCAGAACGACAGAGGACTGAACCACAACAATGCCCATTTACTACCCAGCAGAGCATAGTTGAAATCTATTACTTGGCACCTCGCATATAACATCTCTCAGCTTGCATCTCTCACGTCTTGTCTAGTGTCTAATCATCACTTAAGCAAACTCACTCTTACTCTCTCTTGTTTCTGCATACATGCATGCGCATTCCCGCGCCTCGCGCACACCTGCGCTTTCCCGTGCTTCGCATTCGCCAACCAGTAGCGCCTTCGGCACCTACTACTAGATCCTTGCTGCACTCGCTTCCCCTTTAGGGTCGAACGCACTTGTCGTCTCAAGTATAGCAGACTAGGCAATGCGCGACCTTACAGCATTTATAGATACAGTCAGGACCATTGTTTGTCTCTCGCTGTATCATTGAACCTTCAACGGTTCTGAGGCATTTGGACTGGCAATCTCTGTCAGAAGAACGTCCTGTCCAACATATGCTACTAGCCAAATCAGTGGAGATCTCGACGGTTAGTACCTACGGCGATCCACTGAGTTCTGATGAATATTGTGAGCAGAGAATTCTGCTATTGCACAACGACCATCTGTATTCGCTTGAGTGAAAAGTCGGACCAAGGAAAAAATTCCACGACCAGATGGTGAAATTTGGCATCGACATTAATTATAAGTGGTAGTCTGGACGTATGTGAGATTGGTCTCGAGAGTTATACTCCATGGCAACACATGCTTGAAACATAGTCTCCCAGTCAAATTTTTAGGCCTTGGTCGAATGAAGATGGTATCCTCGACCAATGATCTCTATAAGTACCTAGCTAATCATCAACTAGTTGATACCACACCACTTTGTAAGTCAGACTGGACATCAATGACCTCAAGTCTGTCAATAATGCTACCAAGTGATTTGGATAGCATATAAATCCTATCCTTGTCGATCCACATGTCCCCCCATAGTGAATCAGCACAATCAAATTTTCTGTCGACTTGGATGTAAGGCAGGGATGATGTCAAGCTCTCTCCAAATTCATCGCCATTGATGTATGTTGTGGACGGCTCTTTCATCACTCGTCCTAGACCCCACCTGTTTGTCACAGCTAGTGGGCTAAAGTCCAATATCTGTAATATAAACTGCGAGCTGCGCGTGCCGATAGGGAATGAATGCAAGACTCGGTTTCTGTTAATGTGAATGCTGAAATGAAATGGGTGCCGAAAGATACAAGTATTTGAGGGGCCCCAATGTTGCCATGGTATTGGCATTGCTGCTGCCATTTCATTGAGGTTGAAGAAAATCCTCGTGGAAATGATGAAGACTTGAGTACTATCTCCAGCAAAAGGCAAAGTAAGGCATATGAGTTGATGTGTAGGGTCTGACGTGCACATCGTCGCTTGGGCTTGCATATGCGGCTGTAAGCCATACCCAATATCGTCTATCAGAGGAAAGCACTGTAACTTCAATGGGATGGGCATCAGGAAACACGCCAGCAATTCCAGCGTTTGGGACATATTCTCAATTGAATAGAGATTCAAGTTATTGGTTATAACCAGCAATCAATTGTTCCCGAGGAAACCAAAATCAGCTAGGCCGCTGGATCCGTCGGGTACTGCACCGCTGAAGATGCTCTAAATTCAGAATCAACCGTCAAGTGTTTCAACTATTTCAAACCAAGGCTCACACAGGATGTTGTCGAGTATTTCCAGTCCCAAATCTGCAGCTCCCACACCTTGTCCAATGAAGTGCGATTTTCATTGTTCGAGTAACGCGACAAAGCGATATGCCTCCCCAAACCTCTCAGCCTTACAAATGTCGTGTCAAAGGTGTTTTCCAAGTCGTCCGACAGAGACAGTCTTTCTCCAGCAGCCTGAGGGTGAACACCATCACCATCCAGGGCCTCAAGGTTAATATAGACTGTTTTGTCATCGACGACATAAGCGACAGCGATCAGGTTTTGTGCTGGGTCCATTAACACATTGAGGTTGTCTGAGTTTGGAACCGAACACAACGTTCCTGGGAGCCATTTTCGCCGAATTGACTGTTGTGAGGGCTTTGGAAGTACTGGAAAGATCATGGCCGTATCTTCTACTGGGTTCAACGAGCAGAAATGCCCACCAGCAACAATGTTGTCTTGAGATCCCGGTGACCTTGTTACTATGGGGACCGTTTTTAAAGGGTGGGTGTCAACCTTGAACCATGCGTGAGCTTTGTCTCTCAAAAGCTGCAGACGCTTGGAAATAGGTATTCTTATGTCCGGGTTGGAGATAACAACAACCCTTGTCCACTTATTTCAACAATGTACTAAAGTTCGGAAGAGGACAAGTACGTCTGGCGAAGGGTCCTACATACCTGCAAGAGGATCGTCAGAATAGCAGTTTAAGTATCTAGATTTCTAGAACAACGATAACATGAAAGATGGCAACCCACAGATGTACACCGGAGAATATCTCGGCAAGGAAGGAAACTCAGAATGTAAGACAGGGGTTCTTCAGCAAGAGCCAGAAATCCTGTTTGGGGCTTCATTTCGTTATACTAGTAACACTTGAAGGTGAAATAAGGTGCAATGGTGCCAAGTGTCTAAGTTACTGGCAGGCTACAATTACATAATATCGGTAACGTTGCACCACTCAGGCGCTTGCCTAAAGCTTAAGCTATTCGTATGAATATCTGAACAACAAGGTTCACCCGAGTGTGCGTATCAGGTAACAAATGTCCCGTTTAAACGTGGCTGACTGCTCGGACAGTTCCAAATTAATGGTACATAATAGGAGGACAAACGCCAAAGTTTCTGGTCTATAGTATGAGTAAAACCGGGTTTCAAGTCTCCCGCCCGAACATCATTTCCATTTGGCAGTTACCGATGTTTTGGCACGAGCTGAGAGCTGCTGAGAGGTCGTTTTGGGGATGCGGCATCATGGCCTTGGCAGCTTGGCTTGAGTATTTTCCACCAGGCCCAAGTAAGGGTTTTCAGGCGCGACACATCAGTAATGTATGCAGTGTGACCTGCGAGACCTGCAAACATACTCCCGTGAAGTCGTGGTTCTGGCAATCTCTGTCGGAAGAACGTCCTGCCAACATATCCTGTTAGTCAAATCAGCGGAGTTCTCGACAGTTAGTACGTGCGGTCGCCGGTGATTCACTGAGTTCTGTGTAACATGGTCAGCCCGACGCCCGTGCATAACCGTTACACCAAAAGGTGAAATACTGAAAGCTTATGTTTCAGTATCAGTGACGGTATATGTACTGATTTATGAGAACTCAGGTAAGCCAGTGTGCTTACATTCTGATAAGTATTGTGAGCAGAGCATTCTGCTATTGCACGACAACCATCTGTATTGGCTTGAGTGAAAAGTCGGACCAAGGAAAGAGTTCCACGACCAGATGGTGAAATTTGGCATCAACAGGGAAACATTGATTATAAATGGTAGTCTGGACGTATGTGGGATTGGCAGCGAGAGTTACAGTCCATGGCAACACATGCTTGAAACATAGTCTCCCATAGTCAGATTTTTAGGCCTTGGGCGAATGAAGACAGTATCCTCGACCAATGATCTCCATAAGTACCTAGCTAATCATCAACAGTTGATACCACACCGCTCTGTAAGTTAGGCTTGACGTCAATGACCTCAAGTCTGTCAAAATATTTCAGTGATCTGGTGAACACGTAAATCCGATCCTTGTCGATCCACACGTCCCTCAACAGTGAACAATCGAACTTTCTGTCCGAAAATACACTTGGACGTAAGGCAGGGAAGTCGTCAAGCTCTCTCCAAATGCACCATATCTATCGACACTGATGCATGTCGTGGACGGCTCTTTCACCACTCGTCCTAGACCCCGCCTGTTTGTCACAGCTAGCGGGCTAAAGTCCAATAGTTGTAATATAAACCGCGAGTCGCCCGCGCCGACAGGGAGTGTCTGCAAGACTCAGTTTCCGTTGATGTGAATTTTGAAATGAAATGGGTGCCAAAAGATACGAGTATTTGAGGGGGCCCAATGTTCCCATGGTATTGGCATTGCTGCTGCCATTTCGTTGAGGTCGAAGAAAATCCGCATGGAAATGACGAAGACTTGACTATCTCGAGCGGAATGCGTAGTAAGGCATATGAGTCGATGTGTAGGGTCTGACGTGCACATCGTCGCTTGGGCTTGCATATGCAGCTGTGAGCCATACCCAATATCATCTATCATAGGATGGCACCGTAACATCCATAGGTTGGGCATCAGGAAACACGCCAGCAATTCCGGTGTCTGGGACATGTTCTCAATTGAATAGAGATTCAAGTTATTGGTTATAACCAGCAATCGATTGTTCCCGAGGAAATAAAGTTCTGGGGCGCCGGATCCGTCGGGTACCGGACTGCTGAGGATGCTCTAAATTCATAATCAACCGTCAAGTGTTTCAACTATTTCAAACCAAAGCTCACACTGGATGTTGTCGAGTATTTCCAGTCCCAAATCTGCAGCTGCCACGCCTTGTCCAACGAGGTCAGATTTGCATCAACCAAGAGACGCGACAAAGCGATATGCCTCCCGAAACCTTGGAGCTTGGCACACATAGTTCGAGGGCAGTTTTCTGACTCGTCCGACATAAACAGTCTCTCTCCAGCAGCCTGAGGGTGAAGCACCATCACCATCCAGGGACCCAAGGTTAATATAGGTTCTCTTGTAATCAACGACATAAGCGACAGCGATTAGGTTTTGTGCTGGGTCCATAAACATATCAAGGCTGCGTGAGTGTGGAACCGAACACAACGTTCCTGGGGGCCAGTTTCGCCAGATTGTCTGTTGTGAGGGCTTTGGAAGTACTGGCAAGATCATGGCCGTGTCATCTTGTTTGTTCCACCAGTAGAAATGCCCACCAGCAACAATGTCGTCTCGAGATTGCGGTGGCCTGTTTACGCGGACCATTTTTAAAGGGTGGGTGTCAACCTTGAACCATGCGTGAGCTTTGTCTCTCAAAAGCTGCAGACGCTTAGAAATAGGTATGCTATCGTCTGTGTTGGGGATAACGAGCAACTGTTGTCCACTTGTTTCAACGATGTATTGAAGTTCGGAGAAGGACAAGTACGTCTGGCGAAGGGTTCTACATATCTGCAAGAGGATCATCAAAACTATTTAGATTCTAGAACAACGAGAATATGAAAGATGGCGACGCACAGATGTACACCGAAGAATATCTCAGTAAGGAAGGAAGCTCAGAATGTAACACAGGAGTTCTTCAGCAAGAGACAGGAATCCTGTTTGGGGCTCCATTTCGATTTGAAGGTGAAACAAGCAACTAGTTATGCATGTGCCAAGTGTCTCAGCCTACAATTCCCTACTCCCACGTTGGTGGAGGGAGGGCTTTGTCAAACGTAAACGGATTCCCATCACTAACAAGATGTGCGAGAATACTGGGCTCCCTTCCGCATATAGCCGTCCGGTGGTGGTTCCTCAAATGCCCGATATTTCCAATACATAGTTACTTGACTTCGATCGAAAAGACTGCCATGAGAACTTCAAGTTTGAAAATAATTTTCTCGACACTGACAGTGATGATATCTTAAAACAGGAACACCTCAACTGCAAGGGCACACGTCTCGAGATCGCTGACGAAATTAGTTTGCGGTACGCGCTTCCACCTTCAGCGCATCGTTCCGGTACATTCAGGCTTGGTACCAGGTATGCAATTGACAAGGAATCAAGGAATCAAATGGTACACTCGATATTTCACTAATAAAATCATCGTTACCTGGAGCTAGCAGGATTGATGTTACAAAACTAAGGACTCACGCATCTCGACGACTCCACCAGCGAGGCCCGTGTGCCATACAGTTCAATATTGCGGTAATGTAATGATCGTTACATGGAGCTAGAAAGACCAATGTTAGCAATCACGAGGATGAATATTGAAGGTTTTCACCGGATGGTACTCGTGTCGCGTCTGGTTTGTACGATAAGACTGTGTGGCTGTGGGATGGAGCGACGGGACAGCCATTGGGTGAGCCATTGGAGGGGCACACTAAAGCGGTTCACACAGTCTTGTTTTCACCGGATGGTGCTCGCATCGCATCTGGTCCGGAGGATAATACCGTGCGACTGTGGGATGTGGCGATGGGACACCTCCCGCTTCCCGTCATGCATTTTATACTCCTTGGACTTCATTGGTGATCCCAAGAGGATGTGTCGAGCTCTATTTGAGCCGCATGGCACATGGGACAAACTGGTCGAGTTGCCGAGATACGTGAGTTCTCGCCATCCTAGATCATTCAACTTCCAAGTACACTGTGAGTACATAGCGTACCTTCTATCCTTGACACGCGACGCTAGACATGAGCAACTTTAGATCTCTGTCGAATAATGATGTGTGGCCGGAACCAAGTAAAGGTCACAGATGGGGAAATAGTCGGGTGGGGACAAACGCTGGAGTAACGTTGCTGTATTGGGAATCTATAACTGAAAGTTACAAGTATCGATGCGCAGAACACCGTGTGCAGGGTATAAAAAATTACTCAGGTTTGCTGAGCTCAACCCAATGACCTAGACTGGTAAATTTGGATAGAAAAGCATCGAGATCCGAGTCCTCAGCATTGGGCCGCTGGCTTTCTCCTGAGCTCGATGTAAAGCGAAGATAGTATCGGTTGTCGGCATCCCTTTTAAGCACCAACATACAGTTCACAAGGACACCCCATGTGAGTTTGTCTATGTCCGAGGGCGCAAAAGGGGTCAGATTGTTGAGGAAGACTAACTTCTTCTCGCCACATGCAATAGCGTCTAAAGTCGCCCACTCGTCGAGAGGGCGCAATCGCCGTGATAGAATGACTCCCTGCCTATAACGCAAGCAAATCCAGGCTAAAACCCACATAAACGATTCTAGATCGTGGCGATATAGGTGTTTGACTTTGCCTTGTTGACCATCTTTGGTGAGAAGATCGAGGGCCATGAACGGCACCGTGCCCGTGCGCTCGTTGCCCCTAGGACCTGGTTCATCCGCCAACGAGAATAGATCATAGTCGTTCAAAACGCCTATCCGCTTGTCGTCTTTCCAGTACCACATCAGGTTTCCAGGACTGACATCTCGATGGTATACCCCCTCCTTCCACAGAGTAAGATGGCCTGCATGTGATGTCAACAAAGAGACATGTAAACCCAATGAAACACGTACATGAAATACACTGACGCCAGACGTCAAAAAGCTCTTTGCCGTGAAGCTGAGTGATGGGGAAGAGCTTGCGGAACACAAGAATGTAGAGCACGCGACTGCCCTTAGTGGGTTCCGGAACGTCAAGCGCTTCTCGAATTGCGGACGTGGGATTCGTGAACGTGTGGTGCCAAAGCAGCTCAGGAACGTGGCCTTGGACAGTTACGTGCCTCTTAGCGATCTCATCAACCTTTTTCAGGATCTCCGGCTCGCTAGTGCGACTCGCCTCTCCCCAAAAGATCTTGGCCACCATCCCATCCTTGAACTTGCCGTATTTCTTCGTGAGCGCTTCGCTGGTGACAGGGACCACATTGGTCGCCCGTCCTTGCAGTCCGTAGTGTGTCACTCTTTCGTCGTGACTGGTGTGAAGCAGCAAATCCACCTCTCCAAGTTTTTCATCCTTGATTTTGAATTCGTGACATAGTCTCTTCTCGACTTCGACCGGGAGGAGGTCCTTGTTTCGGCCCCAATCGTGAAGCTCGAAGCGTTGTAAAGCGTACAACAGTACCATGAATCGCGGGAGATCTTGAATGAAGTTGATGCCTGAGCATTGAATTATCCCTTGTCGATCATAATACCAGATCCACGCGACATCATCTGAAAAAGCCTTAATAAGAGCGCAGCCAATCTCAACAGACGAACGAACTCACCGACGACGATAATACTGAGCAGATAGTTGACTGCAAGATTCGCTGCAAACATTTCGGCAGCGTACAGACCGGTCTGAACGGTCACATCTAGATCCGCGTCAGCGTCGGCGTCTTTGTCGTCGTGGTTCCCCTTGGATTTTTTCGCAGCAGATTCCAAAGTGTCTGTGGCCTTGCGTTTGGAGCTGGACCCGCCCCGGGAAGGCTGGGCAGCAGTAAGGCCAGAAGATTGAGCTGCGGCTTGGCCAATTTAGTTTAATCCTAAAATCGCAAATGTCATCACTTACATGTAGTGTTGGATGCAGTTTGTGTTGTTGGGGTCTGTGAAGGGGCTGGGTCTAGGTCTACAGCCATAAGATGATCGACCGGCAGATATTCTGGCTTGGTAGGGGCATAGTCTGTCAATGTATAAGAAGAGGGGGGTGCCTTAATCCCTTTCGTCCTCCCTGTTATCTTTCTCTTGAACTCGATGCAAGCTAGAACATCTTTCCAGGGGAGATTTTTCGGCTTAGCTGTTGCATTCGTGTCCATATGAGCCTTGCGCTTCTTCTTGCGCTGCTCGTCGTCCTTCTCGTCGTTCTTCCCGTCGTTCTTCTGTTTGCTAGTCTGTTTGCCCTTCTTGTCGCCCGTCTCATCCTGGAAGGGAGCGCATGCGCTATTCAAAGGAAGAATCACGAGGTCGGGCTTCCGAGTTGATTTCTTGGATTGGTGCATCTGGTGCATGGGCATGTCGTTCTGCTGGCAGATCATGTCCACGGTAGGGACAGGAGCACGCATTCCATCAATCTTGATCTCTTCAAGACAAGCGAGGGCGATGTTGGTGGCTCTTATAAAAGGGCCGTAGAAGTTGCTCTCCACTCCTGGACATACGCTTGCAATTATTTTGAGCATCAGAACGTCTGATCGGCGAACTTAAGAGCGAGCACTCACTATTCGTTGAGGGCTGTCTGGATGTCAGAAGACTTTACGAGAGCAGTAGAAGCCTGTCCATTGCAAACAGGCAGAACCGCCTTGAGACACTTTTGCAGAAGCTCGGGCTGTTTAGTCTTGGGAGCAGAAGAAGCGCGCTGAAGGAGGGCTTGCAGCATGGCATCTGCCTTGCACTCCTTGACCTGCTCGATATCCCGTTGAATCCATGGGCGGACCTTATCGACCCTTGATGGAATGTCAGGCTCTACTCAATAAAGACAGGAAATGTACGCACTTGACACCGAGCACGCCGATGTTCTCGCTGACGACGGAGGCCCCACGGCTGTTTGGGGTGGATTCTATTTTGCTAGCACCTGGAGCTGATGCATTGGCGCGTGGAGGGGTAGACTCAGTCTCGCCGGCAGGGGACATGACACTAGAAGTTCAACGATTACGCTGACTGAGCGTTGTAAGCAAAACTGGTGAGGGGAATAAAACTAAGAGCCACAAAAAAGTCCTGCTTGCCTTATATGTGGTCAACCAATGTGGCGCGAAATGTAGTGGACCATCGATCAATCTGATGTGTCAGATATGGATTGATGTGGCCGTTGTAATTTGTAAACCGTACAATTCAGAATTTCGATTCCAAGGACGCGTTCCCATCAACACGCGCACGTGACCCTGACTTATTTGTTATTCAGTCCGAGATCCATCTATAGTAGATTCTATTCTATACTCTAGTGCTCTGTCAATTCAAGATCGATTGCAGCGCGTCAAGTACTTCATGTTTTTGTATAGTGAAAGGAACTCCGCTATCTACTACATCAATCATGATGCTTACTCCGAGTTCCTAAGAAGTTCTTCCAAGAATCTTGATGTTGAAATTTATATTCTTAGATCTAGAGTACAATGGAGTCCGGCGCTTGCGCTATGTTCCACAGAAAGAAGACCGTCAAATTTTGTGATCTCGCGGCTTTGAGATAGAGCGATCCATCCAGCACTTCTGCGCTTTCCAGTTTCGTACCCTTGAAGTAGCCCTTCGGGCTGTATGCTATAAAGTGCAGAGAAATAAAGGCACGCCGAGTCTTCAACACATGTTGCGCCACATGTCACTACAGCAATGCACTTTATGTATTGGAATAGGTATGAATGAACAGACAGTGAACAAGGGGAAGACTCAATCGGATAGTCGGCGGCGATCATCGGTATGGAAGAAGACGTTGTGACACTTTCCGTCAGCAGCTCAATACCAGGACATTCTAGGGAGGAACAGGCTGCTCACACATATCAAGACGTCCGTGATTTCTGTGATGGCCTTGAGCATCGAATTCAGTTCGATGATCATAGAATACTTACCATTCTCGAACGATGCGGTTCAGTATTCCTCCGGCTTGCAGACTCGGACAGCTGTCTCAGTCCGGAATGACGGGAAAATACGTCTTGAGCACAGAACCCAACAACACGGGAAAAGAGACTGCAAGCGCTATATTTTATCGTGCCCGTACCAGATCATACTCTTCACATGATGTTAGCTTATTCCCTCTATACTGTCCCATCCATTAATTGTCGTTGAATTATCGTACTACACTTGATGTCTTCAACAAAGTCACAAAGGGGACAGCTTTTGGGTACCGGTGGCAGGTGAGCTAGGTGAGCTGTGTCAGGGTGTCACGTCTTCAAGTTTTTTGTGTGAAGTGGAGTCAGTTGAATGAGGTTCGTGTGCGTGTCAGGTAGGAAGTTGTCCACCTGCCGCAACTCCGGAGCTCATTTACAGCTGTTTGCAGATATCATGGCACTGGTGCATAGTGCTGCCGTGGTCCGGTTCGGTCCGGTTCAGAGGGTCCTTGACGAGAACCAAGAACCGAACCATGGTTCGGTTCTTTAAAATTGTCGAACCCAGAACCAGACCATTGAGAACCGTTCTCAATGGTCCGGTCCGGTTCTTGTCTGGTCCGAACGCGAACCGAACCGAAAATTTTTCAAGCAACGGAAAAAACATTCACAAGACATCTACATGACATTGGGTAGCTAGTCTAACTGCATACCAACTGCATACCCTTCTGCCTCTACTGCTGCTGACACATGTCCATTCTTATAGGCTGCCTTCATCAATTGTAGCGCGGAGAAAGTGGATGATGCGAGTGCGTTGCGGCGCAGAGTTGATGTGATGCCCGCGCTGGAGAAAGCGCATTCAGAGGGAATGGAACTGCCTTGAATGGGCAGGTAATCACGCGCAACACGAGCTAGTGTTGGGTACTGCAGCGAATGTAACTAATCAAGAATATAAGCGGGGAACAATGAATTTGAGGGGGATTTAGATTCATCAACTTCATCGTCGTCCTCTGGTTGGGGGATCAGCTCGTCAGCAGACGACTCTCCCAGATCAGGTGTAGAGGGTATGTCTTCATCTTCGGAGTCAAGAGGGGATAAGATTCGCATGGCAGTTTTCTTGGGGGCTGGATGATCCGTAGCACTAGATAAAGCACGTTTCCTTCGGTTAGTTGACGAAGACAGACCGCAGGCATTGTCAGCATCGCAAATACGAGCCGATGGTTTTGAGGGCCGGCCAGAGCGCCTAGATCCAGCTGCAACTGTTGCTGGGGTGCATCCAGCCTTGAGCAGAACGGAGAAGGCGTCCTTTGCGGATGTAGTGGAAGAGGATGGCTGGGCAGAAGATGCGACCTGGGGCAATGGTACTTTATCGTCAGGATCATTAAAAAAGGTAATTTCAGAAGCATCCTTGAGGGTGCCGTCAGCGTTCAGAGCACAGCAGTCTTCAGACATCGTCAGGCAAATAACTCACAGTTTTTTGGTCGGCACCCCGTTTTATGCATGGCACATAGCCTAACACCACAGAGCGACAATATCCAAGGAGATCTGTTAGAGTTGAGAACCGGTGGAGGATCATGACTATCCAGGAAGCATATAGACTAGAACAAGTAGATATCTGTGATATAGGTAAACATATGTCAGAGTCTTGAGAATAAATTGATTAGTACTTACCTTCAAAAAGGCTAACAGTAGCCTGATTAACAAATAATGCAAATCTCGAAGACAGTGTTTTGATGTCGACATGGACACCGACGTCGTCGTGGTTGGTGTCGAAGTCGAGGGAATTCGAAGGTCAAGGAACGGTTCGGGAAGGTTCGGGAAAGTCAAACCAGAACCGGACCACTAGTGAAGGTCCAGAACCCAGAACCGCTTTCCGGTCCGGTTCTGGCTGGTGAGGGAACCATGGACCGAACCACAGAGAACCGGACCAAAAGTCCGGTTCGAACCGTGGTTCTGGACCGGACCGCGGCAGCACTACTGGTGCAAATCGAAAAAAATATAACAACAAAGAAGGACTTAGTGTTTTAGGCCTTGGTCGAATGAAGATGGTATCCTCGACCACCAATGATCTCCATAAGTACCTAGATAATCATCAACTAGTTGATACCACACCGCTCCGTAAGTCGGACTGGACGTCAATGACCTCAAGTCTGTCAATAAAGCCTGATGCGGAGAGCATATAAATCCCATCCTTGTCGATCCACATGTCCTTCAACACTGAATCAGCACCAAACTTTCTCTCCGAAAATACGACTTCGACGTAAGGCAGGGATGTCGTCAAGCTCTCTCCACATTGGCGAAATCCATTAGCATAGATGTACGCCGGCTCTTTCACCACTCGTCCTAGACCCCGCCTGTTTGTCACAGCTAGCGGGCTAAAGTCCAATAGTTGTAATATAAACTCCGTGTTGCGCGTGCCGACAGGGAGTGTCTGCAAAACTCGGTTTCCGTGAATGTGAATTTTGATATGAAATGGGTGCCAAAAGATACGAGTATTTGAGGGGGCCCAATGTTCCCATGGTATCGGCATTGCTGCTGCCATTTCGTCGAGGTCGAAGAAAATCCTCGTGGAAATGATGAAGACTTGACTATTTCGAGCAAAATGCGTAGTAAAGCATATGAGTCGATGTGTGGGGTCTGAAGTGCACATCGTCGCTTGGGCTTGCATATGCAACTGTGAGCCATACCCAATATCATCTATCATAGGATGGCACTGTAGCACCAATAAGATGGGCATCAGGAAACACGCCAGCAATTCCGGTGTCTGGGACATGTTCTTGATTGAATAGAGATTCAAGTTATCGGTTATAACCAGCAATCGATTGTTCCCGAGGAAACAAAAATTAGCTGGGCTGAAGGATCCTACTGCACCGCTGAGGATGCTCTAAATTTAGAATCAACCGTCAACTCTTTCAACTCTTTCAAACCAAAGCTCACACTGGATGTTGTCGAGTATTTCCAGTCCCAAATCTGCAGCTGCCACGTCCCGTCCAACAAAGTCGGATGTGCACCGTCCGAGTGGCGCGACAATGCAATATGCCTCCCAAAACCTTTGAGCTCAGCAATTGTCGTTTCATAGCATAAGTCGTGCAACAGAAACAGTTTCTCTCCAGCAGCCTGAGGGTGAACACCATCACCATCCAGGGCTCCAAGGTTAATATAGACTGTCTTGTTATCAACGGCATAAGCGACAGCGATTAGGTTTTGTGCTGGGTCCATAAACACGTCAAGGTTGCGTAAGTGTGGACCCGAACACAACGTTCCTGGGAGCCAGTTTCGCCGGATTGACTGTTGTGAGGGCTTTGGAAGTGCTGGAAAGATCATGGCCGTATCTCCTAGTGGGTCCCACGAGCAGAAATGCCCACCAGCAACAATGTTTTCTCGAGATAGCTGTGTCCTTGTTACGGGGACCATTTTGAAAGGGTGGGTGTCAACCTTGAACCATGCGTGAGCTTTGTCTCTCAAAAGCTGCAGACGCTTAGAAATAGGTATGCTATTGCCTGCGTTGGGGATAACGAGCAACTGTTGTCCACTTATTTCAACGATGTACTGAAGTTCGGAGGAGGACAAGTACGTCTGGCGAAGGGTTCTACATACCTGCAAGAGGATTGATCGTCAGAACAGCAGTCTATCTAGATTTCTAGAACAACGATAACATGAAAGATGGCGACCCACAGATGTACACCGGAGAATATCTCCGCAAGGAAGGAAACTCAGAATGTAAAACAGGAGTTCTTCAGCAAGAGCCAGAAATCCTGTTTGGGGCTTCATTTCGTTATGCTAGTAACACTTGAAGGTGAAATAAGGGAAAACGGTGCCAAGTGTCTTACTGGCAGGCTACAATTACATAATATCGGTAAGCTATTTGTATGAATATCTGCACAACTTGAACTCATCCAAGTGTGCGGTAAGGAATTTCCCGTTTAAATGAGGCTGACTGCTTGGACAGTCCCAAATTAATGGTACATAATAGGAGGACCATGATTCACTGAGTTCCGATAAGTATTGTGAGCAGAGCAGCAGAGCATTCTGCTATTGCACGACGACCGTCTGTATTCGCTTGAGTGAAAAGTCGGACCAAGGAAATAGTTCCGCGACCAGATGATGAAATTTGGCATCGACAGGGAAGCATTGATTATAAGTGGTAGTCTGGACATATGTGGGATTGGCCTCGAGAGTTATACTCTATGGCAACACATGCTTGAAAAATAGTCTCCCAGTCAGATTTTTAGGCCTTGGTCAAATGAAGATGATATCCTCGACCAATGATCTCCATAAGTACCTAGCTAATCATCAACAGTTGATACCACAGCGCTCCGTAAGTCAGGCTTGACGTCAATGACCTCAAGTCTGTCCCTAGGATATCTCAGTGATTTGGAGAGCATATAAATCCTATCCTTGTCGATCCACATCTCCCTCAACTGTGAATGAACACGATCGAACTTTCTGTCCGAAAATACGACTTGAACGTAAGGCAGGGAAGTTGTCAAGCTCTCTCCACGTGTGCCAAATCTATCGACAATGGCATATGTCGTGGACGGCTCTTTCACCACTCGTCCTAGACCCCGCCCGTTTGTCACAGCTAGCGGGCTAAAGTCCAATAGTTGTAATATAAACTGCGAGCTGCCCGTGCCGACATAGAGTCTCTGCAAGACTCGGTTTCCGTGGATTGTGGAACGAGATGGTCGCTGAAAGATACGAGTATTTGAGGGGCCCCAATGTTCCCATGGTATCGGCATTGCTGCTGCCATTTCGTCGAGGTCGAAGAAAATCCTCGTGGAAATGATCAAGGTTAGATTATCTCGAGCACAACGCGTAATAAGGCATATGAGTCGATGTGTGGGGTCTGAGGTGCACATCGTCGCTTGGGCTTGCATATGTAGCTGTGAGTCATACCCAATATCATCTATCATAGGAAGGCAGTGTAGTAGCATCGATGGGATGGGTATCAGGAAACACGCCAGAAATTCCGGTGTCTGGGACATGTTCTCATGAATAGAGATTCAAGTTATCGGCTATAACCAGCAATCGATTGTTCCCGAGGAAACAAAATTCAACTGGGCCGGATCCGTCGGGTACTGCACCGCTGAGGATGCTCTAAATTCAGAATCAACCATCAACTCTTTCAACTCTTTCAAACCAAAGCTCACACTGGATGTTGTCGAGTATTTCCAGTCCCAAATCTGCAGCTGCCACACCGAATTCTGATTTTCATCGTTCGAGAGACGCGACAATGCGATATGCCTCCCAAAACCTTTGAGCTTTGCATTTCCCGTTGCAGAGCGCGAGTTGTCCGACAGAACCAGTCTCTCTCCAGCAGCCTGAGGGTGAACACCATCACCATCCAGGGCTCCAAGGTTAATGTAGACTGTCCTGTGATCAGCGGCATAAGCGACAGCGATTAGGTTTTGTGCTGGGTCCATAAATACGTCAAGGTTGCGTAAGTGTGGAACCGAACACAACGTTCCTGGGAGCCAGTTTCGCCGGATTGACTGCTGTGAGGGCTTTGGATGTACTGGAAGGATCATGGCCGTATCTCCTATTGGGTCCCACGAGCAGAAATGCCCACCAGCAACAATGTTTTCTCGCGATAGCGGTGCCCATGTTATGGGGACAAGTTTAAGGAAAGGGTGGGTGTCAACTTTGAACCATGCGTGAGCTTCGTCTCTCAAACGCTGCAGACGCTCAGAAATAGGTATGCTATCGTCTGTGTTGGGGATAACGAGCAACTGTTGTCCACTTGTTTCAACGATGTATTGAAGTTCGGAGAAGGACAAGTACGTCTGGCGAAGGGTTCTACATATCTGCAAGAGGATCATCAGAACTATTTAGATTCTAGAACAGCGAGAACATGAATGATGGCGACGCACAGATGTACACCGAAGAATATCTCGGTAAGGAAGGAAGCTCAGAATGTAACACAGGAGTTCTTCAGCAAGAGACAGGAATCCTGTTTGGGGCTCCATTTCGATTTGAAGGTGAAACAAGCAACTTGTTATGCATGTGCCAAGTGTCTCAGCCTACATTCCCTACTCCCACGTTAGTGGAGGGAGGGCTTTGTCAAACGCAAACGGATTCCCAAGATGTGCGAGAATACTGTGCTCCCTTCCGCATATAGCCGTCCAGCGGTAGTGGTTCCTCAAATGCCCGATATATCCAATACATAAGGCTACAGTTACTTGACACGCACCTGTATTTACCCAACGACAATCTCGATTACTAAGTTGTGTCGCACATGGCAGTAACTGAGCATGATGTAGGAAAGATGGACTTGGCGCGTGAGCGTCGTTGCCCATTACATAAGGTGCAACTCCACACCTTCGCTTCCAAGTTGGTCTGCACCCACGGGCCACCATTGGCATCAAAGAACTCGTGAGTCTCCCCGGGGTGCTTTACGTTGATTGTGGTAGTTTTCCGACGTTATACATGGCTTTATATGACTTGATATTCCAATATAACGAAAACCTTTTCTATATATAATCATATATCAGCACATGACAATATCTGCGACTCACCAGTCGTCTGATGGGACACCGGTAACACAACTTGAACAGAACAACCATCTTCCATCCAATGGGTTTTGTGTATGTTTTGGACTTTGTGGTTGGTTTTTGAATTTGACTGTCGTCCTCCATCGCACGCTCACATCGAAGGGTCTCCTGGCTGGCACATCTCACTCACCCTGGACCTACATACGATGTGCGCTGTTGATGCTATCATCGCTTTACCTGCTTGAAAATAGATGACAACGAACGCTATCAAAGCCTACCTTTGTCTCAATACCCTTCGCTGTACATGCATAGTCCAATAATAGTAGTGTGAGAAGCCTTATCGGACGTATTGTTTTCACCCCGTATTCTTGAATAACTCGGGAAGGCGATATTGAATGTCGAGTAAATCCTCCAGAGTAAGTAGCACTGTGACGAATGAGAAGTACCTGCCATCTTCTCATACCCAAAATGATAATGGTATGCTCACCATAGGAAAAGTTTTACTCTTCAATATTCTGCCGATTGGCACGTCCGTCTGTCACTACAGACATACATCAATGAATATGAATCTTGCTAACTCGCGATTGATACCTCCGAGCCGAACTCTCAGCATGAATCACGCAGTCTCGATTTCACAAGGACGCATGTGACTGTCGACAGGCACCAGCGTAAACGATGGAAATTGTGTCACGTTCCAGGGAGTTAATTTAGGTCTCGACTTCGTTGCAGACTCGCCTGTGAACGATACCCTGCAGGAACGATCAGAACTTCAAGCCAACAACAACCCACTACTGCGAGTCGTTGCGCCAGCCTGGCGGACTACGTGAAGAAAGAGTCATGGGAGGGACATCCTCCGTCTGTCATGATACCGGCGTGCAGCATGCCAAGATTTAAATGATATATCAAACGTGAGAATGAGTCGATCTGACTCAACGGGAATGTATAACTTTTGGGTACCGGTAGCAGGAGAGCCAGGAGAGCTATGTCAGACTGTCACATCTTCTTTAAGTTTGTATGAAGTGGAGCCGGATTGGCCGGCTGAATGAGGTTCACCTGACTCGGGAGTTGTCCCGTTTGAACACGTCGGCCGGCCGCCCTCCATTTGAACTCGAACTCGTCCGGCGCTTGGCAGTGTGCCGATTTCTTCCGATCCCATTCTCCTACTAGTTACCGTGGGCTACCGCGCTTTCTTCCGGAATATACGACATGATGGATGCTGATCCGTGTGTTATTTTTGGTCAATGGGCACGACCGGGGGGGCATACAGGATCATCATCAGGGCGCCGATGGAATTTGCTAAATTGACGGATCAGGGAGCCCTCAAACCGGAAGGCCATGATGTACACAGAGAGCGGTAGGAGACGATAGGCCCCCACACTGTTTGTTTTCCGATTGTAGTAGGATCGCTCACACCCCGGACTCCCCCCTATAAAGATCCTGGACTTTCGTCGACACAGGGACTCATTCTTTCTTCCACTCACCCAACTACACATCTTCCTTCAGTCCTCATAAACTCAGTCATGAAGGTACTGATGAACCTTCTGTCTTCGATTACAAGATCTGACGCGCTTGCGCTTATAGATCTTAGCTATCCTCTACAAGGGCGGTAATGCTGCTACGAGCGAGCCCCGTCTCCTTGGTACTGTGGAGAACCAGGTTCGTCTCGTTGAGAATTCTAGATTATCTTCGACAGACTTACTCATGCTTTCCATATAGCTTGGGATCCGCAAGTGGCTCGAGTCCCAAGGCCACGAGTACATCGTATGTGTCGAAGTTTCTGTCGGCACGCTTACGCAGTCACCTAATCTACTCATTTGTGTAGGTTTCGGACTCAAAAGAGGGCGCTGACAGCGACTTCCAGAAGCACATCGCTGATGTACGTCCAAGCCCAACTACTGTACATATATCCGCGTGTACTTACTCTCTTTCTTAGGCTGAGATCTTGATCACGACTCCATTCCACCCTGGGTACCTCACTGCTGACTTGGTCGCGAAGGTATGATGATCGTTGAGCTATCGTCGATCGATATGAACGGTTCATTCATACTTCTGATAGGCCAAGAAGCTTAAGCTCTGTGTCACCGCTGGTGTTGGCTCTGACCACATCGACCTCAACGCCGCTGTCAAAAATGGTATTCAGGTCCTAGAGGTCTCAGGATCCAATGTCGTCTCCGTCGCCGAGCATGTCGTGATGTCTATCCTCCTCCTCGTCAGGAACTTTGTTCCAGCACACGAGGTATGATGACTCACTGGCGCGCGTTTCCCTTTGTTAATTGCTCGCCATTCTTAGATGATCGAGCGCGGAGACTGGATGGTCTCTGACATTGCTCGCAATGCCTTCGATCTCGAGGGCAAGGTCGTTGGCACCATTGGTGCTGGTCGTATCGGCTACCGTGTCCTCCAGCGTCTGATGCCCTTCGACTGCAAGGAGCTCCTCTACTTCGACTACGCTCCCTTGCCTGAAGGTTTGTATCACACTATCTTCGGTTTTATACAGCTTGATTCATGCGATTACAGCTGCTGCTAAGGCCGTCAACGCTCGTCGCGTCGAGGACCTCAAGGACTTTGTCTCGCAGTGCGACGTCATCACCGTCAACTGCCCTCTGCACGAGGGTACACTCGGCCTCGTCAACGCCGAGCTTCTCAAACACTTCAAGAAAGGTGCATGGCTCGTTAACACCGCTCGCGGTGCTATCTGTGACAAGGACGCCGTAGCTGCTGCCCTTGCAAGTGGTCACCTGAACGGTTCGTGACCCCCGCCACCTAATATCTGCACGTTGAGCTCACATGGCAACAGGTTATGCTGGTGATGTTTGGAACGTCCAGCCCGCACCCAAAGACCACGTCTTGCGCACGGCTAAGAACACCCTTGGCGGCGGTAACGGCATGGTACCTCATTACTCTGGCACCACCCTCGATGCTCAGGCTCGTTATGCAAGCGGCACCAAGACCATCATTGAGAACTACCTCTCTGGTAAGGCCCAGGAGCCTCAAAACATCATCGTCGGTCTTGGCAAGTACGAAACCAAGGCTTGTGAGTACCTGCTTAGACATGTTGCTTGTTGGTCTTGTCTGACATATTCTTGCAGACGGTCAGCGTTGAGCGTTGAACTGCGGATGCGCCCGCCAAGACCCTTGCTAATATCATCATGTATATAAAATTTACTTGCACCTGTATGTCGATGGGAAGAAGGATGTACATTACTGACAGTAGGAAACACCGAAATATATGAAATTCACATTCGCATGAGTTCACTGAGGATCTAGCATGACTGGCTGTTACACTGGGAATGATCATACAACTCTGGTAGTTCGCATACTTTCGGGCGAGAAGGATCGATTGATTCAGAGATCATGCAAGTTGATGGAACACAACTTGATCATCCAGACTGACCACGCAAACATTGCTGACATGCCAGGCGTGTTGTAGTAGATAATAGTGGATATACTGTGCCTACCACACTGTATCTAATTAAGTTTTAGAATTTGGGATCACGGTAAGTGGAATCAGCGTGTGGTCACTTAATCATGGAGACTTGAGTCGGTGAGCACGAGTTCGAGTTCAAGTGGAGATTCACGACCTAACGGCGATCCTGACTTCATCTTACGCACACCTTATCTTCGTGGATTCATGCACGTTGTTCTTGTTCGACCTTGACTTGCAATTGGTCGAGTAGATCCTGGACAACAACAAAAATGAGGATAAGCCAAGAGAACCATCTTCAAAAATGATGACAAGAGTGGGATTTGAACCCACGCCCTCTTACGAGGATGAGAAACCTGCTATCAGGCAAGCTTTCGCTTGAGTCACACGCCATAGACCGCTCGGCCATCTTGCCATGGTTGACTAGTCCGCGACTTGCCAACCATAGTACTGGTCCAAGACATTGCCTATAGTCTCATTAGAAGGAAGACAGTTAACGCGCGACCGAATTATATTCAGTCCATTTTTCTCAACTATGCAGGGGAAGAAGGGGGACAAACCAAGCTGGCGCGTGACAGGCTGCAAAACACGAGTAGTTAGACAAAGTCGACACTTATAAACGAGTGGACGTCTTTGACACATGTTTGGGCAGTACTCACATTCGTCAAATTGCTTGAGGTTTATCATTGCATCCACAAAGGATGCTACGGTCGGCGTGCACATAAGGAGCTGACATTCACCCTGAAGTGGGCCGCCTGTAGCACTGGAAAGTTGCACGAGTTACAATATTAATCCATCGTTGGGATTGTCATCGGAGACGTAAATCCCTTGAGGTAGAATGTCTGACCGACGCAAACGCGTAAGCAGTAAGTCCAGACCTTGTCGTGGGGGAAGACGCCGAAGGGCAAGATTAGTCGGAGGTGGTGCATTAATTGTCATCACGTAGACAGACATACATGGCCAGACTTTCGAACGGCATGATCAGGCGTGACGGTGGAGGGGCTATGTGTATTCGGCCACGTCTATCTGAATAAATAACTGCATTGTAGCATACACACGGCTCTATAACTCAAGGGGGAATGCGAAAGAGTACAGTGAACTGAATGATTACGGAGAAATATAATGTCAGGAGCAACGGAAGGGAAGCTAAAGACTACAGACGTCAGTGAAGATAACGGCGTGAAAGAAGAAGCAAACATACATGATGCACTAATCGTCGCTGACGTCACCAGTATTCTCGGCGTCACTTGATGGTGGTGGAGTTTGCTTCTTCTTGCGGCTAGCTTTAGGTGCGCCAGCCGCAGCCTTTGGCTTCCTAGGCTTTGGCTCCTTGCCACGATTTGGGTTCTCAGGTGCTTCCCGCCACATTGCTGCGATCTTAGAGGTGTATCAGACATGAACGGGACGCATATATGCGCATATACGCACCTCGGCCATAGCTTCTTTGATGGGTGCGCCGGGATGTGCCTCCTTCCACTCTTTCATATGAGCTTGTACGAAGAGGTTGTATGCACTTGGTGCGCGCTTTGGTTTGTCCTCCTTGTCTATGACTAAGTGAGTACGACGAAGAAAAAATCTAAAGGGACGACGAACCAGCCTTGGAGGTCTTGGTGTTAGCGCGTTTTGTTGCAGCCTTCGTGGTTGATTCTTTACGACGATGAGTGGATGTTTAAACTAAAAGACGCGTTGAACTGACCTGTTCGTTGATTTTGCCATGATGGTTAGGATGAGGGTGAATTTTGTTGATTGATTTGAAGGGTTATCGATCTTTAAACGTAGTCGCGTCGGGGTTTAAACGCGACGTGTTATTATCACGTGGTGGGGTGGTCAGTGCACCTCGGGGAATAGCCGAAACCTATTTGAGGAGAATGTGATCGCATCAAAAAATCTCAGTCTCTCTTTGTCTCTCTAGCGCTCGTCATCTAAATTAGTCCTTGATCATTACCGGCCAGACCATGTCTCCGTCCGCTCTTTCATCTGCCCTCCTTGCTGTTGCGGCCATTACCTTTGTCCACGCTCAGCCTGACCCTGCTGACCCCACTCCTCTCGTTGATAAGCACTATGCCTACCCATCTGGTATCGTGAGTGTGCTTGCAGCATGCAGCGGCGCGCAATAGAATGGTACTCATCGTATATTAGCCTTACCAAGTCGACTATAATACCGCTGCTCTTCGCGGTCCCCAAACCGGTTACAATATTTGCAACTCCACAACTGAGAACCAGAATTCCTTGTGTCAAACTTCGTTCGTGAACCACATAGACGGTCAGTTTTCGCCGTTTTTTTTAGTCTATTCACGGTTTCTAAAATCATACAGATTTCTGCCTCTGGGCTCCCCCACAGCCCAACTCCACCATCGGTGACACCGAAGGTCAGGAAGTCGCCTGGTGCACAAAGCCAGGACACGGTACTCGTCTCATCCCCGCCGGTGCTCTCCAAGGCGTACAGCTCATCAAGACCCCCAACTACATCCAAATTGCCGGTTTCATTGACCAAACCCAGGTCAACATTGCTGCTAATGACTACGGAGGCGAGTTGGACCCTCACGGTGCTGATCTGGTGAGTTAGAAATTACTGTGTGACACCTCCCATGGGTGAAGTCTCAACGTGACTTGCAGCGCGGTAACCCTCTTGGCGGTCTCATGTACTCCAACGCGTTCCCCAGCAACGGTGGTAACAACGCTTCGTACCAACAAGTTATTGACTGGACAAAGTGCGTTTTTCCCAGCCTCTTGTTCGTCCACGTGTCTCATTTCCCTTTCAGCTTCATGGGTGGCGACGGCTTCTGTATGAAAATCTGCGATCCCGCCGGCCAGAACCAACAGGCCCTCTGCCAAAACATCTATGACCGTCTTGGGTGCGCATACAACGCACCCAACAACGCACAGAAGGGTGTTTTCGAGGTCTGCGATGGTGACGACATGTCCCCCGTCGGTGTCTACACTACCAACGGTGCTACCTCGACCTATTACCAACCCGCCGAATCTCTTGGTCCGATCACCACCGTACCTTACACCGCCACGCCTGCTCCGAGCTCGAACTGCGTGACGTACACAAGCACGTCACTGTACACGGGTCTGCCGACGCCATCAGGCGCGATCGCGAGTTCAGGTGCAAGTGGAGCAAAGTCAACAGCGAGCGGCACCAATTCCGGCGCATCACCGGCTAAAACTGGTGGTGCTGCCACCATGGGTGTATCACTTGGCGCCGGACTTGTTGGTGTGGTGTTCGCGATGGCGTTCTTGTCGTAAGGCGGTGCGGGTATCACTGTTGACGGGGAGAGAGGTTGTTGCATTCACATTCGCATACCGCATTTCTCTGGGCGGTCATTTATTTCATCGCACTTTATAATACCCCACCGCATGAATTTTGGTTGACATAGACACGCGGATACAGACGGACCGACATTGGTTACTTAGCGCTTATCCGTTCATTGCATCGAGATTGGAATAATGCACGTTTTAATGTCATTGATCTGTGTAGACATGAAGTCTGCTTTGGGCTTCAGGTTAGGCCAACATATCGATGTGTCTGTCGTAGTGAGGAATTTGGAAATCATACAGAATTTCAATTTCAAATGTTCAGTTCGTCATGACGCACGTGATCATCATTCATTTACTTTTAACTCGGAGTCCATATTCCTCCGGTACCGGTATTTATATACAATGAACTATACTGGTGACCAGCCCGTCTAAAAGGAAGTCTACCATGAGGGGCCCGGGGTTCCTCTCTCTGGCTGAGGAGCTCCAGTTCTACATTTTGCGCTTCCTTCCCTACCGAGATATTCTTTGTTGCACAGCCGTGAGCCGCAATCCAGTTTCTCTATATGTTGATGTTAACATGGAATTCCATCCTGACAATCATCGTGCAGGTATGTAGGGCCCTTCGCCAGACATATATGTCCTCCTCCGAGCTTCAGTACATTGTTGAACTCAGCGGTCAACATTTGCTTCTGATCTCCAACATGGACAACCACATACCTATTTCCAAGCGCCTGCAAGAGTTGAAGGATAAAGCTCATGCTTGGTTCAGCGTTGACATTCGCTCTGCCAAAACATTTTCTATACCAAAGGTGGTGTGGTCAAACAGTTTCGTAGCTGATGGACATATCTACATGTGGGACAAAATAGATGACACGGCCACGATCATTCCAATATTCCCAAAGCCCTCACAACAAACAATCAAGCGTAACTGGCCTCCCGGAACATTGTGTACAGTTCCCAACTCAACCAATCTCCGTGTTCTCATGGACCCAGCACAAAACCTGATCGCCGTCGTCTATGTTAATCACGAGAGGCTCTTCATCAACCTTAGAGCTCTGGATGATGATAGTTTTCACCCCCAAGCTGCTGGACTGACGTTGTTTCTGTCGGAGCTTCCTGGATACGATGACCACATGGATTCAGAGAGTCTGCGACTCAAGGTTATGGGGAGGTATATCGCTTTGCAGTGTACTTCGTCAAAGTACAACATGTGGCAGCTGCAGATTTGGAACTGGCAGCACTCAACAACATCAGATGTGAGCCTTGGTCAGAAATCATTGAAAGACTCCACAGCTGACTCTCAATTTAGAGTGTCCTCCGAGTCAGCAACAAATGTCCATGGCGTATTCATTTTTGTTTCTTCGGAAACGATAGATTGCTCGTTTTTGCTGAAGATTTGAAGCTCTATTCAATCGAGGATATGTCCCAGACACCAGAATTGCTGGCATCTTTTATGCTGCACACCCAACTGCGGTACACGACAGCATGTCTCCTTCCGGTGGATGATATAGCGTGTAGCTCACAGCCACAGGTGCAAGCCCAACAAATAATGTATACCTTGGATCCTAAACACCGGCTACTCTGCATTACTGCAGTGGGGGCTGAATGCACCTATTGTCTACGTCATTTCTACCAGGATTTTTCTTCGATCTTTCCGAAGTGGCAGTAGCGATGCCAATACCGTGGAAATGTTGGGGCCCTCCAAATACTTGCATGTTTCAGTACCCACTGCAATTTGACGATTGCAGAGTTCACCTTAGCGGGAACCGAGTTTTACTATTATTCCCAGTCCCCGAGCGAATCTCGAACCACAACTCAGTCACGAGACGCATATCGAAGTTATCTAAATTACGTATCATGGACTTCAGCCCGCTAGCTGTAATGAACAGGTGGGGTCTAGGAAGGGTGGTGAGAAAGCCATCTACCTTGGACATCACTGGTTGTGAGGAGCACTTAACAACTTTCTTGCCTTACGTCGAGGTCATATTGGACAGAGAGTTCGGTGCTGACAAATTGACGGACATATGGATGGACAGGGATAAGATTTACTTGCTCTCAAACGAGCTTGAGGTTATCAATGTTTAGAACAGTTTATGATAGATCCTGTCTGGACTCTAGCTCAATATGTCCTGCAAGGCGAATGTTACTATGCACATGCCATGCTCACTCATGCTCCGTACAATATGCGCGACGGAATGCTGGAACAGATGAGTCCAAGGCAGTGCATATCTATACAGAGTCTAAGTTTATGTAAATAAGCCGAAGCCCGTCGACGATCTTTATTCATAACCAGCTACTAATTGGCCCGCTCTAAAATTTGGGGGTGAACACTATCACTATTCAGGGCTCTAGGGTTGAGGCGGACTGTTTCATCTGACTGGTGAGGACCACTAGGAATAGCATACACGACGGCAATCAGGTTTTGTGCTGGGTCCATGAAAACAGCCATGTTGGTCGAGGTGGGAACTGGACACAACATTCCTAGAGACCAATTGTGCTTGAGTTGTCGTCGTGAGGGCCTTGATAGTATCGGGATGATCACGGCCGAGTCTTCATCAGCTTTCCACGAACGGAGATCCTCATCGGCAACAAATGTGTAGTGATGTTCCGGCCCGGCTTTGAGCCCCGGGCCAGCCGAAGCCGGGCCTAATTGAGCCGGGCCTAGCCCAGGCCTAGGATATGGCCTGACCACGGCTTAGGCCTAGGCTTGGATTTTGCGAAGCCTAAGCCGCCGGCCCAAGCCGCGGCTTAGACTATATACTTGTTGCGCCAGACAGCTTTCCCACAGGTGAGCGCAAAGTTCCTGGAATTCGTGCTTCGGCATCTCATTAGCAACTTCTTCCTTCATCATACCATACAATACTATGTCAGAGAAATCATAGTGAGTCGCCATATGTTGTCATGCCATTTATGTTTCAAAGCTCGCTGATACTTTCTCCGGTGTTGAAACGTTGATAAGCAATCATCGCGTGCGCCGTGTGTTGCTTTCACTGTCAAGTTCGATCCACTCTCTATACTCTGCACCACCACGTCAAGCCCCAATCATGGCATGTCAGAAGCCTCGTTTAGGCTGGGTCAAGCACCACTCACACCACGACAAGTTCTCCCAACAAACCTTGTCCATGCCGCGTCAGATTATGAGCCAACTTCTTTACCAGCTGTGCCGCAGAGCGCAAGGCCCTTCTGAACACCACAAACAAGCTACGCAACGCTGCCGGCAACATCTATTACAACGATAAATGCACTGGGGCGGTCTGGGAAGCGTGTAGCGCATTCAATCTCGCGTTGAAGGTCATCGTGGTACGTCAATACAATACAACTAACTCTCATTCTCGTTCTTCTCCTTGTCCTCCCTTCTCCTGATCCCGTCCGTATTCGTCTGAGCCACATCAGCAGTTGCTGACGTGTGCTGGGCGTTTGCGCATGGTGTTGGTGGTGTTGGGAACGGCATGGTGGAGCTCGGACATTGATTCAGCATGTGGGCCACGGCTTGCATGGGCCTAAGCCCCGGCTTTGGGCCGGCTTGGGCTCACGGCTCAGGCTTGAAATCTGGTGAGCCTAAGCCCCCCCAAGCCGAGCCTAAGCCGGGGCTTTGAGCCCAAGCCGGGCCGGAACATCACTACAAATGTGTGCGCAGAGGACAATTCCTTCGATAAAGAAACTCGTTCGAAAGAATGGAAGTTGAAATTGAACCATGCGTGGGCTTTGGTCCTCGAAAGTTGTAGGCGCTTGGAAATAGAAGTGTGATCAACCACGTTGGGGACAGGAAGTAATTGTCAGCGACTGAGAGTTGATGATGTACTGAAACTTGGAGGAAGACATGTACGTCTGGTGAAGGATTGCGAGACCGTCAGTATGAAAGCCCATTGGAACAACAACAACAATATCATAACCCACGGATGTACCACGTAGAATATCTTGGCAAGAGTCCCTTGATTTGTAGCTCCGCCTGTGTGAGGGTATCGCCGCCAAAGTATCTTTGACCTGTTAGCAGGTAAAGCGAATAGCACCAACAGCGCACATCGTATGTAGGTCCAGGGTGAGTGAGACGTGCCAGCCAGGAGACGCTTCGATGTGAGTGTGCGATGGAGGATGACAGCCAAATTCGAAAACCAACCACAAAGTCCAAAGCATACACAAACCCATTGGATGGAAGACAGTTGTTCTGTTCAAGATATCCTGATCACTCACAGAATTGTGTTACCGGGTGGATGCAGACCAACTTGGAAGCGAAGGAGACGCGCCAGCTGGGAAATGGACAAGGTTATATTGACGAGGACACTCCAGCACAAATCTAACATGTGCGGTAGCAAAAGAACTCATGCCGATGGGTTCTGAAGAAACCGGGATTCACTCACACTATGTGCCATACGACGGACGTCCGAGTTCAACAACAATATTTAGTAGACTTGAGAGATGGGTAGGTGGGCCTGGGACGGTCCGAGCAGTCAGCCTCGCTCAAAGGGAACATTCATTACCTGACACGCACACTCGGGTGAACCTTGTTGTTCAGAGATCTTGAGGCGAGTGTCTGAGTGGTTGTGGATAAACACCGTTACCGATATTATGTAATTGTAGGCTGCCAGACACTTGGCACATACGCTTATTTCACCTTCAAGTGTTACTAGTATAACGAAATGAAGCCCTTGCAAACAGGATTCCTGTCTCTTGTTGAAGAACTCCTGTCTTACATTCTGAGCTTCCTTACTCACCGAGATATTCTTCGGTGTACATCTGTGGGTCACCATCATTCATGTTATCGTTGTTCTAGAATCTAGATAGACTGCTGTTCTGACGATCCTCTTGCAGGTATGTAGAACCCTTCGCCAGATGTACTTGTCCTCCTCCGAACTTCAGTACATCGTTGAAATAAGTGGACAACGGTTGCTTGTTATCTCCAACACGGATCATGGCATACCTATTTCTAAGCGTCTGCAGCTTTTGAGAGACCAAGCTCACACATGGTTCAAGGTTGACACCCACCCTTTAAAAATGGTCCCCGTAGTAACAGTGCCACCGCTATCTCAAGACAACATTGTTGCTGGCGGGCATTTCTGCTCGTGGAACGCATCAGGAGATACAGCCATGATCTTTCCAGTACTTCCAAAGCCCTCACAACAGTCAATCCGGCGAAACTGGCTCCCAGGAACGTTGTGTTCGGTTCCACACTCATACAACCTTGATGTATTTATGGACCCAGCACAAAACCTAATCGCTGTCGCCTATGTCGTTGATCACAAGACAGTCTATATTAACCTTGGAGCCCTGGATGGTGATGGTGTTCACCCTCAGGCTGCTGGAGAGAAACTGTTTCTGTCGGACGACTTGGAAAGCCACTCTGTGACGACACTTGCAAAGCTCAAAGGTTTTGGGAGGCATATCGCATTGTCGCGTCGCACGACCAACGAAAATCGGATTCCGGTGGACAAGGTGTGGCAGCTGCAGATTTGGGACTGGAAATACTCGACAACATCCAGTGTGAGCTTTGGTTTTAAAATAGTTGAAAGACTTGACGGTTGATTCTAATTTAGAGCATCCTCAGCGGTGTAGTACTCAACCGATCCCCCGCCCCAGTTGATTTTTGTTTCCTCGGTAACAATCGATTGCTGGTTATAACCGATAACTTGAATCTCTATTCAATTGAGAATATTTCTCAGACGCCGGAATTGCTGGCGTGTTTCCTGATGCCCATCCCATTGAAGTTACGGTGCCTTCCTCTGATAGATGATATTGGGTATGGATCACAGTCGCATATGCAAGCCCAAACGACGATGTGCACCTCAGACCCTACACATCGACTCATATGCCTTTTGGGGTCTTCTGCTCGAAATAGTGTTCAAGTCTTCATCATATCCACAAGGATTTTCTTCGACCTCAACGAAATGGCAGCAGCAATGCCAATACCATGGGAACATTGGGCCCCTTCAAATACTCGTATCTTTCAGTACCCATTTCATTTCAAAATTCACATCAACGGAAACCGAGTCTTGCAGACACTCCCTGTCAGCGCGTCCGACTCGCAGTTTATATTACAACTATTGGACTTTAGCCCGCTAGCTGTGACAAACAGGCGGGGTCTAGGACGAGTGGTGAAAGAGCCGTCCACGGCATACATCAATGCTGATGCATTTGGCAGATATGGAGAGAGCTTGACAACCTCCCTGCCTTACGTCCAAGTCGTATTTTCGAACAGAAAGATCGTTGCTGATTCACTGTTGAGAGACATGTGGATCGACAAGGATAGGATTTATATGTTCTCCAGATCAGGCTTTATTGACACATTTGAGGTCATTGACGTCCAGTCCGACTTACAGAGCGGTGTGATATCAACCAGTTGATGATTAGCTAGGTACTTACGGAGATCATTGGTCGAGGATACCATCTTCATTCGGCCAAGGCCTAAAAACCTGACTATGGGAGATTATGTTTCAAGCATGTGTTGCCATAGAGTATACCTCTCGAGGCCAATCCCGCATACGTCCAGACTGCCACTTATAATTAATGTTTCCCTGTCGATGCCAAATTTCACCATCTGGTCGTGGAACACTTCCTTGGTCCGATTTTTCACTATTGATCAAGCGAATACAGATGGTCGTCCTGCAATAGCAGAATGCTCTGCTCACAATATTCATCAGAACTCGGTGAATCACCAAACATACTAACTGTCGAGATCTCCGCTAATTTGACTAGTAGCATATATTGGGCAGGACGTTCTTCCAACAGAGATTGCCAGTCCAAATGCCCCGGACCGCGACTTCGCAGGAGTATGCTTGCAGGTCTCGCAGTTCACCATGCACACTTCGTACACTCTCCAGGTATCAATGTCAGACGGCAATGAATGAGATCGGAGATATCTAGAATTTATTTTCCCTTGAAAGAACTGGGTGAATTGCGTTTGTCAGATATCATGCCCTTCCGCACACCGTGTAGGAGGCTTTCAAGTGATCCGACCTGCAGACAGCGTAACACCAGTGATAGTAGCATTACATTACTGATGTGTCGGGCCTTGCTTGGGCCCGGTAGAAAAATAATCAAGCCAAGCTGCCAAGGCCATGATGCCGCTGAAATCGCATCCTCAAAACGACCTCTCAGCTCGTGCCAAAACATTGGTAACTGTATCAATGGAAATGATGTTCGGGCGGGAGAGATAGATAGCATTGCAAGACTATTCAATTAACATTGTTGCATCATCGGTAAGGAAATTAAGAGCTGTCGATACAGGATGCGTACGCCGTAGACTCCAGAAGATCTGAGCCGGATCATGGTCGTCCTGTTAACGAGGAGAACCCAGAAGACTTGACGGGCGTGATCGTCGTTCCTGCAGGAAGTGCAAGAGAGTCGCCTATTCCATCTTCGATGAGTTGATAGTATCGGGATGATCACGGCCGAGTCTTCATCAGCTTTCCACGAACAGAGATGTTCATCGGCAACAAATGGTGCGCAGAGGGCAGTTCCTCCGATAAAGAAACATGTTCGAAAGAATGGAACTTGAACTTGAACCACACGTGCCAGGCTTTGTTCCTCGAAAGTTGTAGGCGCTTGGAAATAGAAGTGTGATCAACCACGTTGGGGACAGGAACTGTCACGGTTGGCCACTGAGTTTGATGATGTACTGAAGCTCGGAGGAAGACATGTAGGCTACGTCTGGCGAAGAACTGCAAGATCGTCGGTATGAAAGCCCATTAGAACAACAATAAAAATATCATAACCCACGGATATACCACATAGAATACATTGGCAAGAGTCCCTTGATTTGTACCTCCGCCTGCGTGAGGGTATCGCCGCCAAAGTATCTCTGACCTGTTTATAGCTGGAAGCTAACGACCTCACTGGGTGCGATCAATCGCCGTGTCATTAAGTACGCGATGATGCTATGTAGAGCTTGAAACCTGAGCTAAAGGATGCCATTCGATTCATCTGTATCAGCTGTGGAGATAATGATAGAGTTCATTCAGGACCTACGATCATCATCATTACTAGTTAACTATAGTTTGGATTAAGCCAGCACAGGTTAGCACATCGCACCTTTAGTTATTTTTACTCACGAAGAATTCAAGTCATTACGTATGCACTCATTGAATATTGAATCTTTGCCGCGCGGCCGTTCTTAGTGCCACGCAATTTACAGTCAGCATCAGGTTAGCATTTCTAAGCGGCTGCGCTGAAATTCTGACCTAGAAGCCCTTGCAGAACTTTCAATGACACTGGGCGCCAAGCGCTCTTTACATCTGTCGAGCACCTCATCGATATGCCGTTCTTCTTGTCGTAGATGAGTCTTGAATCACGTCTTTCTGTCAAAGGCCAGTTTTCTACCTCCGTCAAAGCGTAACGGTTCAGAGACATTTGAACCGTTTAATTGTTTTTACCCACAGATCAGGTACGAATTCACAGCCTCCGTCACGATAGCCATCAGAAAGCATCGCTACCGTAAACTTCCGTGATCATCTTTGCGCAACCCCAACTGATCATTGATGCGGCATCAGATGCATGATGTATTATGCTTTGTAAGGGGCTATAACAGGTTATATAGCACGTACGTTCGTACGCACTTTCTAAACCTTCGGCATAAGCGACGGGGTTTGATAATTTTGGCTGTGCACGCATTGTTTCCGTGCCTTGGCAAACAGGGAAAACCTTATCGATTCGTCCAATGAGAGGGATGGATAAGCTAAGCTCCTGACCGTACTAAGTACGGGCGTCTAAAGCTATGGCACGCATAAGCGTAATATAAAGGTACTAGTGTCCCTGTGAAGTAATGCCAAGTAACATCCCCCCGCTCGTGTTCCTCTGCTCACCGTAAGTCTCGAAAGTCGTGCGGATTCCTCATCCTCATTTGACGATTTCAACAGGATCAGCCAAGATGCGACTCTGGCCCGGGCAGCTCCCAGTCACGCAAAACGAAGCCGTGACCATCACTTGCTACGATGACCTGGGTAATCCAAAAACGCACGGTCTAGAGCAGCGATATGTCAGCCCTACTACTGGGATATGTCGAAAGCTCGTCGTGCAAGCCGTCTCTCCCTTCGGTAAATCAGAAGTCCCCATCAGCAACCACACCAATCAAGCAAGCAAAATCGCCATATGGCTACTAGCCAATTCCCCCATACGAGGGTGGATCATTTTTAAATGGATAGGCGTATGGTTGTTGTTTACGTTGAAGCTCCTCTGGTCAGTCATCTGGCTGCTCGCACAGCTTTTCGCCCCCATCGACTTGGCGGATGACACCGGGGAGGACACGGACCTGTATAACACTGGATACTACAAACCATATGTCCGCGGGTTCCAGGGTCAGCTATGGGCAGCTCGTTCGCCTATGGAACACTCTTCCCGCATTATCGAGGAGGGTGAGATGGATATCCCTACACATACCCTTTATCCTCGAGTTCTTATTATCCGCGACCCGATCTGTAATGAGTGGGTCTCATGTGCAGATCGCGATACCATCATCCGTACAAAATTCATCGCCATCTCTTACCGCGCCGTTGATGCCTTCACTCGAGGCCCAAATCAGGAGATAGAAAAAGCTCAGTTCATAGAGGAAGTTCGTGCAGTGGTGCTCGAACAGAAATACGATGCGTATTGGCTCGACTTGGAGTGTGTAGGAGAGACGCCGTCAGAGAAGAACCGGGATTTGTACTGCATGGCGGACGTCTACCGTGGAGCAGCTATAACGCTGATCATGCTCGGCAAATCTGCGTCTGGGGAGAAGGAGTGTTGGAAAGGTTGGGGCGAACGGGTATGGACAATGCCCGAAGCCCTCCTGAGCTCTCGCCTTTGTTACAAGTTCCGAGATCAGGAAACAGTCACACCATTGTCGTTGTTTGAGCTGGCCAACCTGGCCTATACAAACTACGACATCGAACAAGCTATCGTCAACGCGTACAGCGGGAAGGATCCACTTGAGAGGTTGGAGCGCTTGACGCTGTTGAAATCAGCTATATGGCGGCGCGGTACGGCAGCTCTAGCACCAGGTGTTGCTCCTCCCCCGCCAAAGCTGGATATGATAGGCGACTCCGAGAAGTCTGTCACCGTCCTGAGTGGGGCGTACAAGGCTGAGCGTGTGTACGCGCTGATGGGCTTTTTTGAGCACCGGATTCAGCCAAATCGCTCAGAGGATGATTTGCGCGCTCTTGTGAGGCTTTCGATGGCCAACGACAATGACCGTATCGCTGAGCGCATGGTATCCATGCTACCCTCGACCATCACCAAGACAGCGTGTTGGTACTCAGACGATGATATCTACCGTGCCAACCTTTGGGATATCTTACCGGAGATCCAGGTCGCTGGTGTTACGGACAATGGAGCTCTTGTAATTGATGGGTGTCGGTCGGCAGCCATCAGATGGAAAGATTTCCCGGAGGTTGCGTTTGTGACCACAGATTCATTGAGGAGGACCATCATCGGCTTCATTCCGTATCTCTCATGGCCAACTCTTATCATCGGGCTAGCTGTTCTTATGATCAACCGGGTGGGAGGCATCGCGCTCACCGTCATCGGATTGGTGCTCCTCATTGTTTCCCCTCGGCTATTCGTTTTCAGTCAATCAGGGCGTATCGTCAGCGCACAACCATGGCTCATCGGAGTGAAAGGAGTCGTGAGTATCAAAGAGGTAGAGAGCCACTTGTACGGTGGCGCCGCCAGAGGACACTTCCCAAGAATGTACTTCACGCCGAGCGGATCACAGTTCTCGATTCCAGAACGAGGCTTAGACCGGGGAGGTTCGTTCAGACAATACGACTATGCCAAACTAGCGGATAGTGGGCCCGATGCGGGACACATCTATACGCTCATCGACACGTGCTCGTCGACGATGTACTATTTCCGTGCGCAGCGACCGCCGACTGTGTGTATATATGCCGGACGGGAGGGAGGACTTGGGCGGTTTGTGCTGTGTTCGGAGAAATGTGATATCAATGAGCTGCATAAGGAGAGCGTGTTGAGGATGCCGACGGAGATCAGTGAAAAAATGGAGTTGTGTGGATGGGTCGCGCTTGGATGAGGTTGTTTTGGAACCTTTCACTGTCCTTTATTTCGGACTTCACTGACGTTAGAGATTGTTTTGCCAAAACTTCCCACTTTCCTTTATTAATTTATTATGTACTCTACCGACACCATTTAGTGTTATAGCAACATAGTATTGAGGATTCACCGCAGAATGTTATCACTTGAGGTGACTCTTCAGCTTGTTAGAACCGCTTCAACTCAGACTATTCTCGCGGGTCCGAGCGTTCTCCCCCTATGAACTGTTCCAGACTCAAACGCGCGCAAGTACCGGGTGCCGGCTCAATTGGAAATTTACGCCTTGCAACTTTTGGATAACCCACTCACTCATCGGGACGAAACGTTGATCACCACCTTGTCAAGAGAATGGACCACAAAATAAAGCCTAAATCAGCACTCTCGTACGTTGCGGAAGAACTTTGGGTTTACGTTTTAGGTTTCCTTTCTTGCAGAGACATTCTTCGTTGCACATCCGTAGGTTGTTGCCGTTGTCCTAGACGGAATCCTATGCTGAGTCACTAGTTCTCGCAGGTATGTAAGGCCCTTCACCAGATATACATGTCCTCTTCAGAGCTCCAGTACATCGTCGAACTCAGCGGCCAATGCTTGCTCCCCGGCATCTCCAGCACGGACGACCGTACCCCTATTTCCAAGCGCTTACAACGCTTGAGGGATGAAGCCCACGCATGGCTCAAGTTTGATGCCTATTCTTTCCAAACAGTTACGCCACCAATCCCATTTGGCATGATTCTCCAATACTGCACCGGTGAACATATGTACGTGTGGAATCGCCATAACAACTTGATCACCATCATCCCCATACCATCCAAACTCTCACAACGAACAATCGAACACCGCTGGTCACCCGGAACGTTATGTCCATTTCCTAGTGCAGCGAGGTGGAATGGATTGATGGACCCGGCACAAAATCTGTTGGCCGTCAGGTATACTGTTGGCAAGATAACCTACATTTACCTAGCAACTCTGGATAACGGTTGCGTCCACCCTCACGCTGCTGGACCAGCACTAGTTCTGGAGTTGCCCGGACACTACTATGAGAGAGAAGCGAAGTTCAAGTGTTATGAGAGGCATATAGCTTTATGGCGCAAATTTTGCACCGATAAAGTTGGGACTTCATTGCCTTTGAAAACGTGGCAGCTGCAAATTTGGGACTGGCAGCACTCGACAACGTCGAGCGTGAGTCTTCACGCTTGAGACAGGAATTGACGAAGAATGGACAGTTGATTTTGAATTTAGAGCGTCCTCGATGGCAGCATGCAAACTCTTGGGTCATCTCCCATTGACATTCCCACTAGTTTTTTTTCCCTCGGAAACGACAGGTTGCTCGTCGTCGCCGATCATTTGAAGCTGTATTCGATTAAGGATGTGCCCGAGACGCCACGATTACTGGCATGTTTCCTGTTGTTTTCCCCGTTGATGGAGATATAATACTTCCCTCCGGATGCGCATGGCTCACAGCTGCAGACACAAGCCCAGTCAATGTACACCTCAGACCCTAAACATAGGCTGCTATGCCTTACCTCGTCGTTTGATCAACCAATAACCTGCCTCATCTCCACGAAGATTTTCTTTGACATCGACGAAGCGATTGCAGTAACGCCAATACCATGGAATGATTGGGGCCCTGGACATGTTCGGATTCTGGAGGAGAAAGCACAACTTGAACACAACCTGGAAATTAAAGACGACGGGCCAATGGTTCATGTCAGTGGGAATCGAGTTTTGTTGGCGGACCACATGATGTCAAAGTCAGATGAATACTATAAGTTGCGTATAATGGACTTTAGCCCGCTGGCCGTTACGAATAGGCGGGGTCTAGGACGAGTAGTGAAAGAGCGATCTACTGTGACGGTAGTCCAAGGTGGTTGCAGTTCCAAGTGCCAGGACCACTCCTCGACGATCGAAACATCTCTGCCTTACGTTGAGGTAGCATCGGATAGGAAGATTAGTTATGGGAGGTTGCGGGATATATGGATGGATGATGATAGGATTTATTTGCTGCTGCAGTGCAGGAAGGCCACATTGGGTGGCCCATATGCTAGTGAACCGAAGCTTGAGGTTATTGACATTTATTAGTAGAGTACCGGTATACTATTTGTATAGGGCTATGTAGTGTACGGTCAATTTGGAACTGTCCAAGATTCACAGGGTAAATTTACAATGCGCCCAGAGGCCTTCAAATTCACCACTGTGAATTACCGTAAATTAACATGTCTGTAAATTGACGCTATTTTACAGGTGAATCAGGTCAAATGTACTGTGAATTACGGTGAATTAGGTGAGTTATTCAACTTTCCACTCGTCCCAAGCAGAAGGGTCAGGGACAGACGGAGACAAGGTTTTTGCGGCCTTCTTTGTTGGTGCGGAACCCAGCTGTAAAGGTTGTTTTCCGACTGAATCAAGCAGTTCACGTAGGTAGGGTGTACGCAAATCAATACCGCTGGACGCTGCAAGCACGAACGAATCTTTTTCCGCTGTCCTAAACTCTGAAAGAGCAGCTGGACCGTCCAACCAATCTGCGCCGTCATCAAATTCCTCTGAGTCCGAGTCCGAGTCCACTGTCCTTGCTTCAGGTGGAGGAGGCAAATCTTCAGCAGAACGCTTGCCAAGGATAGTGGATTCCATATCACGCCACTTGACGAGAGGTTTGTATGGTGTTTTTAGTTTCTGTGTAGTCAGTATGAAACTGAGAACTTAACACGCAAAAAAATGTTACTCACATTAGAATCAAAACGATGCCAATGATTGTCGGATTTTAATATGATCTTGAAGAGTACCAATTTCCTGCCTACTTCGGCGCGGAGAGTTGAGCAAATTAATCGTTGACATGGTGCGTTCATCGACCTTTGTTATGCTGACCCATGCGCACTTCGAGTTCATGGTTCACTGCGCCGATGGGACCATAATCATCCAAAGCGAAAAAATCGAAGCCATACTGTGGGATCGAAGGGTCTACATAAGGAATGGTTTCGGGGAGATTTCAGATTCACCACGGAGACGCCCGATTGGCAAACTCCAAATTCACCCAAATTTACACCCCCAAAATGCCCTTCTGAGATTCACATGCTGATTAACGCTAATTTATAGAACCACTTTGACTCGGACCCGCGAGAGCTGCATGATGATCATCTCAGGCTAAGTCGGACCTGACAAACGTATGATTCGCCCAGGATAAGGCAAGTACTTGCTCAGTACTAATATACATATACTAATACTCAAGCCAAGTTAGGGGCAAGTTGGCCCAATTGAAAATTCACCCCTTGCAACTTTTCGATAACCTCCCACTCACTCATCGAGACGAAACGTTGACCGCCTTGTCATTAAAATGGACTACGAAATAAAACCTAAATCAGCACTCTCGTACCTCGCGGAAGAACTTTGGGTTTACGTTCTAGGTTTCCTTTCTTGCAGAGATATTCTTCGTTGCACATCTGTGGGTTGTTGCCGTTGTCCTAGACGGAATCCTATGCTGAGCCACTAGTTCTTGCAGGTATGTAAGGCCCTTCACCAGATATACATGTCCTCTTCAGAGCTCCAGTACATCGTCGAACTCAGCGGCCAATGCTTGCTCCCCGGCATCTCCAGCACGGACGACCGTACCCCTATTTCCACTGGCAAGCGCTTACAACGCTTGAGGGATAAAGCCCATGCATGGCTCAAGTTTGATGCCTATACTTTCCAAACAGTTATCCCATCAACCTCGCTTGATGACAGGCAACAATACGTCACCGGTGGTGAACATTTCTACTTGTGGAACTACTATGACAACTTGGTCGCCATCAGCCCAATACCATCCAAACTCTCACAACGAACAATCGAACGCCACTGGTCACCCAGATTATGTCCATTTCCTGGGGCGGAGAGGCGGATTGCATTGATGGACCCGGCACAAAATTTATTCGCCATCGCGTATACTTTTCACGAGAGGACCTACATTTACCTAGCAACTCTGGATGATGGTTGCGTCCACCCTCACGCTGCCGGACCAGCGCTAGTTCTGGAGACTCCCGTATATGAGTGGGAAACGAAGTTTCAGTGTTATGGGAGGCATATCGCTTTATCGCGTGAATTTTACCGCGGAGTTGAGGTTTCTGACCATGTGTGGCAGCTGCAAATTTGGGACTGGCAGCACTCGACAACATTAAGCGTGAGTCTTCATGCTTGAATCAGAAATTGACGAAGAATCGACAGTTGATTTTGAATTTAGACTGTCCTCAGCAGCAGCATACAAACTACATTTCGCACCCCCGCTAGTTTTTGTTTTCTTGGAAACGACAGGTTGCTCGTTGTCGCCGATAATTTGAAGCTGTATTCGATCAAGGATATGTCCGAGACGCCACGATTGCTGGCATGTTTCCTGTTGCCTTTCCCGTTGGTGGACACAGAACACTACCTTCCGACTATGCATGGCTCACAGCTGCGGATGCAAGCTCGGTCGATGTACACCTCAGACCCTGAACATAGACTGCTATGCCTCACCTCATTTATTGATAAACGAACGATCTGCCTCATCTCCACGAAGATTTTCTTTGACATCGACGAAGCGACGGCAATAACGCCGATACCATGGAATCATTGGGGCCCTGGACATGTTCGTGTTGTTGAGCAGAGTGTGACTCGGACACATGTGCCAATTACTCATGTCAGTGGGAATCGAGTTTTGTTGGCGGACAAGATGAGACATGACTACTATAAGTTGCGTATGATGGACTTTAGCCCGCTGGCCGTGACGAATAGGCGGGGTCTAGGACGAGTAGTGAAAGAGCGATCTACTGTAACGGTGGCGGCCCAACGCGGTCCTAATTTCAAGTGGGACGATGAATCAAGCCACTACTCGACGGTTGGAACGGCTCTGCCTTACGTTGAGGTAGTATCGGATAGGAAGATTAGTGGGCTGTTGTAGGATGCTTGGATGGATGGTGATAGGATTTATTTGCTGCTACTGGCAAATGCCCCATATATAGGAGGAACGTTGAAACATAAGCTTGAGGTTATTGGCATTTATTAGAATACCGGTAGGGCTATGTCGAGCGTGCATGGGCATTGCCATTGCTATTGATATCGGTGACAACCATTAGCAGAAAGTGATAAGCAACCGGTGATTGATGGAAAGACTGAGCACGAGCACGAGCCGAAACCCACGATCATTTATATTGACTAGCGGCATGACGTTCATATGGCACCTGATTATCACGCTTAACTTGAAGCTGCTTAAACCCTTTGGGCCTGCTGGCTTCTCGCGTTAACATTTCTTTCATCTCCATTTATTCCAATTTTCTGACTGTGACTAACTTGTCGCTTATTTTGACTTGGAACACATTGGAAGCATCCACCAGCGCTGTTTAGCGTGGCTGTCCAACAGCGCTGGCACCTAGGAGAGGAGTTTCTCGTAACTGCCAGCTTCTAGCTGTGCCACAGGAGGTCCTCGGGCCTTTATATTAACCCTGAACTGCTCCGAGTTTCAAGTTCAGGTCGTTTCAGCTAGTCCGACGTCGTCGTTGGACTCCTCAATACTCATTTTACTAGCACCAACTGTCTCAATATGGCACCGGCCGTGCCCAAGAAAGCCCAAAAACTTGGGCGTGCCCTCAAATCCGCAGCCCGCTTCCCGGGCCGTGGTAGCGGTCGAAACCACTACTCTCCCTCCCCAGGCGAACAACCAGTCGTCTTCCTTCGCGTTCAAATCATTGGTTGTCTCAGCCTCGCTAGGGCTCGAAATGGCGCACAAGCAAAGGAGGGCGACCTCAATCCGTGAGTCCGAATCTGCTACTCCGAGTCCTATCAACGACCCTGACTTGTCTTATCATGTGATTATAGTTTGGTCGTTGTCTCCCTCCTCAACAATCGACACCATACTCCTGTCCTCAAACGCACTCCTAACCCGGTCTATGCTGCTAAAGACGCAACTTTCGACTTTCCTATCTATCTGTCTCTTGCTGATAGGCTAGGGTCCGTCGAACTAGTCGTCTGGGACAAGGATACCTTGAAGTTGAAGAAGGAATACGTCGGAGAAGTCGCACTCACTCTCGAGTCCTGGTTTAGGGATGGTGATGGCGATGGCAACAATAGCCTAGGTTTCGCAAGTGAAACTAATCGGGTGGGTTCTCACTTGTGCTTGTGTTCTCGCAGGCTTCGTATTAATAAAAGTTTGTAGCCACACTCTGTAAATCTAGTTTCGACACGTGCGAACACGCACGCATCTGGAATGGCGGTAGTCAAACTCGGTTTCGTTGCACCCCCTGGTGCACAGTCTCCAATGGCTTTTGAGCGAGTCTTTGCTGAACTCGTAAAGCGATCCCGCCCGAGTCTCGTTTCTGCCCCTCCAGTACGTCTCACGCGTTTTTTCTTCCTTTTCCGATTAACTCAAGCGTCTCCCATAGACAGAAGGCATCGGCACTCTACCATCTCATTTGACAGGCCCAGCATATGAAGATGATGGTGGAATCAGTTCTGATGAAGAAGACCAAGATGATGACGACGTTGTAGAGGAAGGAGAAGAGGAAGAGGAAGGCCTTGTCCTCCACCTCTCCAATCTTTACCTATCTCCATCTCGCCTACAAGATCAGACTCACGAGCACCGAGAACCCGAGATAGCATGTCCCACACCGGTGCCCTACGATCTACCGCGCCTTCATCTTCCTTCCCCGATACCCTCCCCTGTCCAATCCGAGGGACAGGAGCCTGGGACTGCGCGTCCGTTACCTCCTGTTCCAACCACTACACCTATCACAACTGCGCCTGCTATGTCCAGCACCACGCCTTCTTCGAAAAGCAGACTCCCAAAACTTTTTCCTCGCCGTCCCAATCTCCTCACTTCACCATCCTACGACGCGCATGCTCCTCCCTCGGGTCGCTTGCATCGACGGTCTGTGAGTGCGGGTGCTATCACTCCTCTCCCCTCTCCCGTATCTCCAGGTCCTTCTAGTGCCGTCTATCCGACACAGAAAAAGATATTCCGAAAATCTTGGGCAAGCAAAAAGGTAGACTACAACTTTACTGCCTCAAACTCGAACGACATAGTCGGGATCGTGATGCTTGAGATACAAGGCGCGGCTGATTTGCCTAAGCTGAAGAACAGTGAGTTTGAACTCATCGTCGTTTACTTCCGGCGTTTTGACTCATCTTTGCAGTGACCCGCACCGGCTTTGACATGGACCCTTTCGTAGTGATCTCTTTCTCCAAAAAGATCTTTCGTACACGTATCATCCGGCACTCCCTCAACCCCACCTGGGATGAGAAACTCCTCTTCCACGTACGTCGATACGAGACGTCATTCAAGGTCCAAATGACAGTCCTGGACTGGGACAAACTATCGAGCAACGACCATGTGGGCGATGCATGGTTGGACGTCGGCGAACTGGTCAGAGACGCGCCGCAGCCCGATCCGCGGACAGGATTGTATGCAGATGTGTGCGGGGAGAACAACGCGGAAGGAAGTGGAGAAGGAAAGGATATGAAGCAGTTTTGTTTGCCCTTAACGACGGCGAAAGAGATGGCTTGGGAGGCGAAGCATAATCCTACCATTTCCTTCCGGTGCGCTCGTCCTATCGTCTACCATCTTCGTATCTTAACTTTCGTGACAGTGCAAAGTTCCAGCCCTATGCCGAGCTTCGTCAGCGATTCTGGGCACAATATCTGAAGCAGTACGATACGGATGATACTGGTGCCATATCGCACGTGGAGCTCACGTCCATGCTTGATTCTCTTGGTTCTACACTCTCTGCACAGACTATAGACTCCTTCTTCACTCGTTATCGCAAACGACCCGCAGAAGACGAACTAACCTTTGAAGAATCAATTCAATGTCTAGAAACAGAGCTCATCCGACCAACATGCGAGAAGAAGAGGATCGACACAATAGACACCTTCATGGACAGAGATAGTTCTGCGTCTGCATCGGAATCTATCACGCCTGGAGAAGAACTCGGATTAAACCTAGCGTTTGGACGACCGTTCTTGGGCGGCCTGGATTTCTCAGGTCCGCCCTTGAGCGCGATATTTGCGGATGAGTCACCTACGGATTTAGGAAAGTCGTTTGCGACAGAGTCGAGTGATAGGCCGTTATTGAGCGTCGGTGTCCCGGAACATTCGCCCGCGGCATCGACGTCTGGTGGATCTACATCCAATAACGCGAGGCAGGACTCCGCTTCGTCGTCTGACCCCGACGATGTAACTTCAGCGCAAGTGTCTTCCTCAGACACCTTTGAGCGGGTTATCAATATCAAGAATTGCCCGTTGTGCCATCGACCACGATTGAACTCAAAAGCGGAGATGGACATTATCACGCATCTGGCTATATGCGCTAGTCAGGATTGGGCGAAGGTGGACAGGATTGTGGTGGGGAATTTTGTGACTGCGAGTCAGGCACAAAGGAAGTGGTATACGAAGGTTATTTCTAAGGTGTCGAATGGGAATTATAGGATTGGAGCTGTGAGTGGTCATAGCTTTCGTGTTGTCTTGGTCGGGTTGTGCTGATGATGCGTCTCTTAGAACTCGGCGAACATCATCGTGCAGAATCGGATGACGGGGCAGTTGCAGGAAGAGAAGATGCAAGTATATGTTCGGCTTGGCATTCGGTTATTGTATAAGGGTGCCAGAGGAAGGATGGAAGGCGCACGAGGTTCGCATATTCATATTCATATCCGTCGTTCTTCCCAACTCGAGTTATTTTAGCTCGTCGCCTTCTCAAGTCGTTATCCATCAAACAAGGCGCCAAGTACGACTCACCAGAATCTGCTCGCGATATCCAAAGTTTCATCGAGTTTCATGGGCTTCAAGTCGATGAGATCTTGGAGCCGATCAGTTCTTTCAGTATGTCTCCCATTTCCGTCATGCGTACCCCGCTGACCTCAGTTTTGTTTGTCAGAAACCTTCAACGATTTCTTTTACCGTAAACTCAAACCCTCCGCTAGACCCACCGAAAGCCCCGACGACTCCCGTCGCCTTGTCAGTGCCGCCGACTGTCGCCTCATGGTATTTGAAACCGTTTCCGAAGCTACAAAGCTCTGGATCAAAGGCCGCGAGTTCAGCATTGCAAGATTACTGGGCGATGTGTACCGCGATGAGGCGGAGAGATACGTGGGTGGGCCTCTGGCGATTTTCAGACTCGCACCTCAGGATTATCATCGGTTCCATGTTCCTGTGGATGGGAGGATTGGGGAGATGAGGGATGTGAAGGGGGAGTATTATACTGTGAACGTGGGTCATTTTTCTATTGTTTTGATTGAGTGGGACTGATGCATGGTGGCGTGGTTAGCCCCAAGCGATTCGGAGTGCATTAGATGTCTATGGAGAGAATGTGAGGAAGATCGTACCTATTGATAGTCCACAGTTTGGACGGGTCATGGTGGTTTGCGTTGGTGCGATGATGGTGGGGAGTATCAAGATAACTGTTAAAGAGGGGGAGGATGTCAAGCGCGGTCAAGAGCTTGGATATTTTGCTTTTGGTGCGCAATTTCTTTCTGTATTCCGCGTACTCGTTTTCTGAATGAATGTGTCAATACAGGGGGCTCGACGATTGTCGTTTTATTCGAGCGGGGAACAGTAGAATGGGATGAGGATCTGGTGATTAATGGGAGAGCGTGTTTGGAGACGTTGGTCAGAGTGGGGATGGGGATTGGAACTTGCAGGCGGAATGGCTCAAGTCATAGTGGTAGGGCATGACCTTGTGTGCTTGCATCGCATGGGGGGCAGATCAAGAATTGCGGAGATACTAGTGTACGCGATCATTGACTTATAGTTGGTTATTATCTACAGTATTGACTAGGAATTGTACATCTTGTGGGGCAATCATTTAATTTCATAGCTTCCGTCGTGGAGCACGAGCTCGTGATATTTCCATTGAGAGCGAGATAAGACTGAAACGGAGCATAGCCCTCATCACTACGCACCACAGGCTATGCTATCTTAGGCTATACCCTAAAACAGCCTCGGCCAGGCTATAGTATATTTAGCTGTGATATCGAATCCTCCTTTCCACAATTTCCATCTTCTGATACTCTGAGATCCTTTAAACATTATGGTAAGTCGATTCTATATGAATCATCTTCCTACTAAACCTCAATGATCGCTCTCAGCATCACCAACGCGAAGGATTCGGACGACACGAGGGGCGAGAAGAACGTCTCCAAGATCGCCGCGAACAATTCGGGGAGCGTCTCCATGACCGCCGCGAAGCGCTCGAAGAGCGTCGATTTGGACATGGGCGTCACGGAGAACATTCAGAAGAGCGTAGACATGAACGATATGAAGACCATCGCCGCGACCCAGATCAGCAGCAGCAGCAGTATGCACCCCCGGCTGGAGGGTTCAACAGGGCGGATTTCGTCTCTGATGAAGACTTCAAGAGGATGATGCATGGCGGCGGCGGCGGCGGCGGCGCGGGGTTCGAACAACCCCGCAGGGGAGGTAATGATATCGGTCCTGAGGACTTTGGAGAATGGGATCGACAGAGGTCAGTTTATCTGATCTGTGTGGCGATCAGATCGTGATGTGAGCTGATGATGGACGATTCAAATAGACCACCCCAGAATGCTGGTTACCAAGAATCATACCAGCAGCAGTCCGTCCCTCACGAACAGCGCACATCTGGCTATGAGAGCGGCGCATATGCTCAGCCTTCTCGCAACCAATACTCTGACCCAGAATCGTTGGACCCACGTTATGGAAGTAATGTGTATGCACCCCCTGCTGGTCCTCCTGGTGCATCATCCAGTTATGCGCCAGCGGGAGGTTATGCTCCACCTCCTGGGCCGCCACCTCCAGGTACTAGACCTCAGGCTTCATATGGATACGATGCTTCTCCTCAAGGAGGATCGGGCCGAGGTGCTGCGAATGATTATTACAATGGACCTCCGCCAGGTATGATTAAACTGTCAAGTAGCATCGCTTATCTTCAATTAATGGCGAAGTAGGTCAATCAGCACAGCCATATTCGCACACCCCAGATAACGCAACCGCTTATAACGACTCCCCTAACGCACCTCGCTACCAGGCTCAACCCTCGGACGGGTTCGACGATGAGAATTACAAATCTCATTTCTCCGCTCACGCTCAGGCGTATGGGTATGTTATTTCCTTATTGATTCGAGTTAGATTGAATGTCATTTCTCGTAGTTCCGACCACGATGATAGGCCAATGGCGAATGATGCTATAGGCGCAGCTGCCGCTATTGAGGCGCTGAAGCTCACAGCTGCAAATAACCAGTCGGGTAACAGGCCGCAGCAGGGAGGTAGACCACAGGGTGGATTCCATGCCGATGCGAACGCTCCGCATGCGACGCCATCTGCCGGCGGTGCGCAGCAGTCATCAGACATGAGTGGGAGACCGAGTGGTGGGAAGCCTCAGGGGCAGCCGCAGAATGCAGAGTTTGAGCCTGAGTCTGACGACGAGGGCCCGGCTGCTAAAGCACAGGCTCCTGCAGGAGGTGGTGGCATGCAGGGCAAGATCGTAGGTTTTTTTTACCATCTTCGGAGTTGATATGCTCAATCCTGCAGGTTGCCCTGGCGATGGCTCAGGCAGGTAAACTCTTCGACAAGAAGGGTGGGGGAGACAGCCAAGGAAAGACGCAAGGTGAGTTTCTGCGCCTGATATATTATCACTTGCGCTAATGACGCGCTACCCATAGCTATGCAATCAGCTGCAGCAACTGCAATGCGCTTAATGGGAGAGTACAAGTCAACGGGTAAGGTAAACATGGAGCCAGGGGAGATGCAGAAGCTTATGGGGGTTGCGATGTCGCTGTTCTGAAACGAAAGAGTAACACCGATGGGCGGCACAGAATTCGAAATTGACCTTGCAGTCATATATCTACAATTCGAAAACATTTAGTACGGTCTCGATGTGGTTTTTAAACGTCTGATTATACACGACGAGCCTCGTGCTTAATTTTACACAGTCATTGGTCTCTTGCTTGGTGCAACGTTCGTCCGATCACCATGGTTGCGAGTACAATTCTGTTGTTGTTCCAGAGCGTATATGTCCTGAGGACCGATAAGCCTGGATGACTGGTCATCGTGCTATTTTGAGACTGCCAGAAAACTGTGCGTCACATTCAGGGCCTAGGCATAAACCAAGTGTCTCTTCAAGTGGAGTCTGTTTCATTGAGCGCACGGAGTCTGGCAGCTGCCTGGTCGATCGCAAGTAAGTCTAGGTCTAGCTCAACGAAGGATTTGATCTCTCCATACATGTCAATAAAAGACTAGATAGCCCTTGGTCAGAGAACTTGACATATCACAGCCACCATCTAGAAGAGAGCGACATCTGCGAGTTAGCAACGCTCGAAGCTTGCAACCTACGTTGGAGCAGGCTCCAGCTTGCAACTAGAAGGATGCATATTTCATATTTGCGCTGCCCGTTATTCTCGCGGATTGCATCCACGCCGCCGCCAGCGGATGGAGTAACGGTGTCTATATTCACTTTGCTGATCTGAGCATCGTTCTACATTCGGTGAGTCGATGTCATACCAATACACAAGAAGCATTTCACCTGACTAGGCAGGAACACTCACACGCAGTTTCTCTGCCAAACACTGGAATTTGGTAGTCCTGACGTTAAAACCATTAACTTGATGTTGTTGCGCAGGTAGTGTAGGGGGAAAAACTACTTGGGATCAGTTTTTATCATGGTCTGACTATGGGGAGACAGTCTACCGTGACGGTGCGGCTAAAAGATATTTCTATTTTTGGTTTGCGTGCCTTAAAATTTGCCGGCGGCATCATCAAGTGACTCCCGGGCCCGAGCTTCCTACGCTAGTCGAACCAGAGCTTAGTGGACGACAGGAAAAACCAGGCATGGTTAATCATTCCAAACATCCGCATTGCTCGAGCTGGTACTATAATCATTTATGCAAACTCAATTGTACTGGTTGGCTGCGAACTAGGTATTGCACTGCGGCCATCAGCCATGATGCCAGCGCAAAAGCAGAAACACGACTCACTGTCGTGACATACCCTTCGGGCTGCCGGCTCAATTTTCAACCCTGGCAGGTCGTACCTCCACTCTAAGGCGCGCAGGTGAGTCATGTGGTTAAATTCTGGGTACACAGTGACCTCCTCATACGCACGTCACTATCGACACAAACGCCAACGCAGCAATCGTAAACTGTGTTGCAAGGTTGATTGTCGCTCACACATGCACTGACAAATACAGATGCTGTCAAACTAACAATAACGGCGAGGAGGGGGAAACACATTTTCTGTGTGAGCTGATGCGGCATCTTCTGAGGGGGATCTCGGATGATATTTCCGAAGATGGGGGAACACTGTAGGATGACGACCAGCTTTTATATCCCGCATATACGTATAGGCACAATTCTGATCAATTTGGCAGAATTGTTATTGCTGTGAGCTGTCAGATAGCATACTTCAGCAGAACATGCCTAAGCGTATTCATTTGATTATGACTATTGAATCATAATCTGCCTGCAGACATCAACAATTCAAATATATCTTCCTATGCCACTCGAACTTGAGCTTCGTGGACCACGCCCGAGACTAGCCACGGTCGATTATTTTTAGGCAGACTCAAACATCCACATGACTGCTTGGACAGTATGAACATTTGTCCAAAATAACTCGCTGTTACGACGTGTCGCTTGAGCTGCCAACTCAATTTTCAACCTGCATACAACCCATACTTCCATTCTGAGGTGCGCGGGTAAGTCATGTGGTTGGATCTGGTTGCACGGCGACCTGCTCATACTCACGCCCAGACCACAATCCATGTCACCGCATTAATTTGCATCTCGTTCTGTCTCGTTCTGACATGCACTGACAGAGGTGGATACTGTCAAAGCAAGAACAATGGCGAGGCCGGGGAAACGCATTTTCAGTGCGAGGTGACATGGAATCTTCTGAGGGAGATCTGCAATGATATATTTCATTATGAGGCAACGGCCAGCTTTATATCTTGCATATACGTATAGGCAATTCAGAAATTCATTTACTTCTGCTATTGCTAAAGAACAGCTTGTTTCATTTTGTGACCTGGCGTCCGCCTCCTCATTTCTGCCTGCTGTACCTGCCGCGGATGTGAGACGGCCGTTGCACTATCAGCTTCACTAAAGATTGATCTTTGTGCTCAGCATTATGCATGTTCTGGTAAGGAAAAAGGAAAAACGCCGACCTGCACAAATGCAGTCGCGCACGACCAAGGAAAGAGGAAAGGCAATGCAGTCGTGCACAATCTAAAGAAAGAAAAATGGCGCCGACCTGCACCTAAAGGCCTAAGCAGTCGTGCACGATCTAAAGGGGATAGGAGGCAATGATCCGCAATACGCGGTCATGCACGATCAACGAAAGAGAGGCGTCATACCGCCGTCCCGGTCACACACACTCTTGCAAAAGAATGGAAGCATCAACCTGCGCTATGCAGTCATGCACATCCGACAAAGAGGAACGATAGCCCGCGTGGTGCCAGATAATTTAAATTTATGTCTAGTGTGGATATTTGAAGAGTTAGTTTGTCAACGTGTCTAATGCCCAAGGGTACCATCAGCGACATATCCCCAATATCTTTTACGACTTGCTATTCGCCAGCTCTTTCCCCACTTGATAACAATGAGGAAGGTCATCGTAATGGCAAGCCCGACGAAGCCTGCAGATATAAACGTGTTCTGATAACCCATGTGAAGCCAAGGGGTGATCCCATATCCCTGTAAGAACACGCGTCAAAATGACAAGGTGAAGTAAATGTCTCGACTTACAATAGCAAATGAAAGGGTATTCTACATTCAAGAAAACCCATATTCAGTATGAGTGCAAATATATGACGAGTTGGTGTACTTACGCGAACAAGGATGACAGCCATCATCACCTCCCCACTCATATCTTTGTATGAATCCAGGGCGTAGCTTATAGAGAGTGAAGAGCCAATACCGGTCGAGCAAGAAATGATGCCCATGCCAAAGACGAGGCCGACCCAGCTGATGCCCTTGGACGCACCAACTCCCCAGAGGATGAGAGAAGCTGGACACAAAAGAAGCGAAACAACCATGAGCCAAAGGCGATGCTCTGGCTCTCGGATACCGCCCGTTCGGCGCGCATATCTCACAGCAAACCGATCACCCACCCACCCGCTATAGAATGTTCTGCACCAATGTCAGAGATATTACTAGGGCAACTCGGAAGAAATTTACCCAATAAACATGCCAATCAAAGGGCCGAGGTAGGTCAACCCCACAAAGCTTGCTCTGAAGTTATAGGGTTGTTCGCTGAGGATTAATGAACAGGTGGCATTCAGGACATTATACCACACGAGACACGTTCCATACTGAAACCCTGCCCTATTGAAAAAAAGTCAGTTTGCGTTCTCTGTATTTCCAACGAATGGGTTACCAGAAAATGACAGGGAAGCGCAGCAGAATGATAGGACGGTACGTCATCGTGAACAGCAGCTTGGTTGAAGCATAGCGTTCACCAAACAAAGCGAGCCGTTGCAAATATGGTTTAGGTATGCCTATCAACTCCCCAGAAGAGACAGGAGATGAGGTAGTTGACACCTTGTCGTCTTTCTCAGTACCTGGTTTGGTGCTGAAGTGTACGGCTTCTGTCGCTTCGCTTGTGTTGCGTACGAAGTTCGTCTACACTTAGGCGTCAGCAATAACCAGTACTAATTACATACGGCGTACCTCTTCCATAAAGAAAAACAACACTATGAGGGAACCGAAGTTTATGATCGCAGCCCAGTACATCACCCAGTGCCATCCTTGGCCATCATATATGAACTTGATCAAAAATTAGGACGAAACTTGGAAATCGATGTGCAATTTGATACGCACACCAGCAATGAGTGGTGCAAAGTAGTTCGACCTGCTCACGAGGTCAGCGCAAGTCAAAGTTTAATACGCTCAAGACCAACCCAAACAGAAAGAGCGTGTAAATTCCAATATATGTCCCACGCTCATGCGCAAAGAACTATTAGGTGAAATGAGCTTATTTGGATAGACAAGGATCTTCGTGTGCTTACCACATCTGCAATGCTGACCTCGCACAGACTCTCGACAGGAGTGCAGAGATAACCCTGCACAATTTTGCTGACGATCCTGGTGGTGAATAATTATTGAGTGGCCTTTGAGGTGAAAAATGTGCTGCCTACCACTGGCCTTCCGTCTTAATGTACGGCGTCAATAGACAAAGGGCCTACCAAAGACTAGTCAACCCTCAAGTTGCCGATATCTCGTTGTCACAGGCTCTTACAGTGTTGCCAATGACTGAAATCAGATATATAGGTCGCTTTCCAAAGGTAAGAGCGAGCGGTTGATTTATCAGCGCTCCCCAGCCTAAGACTGGTATTCCGACATCATCTAAACCCGATCATGAGGAACAATGATGACGACCTACAAAGAAACACTTTTCATGACACCGTTGAATATAGACATAAAAGAAATGTAGAGATAAGCCCACTGTATCCTGTGCCCGCATTAAGCGTTGCAAGAGGTATCCCTGTATCATCGGAAATAGGCTGCAAAATGGAGTACAGCACGGTCGTCCCGATGCCAATAGCACTTGTGTCTGTAGACCGAGTAAAAATCCAATACATCATTTATCAGCTCTTAAGACATACATATCATCACGCAGACGATCTGCAGAAATTTCCGGCCTCTACTCCAGTTCAGAGGATCGTTAATATCATTGGAAGGCGTCGGACTGAGCACGATGGCACTGTTATTTTCTGCGTGCGCAACCGTCGTTTTCTCCTGGACGTCGACAAGGTAAACTGATCCAGGCACTACGGAATCATCGATGTCATTCATGATGTAAAGCGAAGCAGGGAGACGTTCCGAGTAGAAAAAATACGGACGGCGACGAACTTACATTATATGGCCTAGGAACCGATAAGAAGCTAAATTCGGGAGAAGCCTATATTCTAACTTTAGACCTTGACTAGAGAGATAAGTATTCTCCGAACTGACCGCGTCGGAGTGCTTTCGCGGCTGCCAGCGCTGAAAGTACGCTGGTGGATGATGAGCTTGCTAAGAACGCATGGCGCTTCCCTAGTTGCAATGTTCGATATACGTCACAAATTCACATCAGTAAGAGGAGTAACAAGTCACTCTGGCACAATCTCTGGTTCCTGTCGTGGATAGCACCAAAACTTTTATGATCACTACTATGGAGAAGATATGGGGACGCAC